CATCTAGTGTTAATAATCGCCAGATTTGAGCAGCGCCCCCATTGAAAGTATAGTATGGGCCTCCACCCCCACCTATTGATTTTTGGAGTTGAAGACTAGTCCGGAGAAAAAATCCTGTCTACATTTCAGATTTTGTGGACGATGCCCCCCCCCCCTGCAAAAAATCCTGGATCCGCCCCTGACTGTGCAACCACCCCCCATTTTTTGACAGGACGTATGGTCTGACGTCGCGCCGGCACACCAGCACTGTACACGTACAAGAGTAACCCAGGCGCGGATCCAGCAGGGGAGGGGGGGGGGGGGTCAACCCCCAGCTTTCTCAAACACTTTTTGTAGAATTTACCTAAAAATAATGCAACCCCCCCCCCCCCCTCCCTGCTCCGACAGTGGGGTATGTGTATATAATCTGTGTATTTAATTTGGATGTCGGGGGGGGGTGCAACCGCACATCCGCGCCGAAATGTAGACATGTTTTTTTATCCGGACACTTGCCCCCCGCAAAATCAAAATTGGGGGGGGGGGGGGGTAGGATAGGGGCGGGGGCTGTTGGCTGGTTCCCATCTTCCAAATGGGGGCGCTCTTCAAAACTGACCATTATTATGCATACTACATATTATATGGACATTATCACGGCGCATTGTACTGGTTTTTGAGCGAGTTTTCTTTGGTGGGATTGCTGTCAGAAGAACTCTATAAACATTTATTTAAATCATTGCTGACACAAACAAATTGTCAAAAACAATCCGCCAGGGGGAGCAAAGTGCCCCCCCCCCCCGGCTGGATACGCCACTGGATTCTTTAATATTTTTTTCATATATGATTCCTGTCTATAAAAATTGGAGTTTTGCTATTTTTTAAAGGGGTGTATTTTTATTTGTTCTTGTTTATTTTTCATATTTTGTTGCGTTTATTGTTTTTTTTGTTTAGTCGGCTTTTCTTGTTTGACTATTTTTATCTTTGACATTTTAATTCTTTGTATTGATATTTTCACACCTTTCCACGTTACAATTACAATTATTTTTCTTTAATTTAATGTTATAATAATTGTTAATACTTTCAACTTGTACAGCGCCTTCAGCGTCTTTTTAGTCGGATTTTGGCGCTATATCAATGTTATTGTGATAACAATGTACATGTACATCTTTATTTTTTCCCGTTATAATATCGTATACGGCGTTTCTTACGTCAACTTCATAAATTGCGCCATTATTAATGGTAACGTCATATTGATCGAACGAAACTTCGTTTTGATTATAGTCAATTATTAAATATTCGTTGATTTATGACGTAGGCCCCCTAGACCTTTCTTTCAATTTTAATACTACCCGTAGACCTGATGAGCAGCTGTAGATATCAAACTAAACCAAAGTATAAAAGATAGAGGATTAAAAAAAATCAAAAAGTTATGTGCTAGCCAAGCTTTCAGGGGTCGGTCTGAGCCATAACAATGCCCCAGCCAACCCCTTAGTTCTCTTCTGGGCTCTCGGGTGTCCCGGCCAATACACACTTCCTTCCCTGTCCATCCATGTAACCCCGGAGGGCCAGGCACCATGTAAAAGCAAAGAGCTAAGGGAGGAACAGGGCGGCCCCTAAGCCCTGATCCTCCGAGTGGACCACATGCCCTGAACCTGTACGAAGGCGCCAACCTGGAACTCACGGACAGTACCAGCCGCAGTGCTTACCGATTAAGCTAAGGTACAGTTGGTAAATTACGACGGGAAATTAAACATCTTATAATGACTGAATAGAATGCGTGCGTTGAAAAGCAAAAGAGACACCGACGGGTTTTGATCCCGGACTCCGCGATTCTTGGACGACGGATCTAACCACTCGGCCATCAGGCTTCCTTAGAATTCTCCTCAAAAACAATTTGTTTGAACTATAGGCGAAGAAACGTAAAACATTGCTGTGTGAATCTGTTTTAGCCGGCTCCATGGACGAACAGACGTCGCTATATCGGGCAATAATGAGTCAACTGTTTTCATTTGTTTGGAAAATTGTATAAGGCAGGCTTGTTAGTCGTAGGTCTGTACGTATGATAAACGCACTTATCGATACGCAACAATAAACCCTTTTATTATGTAGGCTTTTTTGAAACATGCATCAGGTGCGATCAGGGGCGGATCCAGGAATTTTGGCGGGGGGGGGGGGGGGGGGGTGTCAGTCCCGTAAGATGTTTATATCCGATCTTATCATTATTATAATTGTTAGCCTATACAAATTCTGTGTGTATCAGAGCGGGGGGGGGGGAGGGTCGACCCCCTCTGGATCCGCGCCTGACTACTACTCTCTGTATTTGGAAATTTGGACAGATACCGTATTCTCAACTCCGTCACTACCCTTTTAACATGGTACGAACGTCTTTAAAAAAAGGAAACGATAATTGTTTTTACTGATTTGTTTGTTAATACTGTAAATCAGGCCTATATTCCGTTCGCTGTTCCCAACAGCCTTTCATCAGCCTGTTATCAAACATTATTTTCGTGAAAAATAATCTGAATGCTCAGCAAGTTGCATCCTTCAATTAAAAAAACCCGAATATTTAAATGTAGACGAAAACAACATTACACCAGGACACAAAATTACACTAGGGGCGCGGCGCTGTTCACGATACCGATGTACATCCTTTACGATAGCGCGTCGCTCGTATACCCCCGCCCTGCAAACCGGACCTATATATAGGGCGCTGGGCCGGGAAGGGTTATGATGAGCTTCACAGAATCTTGCGAAGGAAATGAGGATGGCATTCTGGGTAACTTATCATGGCCTATATAAATTATAAAGACGTGCTGCTGCAGCTGTTTAAAGGGTGCGGGCTAGTCTGTTTCCCAGACCCCATTGTCCTCAGGTGGTCTTCAAAAATATCTTTAGATGGGGCCGGGAAACAGTCTAGGTGCAGGCCGGTAAATCGGTCCAAAATTGCCTACGCCGGCCAAATCACGATTTGCATGCCCTCAACTTCTTCGGTATTTGAGCATATTGTGGGCCATGAACTTGAGGGTTCGTACAAAAAAAAGGTGCAAGCCGTGCACTGAAACGTGAGCTTGTATTTCTGTACAATTTGTATGAAATTGGAGCCTTAAAAGCGCTCTATTTAGCAATGGAGTGTAGGCAACGTTTTTCAAAATGGCGATGGGCTTCAGAACTATATTTTAAGGGGTGATCATATTTGGATGGAAATTTCTCCCAAAAGTCATTAGATTACCCCCAAAAATTGAAATGACGAAAATTTGAAGATGATAAAAATAAGATTTAATTTTGATGTGTGTCTTGAACACCTTGGATGGTAAATTGTGCGTATTTTTCCTGACTTTCTGAAGTGGGGGCATTTATCATTGGGATCTATTATATGGCAGTCTATTGCACCCATAAAAGGACACTGTTCAAAGCGGACACTTATGGTCATTCACGGACAGCAGGTGGCGCTCTTCATCGCTGCCGACTGACGTGATGACACGCTTTTTCCGTCAGCCGATGTTGCCGGTGTGGCAGGTAATTCTGCCCCCCCCCCCCTTGTAAATGTGTCCCCCCGGACAGATCTACCGGGTCGTGACCCGGTAAATCTGTCCGGTGGGACACTTTTACCTAGGTAAACCTGTCCCCCTCTAGGTAAATCTGTCCCCCTGCACGACGTTAAATGTGTCCCCCCCTGGTAAATGTGTCCCCGTGCAACGTCACAAGTCTAGCACCCAGACTGTATATTAGTGAAGTTATTAACTGTTTTTGCGCGGCGCCTTGCTAAATTCGGGAATGGTGCTTACGTCAAAGCACAACTCCCGTTTTGATGACGACTTCAGGAGCGAACGATTTGCATGGTGGGCGTGCGCGCGATACCGCACCTACGGAGAGCGCCAGGGCCGCGGCCGGGGACGGAGACAACATTGCACCAGCAGCAGGCCTGCGGCGCGGTGACCCATGTCGCGTATAATTTTGCCAATTCTCCTCATTGAAGTCCGCCATGACAGTCACACGCGTATCGGCGGCTGATGCGCGAGGGCGCTAGCGATAGGTTGAGTATTACTACGCGTGCCTTCTTGCAGAAACATAGATCGGTTGATTAACATCTAAACGTTAATTTCATTTTGATAATTATTGATGAAGGGTGGAAAAATCTAAAAAATGTATACCTGTGCGCTGAATTTATTATAATAACATCAATATAACAACTTATGCGTGCAAAACCAGGGGGGCAGAATTAACTGGAGGGGACAGAATTACCTGGAGGGGGACACAATTAACGGGACAGGGGGGACACTTTTACCTAGGTAATTCTGTCCCCCCGGACACTTTTACCGGGGGACAGAATTACCGTCCACAACGGCATCCCGGTCCGCCGCCCTCTCGCGACAAAATGGTGTAACGAATTTTGGGTTATTGGGGGCGCACTTTGGCACATGTTATGCGGCACTGTTTGTACAGCTAGCTCTAGCTCTACGTGTAGCATCTAGCATAGCATAGCACTAGCCCCAAAGCACTGCACAGGGTGACCGTTTTAGCCGATTTTCGGCTAACTTTGACAGAATTTTTGTTACAAAACGAGTTTGACAGAAAATTTGACAGAATGGATTTTTTGGGCAGATTTCTGGCAGAATTCTGCAAAAATGGTTATTTGACAGAAAAACAGCAAATTTGAACAAAAAATGGTACATTTGTTTAAGAAAGCTTCAATCCTTTCAAACAAACCCTTGCTTAAAGGGACAGGTTGGCTGGTCTAGGTGCTGAGGTTCACTGGGAAACGGACTTCGTCGTGGCCGGATCCGTGTTTTGCCGTAAATTTACGCGACAATTTCACAACATCTTTATGAGACTATAGCTTGTTTATAATGTAATTTGAACCTTAATTAAGGCAAAAGTACCAATCTGCTACTCCTAGAACTATGAGGCTCCACGTAGTCATAGTTTCTAGGGGTACCAATCTGCATGTGATTTTCAGTGTTTATAGTGTATTTCGAGTAATTCTGGGGAATTTGGCAGATTTTTGATGTACATTTAGCAGAATTTGGCTCTGGCCTTACGGTCACCCTGGATGCCTGCTTGCAGTAAGGTGCGCGGTCCGGTCCGCCCACATCATACCCCTTTTCTCGCAATGTCTTTTGAGACAGATATCCCCCCTGACCTGGAATCATTGTGCAGGTTAGATCCGTATTTGAAACCTCATGAACACGAGATTAAACGACGGTAAGTATAGTAGTAGTAGCAAAACACATTTACAGATCTAGTTGAGTAAAAATTTGTTCTCATTTAATTTAGGCTACATGCTGTACAAACTACGCACAAAGTACAATCGCACTTGAGCAACTCCAGCTCCAATGCTTAATTGCATTAGAGCTGGAGCCTATACTATAGTGGAGGCCCAACTATTACGGTATTAGTTGAACTACGTCAAAGTAGACAAAAGAAAGAGTCCAGAAATCATACTCCTAGAACTATGAGGCTCCGCGTGAGCGGAGCACGCGGAGCCTCATGTCATAGTTCTAGGAGTACCGAAATCAGGGACAGTATCCCAGTGCATTACAAAATCGGTCCCTTTTCGCGATCATCGTGTAGTGTGGCCTAACTAGGACTCTACGGATTGCTTTTTTTAACATTTGGAGGAAAAATTCGGCTATCCGATCACCACTTTTTTCAATTAATTTTCTAGCGCCAAAAGTTACCTCTTTTTTAGTCCGAGTAACTTGGACCCAACTTATCGCCTTTTTTAACATTTGGACATGGTCTGGCGATAGTAAGGTCCAAGCTAATACCGAGACCTAGACAACACAGTCCCAAAAACCAACATTTTCCAACAAAAAACATCAGATTTCACCTTCAAAACGGCCTCCAAATTACTAGATATGTCACCTGAGGTACAAGTAGACATAGATGATTAAGATGGTTGTACTTAAGTTTACTTACGATCCGGAAAAAAAGTGAAATTTTCCGTTCAATCCTGAAGACCCCCTCTGCCTAGGTTGTCATTGTTGTGCTCACGTTCAAAACTGCATGATAATGGCGTCTGACCTCGACCTCATGCAAATGTCTGGACGGCGCGCTTGCGCATAATGCACTGCATGCACGGCAGATTCCCCTGCGCCGCGCCGACGACTGTTTCCTGATGTAGAGCGCCAGCCATGCGCCTGGCTAGCCAGCGCGACTCCTAGGCGTACCGCGAACTTAAACAGCACTCTACATCAGGAAACAGTCGTCGGCGCGGCGCATGAGGGGAATCTGCCGTGCATGCAGTGCATAATGCGCAAGCGCGCCGTCACCACATTTGCATGAGGTCGAGGTCAGACGCCATTATCATGCAGTTTTGAACGCGAGCACAACGACAACCTAGGCAGAGGGGGTCTTCAGAATTGAACGGAAAATTTCACTTTTTTCCGGATCGTAAGTAAACTTCAGTACAACCATCTTAATTATCGATGTCTACTTGTACCTCAGGTGGCATATATCTAGTAATTTGGAGGCCGTTTTGAAGGTGAAATCTGATGTTTTTTGTTGGAAAATGTTGGTTTTTGGGACTGTGTTGTCTAGGTATCGGTATTAGCTTGGACCTTACTATCGCCAGACCATGTCCAAATGTTAAAAAAAGGCGATAAGTTGTGTCCAAGTTACTCGGACTACCTCTTTTTATGGTTATTCCCTCCACTTTCCCTCCTCTACTCTCACCCCCTCCTTTCCTTAATTTCTATTTATCAATCAGTCGCTCACTTCATCGAGATTCGAACCTCGGACACTTGTTTGATACACGAGTCTCTTAACCGCTAGGCCGCGCACGATCGCTGTTGCAATGATCAATCTTTGGACGTATTTGAAGTATCCATTGAAATAAACTAAATATTCATGAGAAAATAAATATTCATAATGACGTATTGCACTATCATTGGCCGGCTCATGCGACGTCTCATGCGACGTCATGGTTATCGATGTCATGCGTATAACGTACCGCTGTTCCAGACACTTCACAATCAGTTTTGACCGGCTGCTTCAACTCAGATCTGCACTACAAGTGCATGCAAAATGTGCTCCAAAAACACATTTTTACCAATTTTTTTTCGCATGTCCACTCTTTCCTGGATTCCTCTTGGTTGAAATCACAAGGTAAGGCGAAAATTTGGATGTTTGGCGGCAGGTAAGTGGTGTCCGGTTTGCAGAATTTTTCCTCATTTTAACCCGTACCCCCAATCGTTAGATTTCACCCCAAAAACGGTCTTCAAACTGCCCTATGCGTCTACTCCTAGAACTATGAGGCTCCACGACACTTGAAATGTGCACGCATATGATCAAGCGATGATTTTCGGTTCGCTCGGAGCGCGCCGCGGGGGGTACGGTACATGCACTTGTACGCATGCACATACTATCATTTCGCTTGTACCGTACCCCCCGCGGCGCGCTCCGAGCGAATCGAAAATCTTCCTGTGTCAGTTGCCCAGCTGCTGCGTAATTTACGATAATTTCTGGAGGCTTCTTGGCAACTTTTTGGTCCAACTGAACAATGACCTCGCGAAATACCTGACGGGATACGAAACAATATGCAGGGATCGTTCACCTGTCAATCACGCATGCGTGCACGAGGCACGCCGCAGGCCCGGTGGCTGTTACCTGCCTTCTGTCAATCCTTCATGTAGAGTGCGCCCTCATGATATCACTCAGTGCATCAAAATGACTACGAATTCTTGGATCATCCGATTTGGATGCAATGGCCACAAAGAAGTTGAAGAGCATGTCAAGAGGAAACACATGGCAAGCTGCAAATTTTATAAGCCAGGCACTCCAAAACTCAGTGAATTTAAATAAAAAGATGTTAAAAATCCCAAAGAAGATTAGCATTGTTTATGTGAAGGGTGTTTTAATAGCTGGCCTCAGCCTTGGCCTCATAGGTTGTGGCCTCGGCCTTGGCCTCTGAGGTTGTGGCCTCGGCCTTGGCCTCAGCCTTGGAGGTTGTGGCCTTGACTAAAACACTGGTAGAGTGCGTTCGATTACTTCCCCCGGCTTACTTGCGCCTGGCTCCTGGTGTAATGACAGACATGCACAGTGGAGGTAAATAAACGAACAGTTCCGGGTAAAGTTTCGTGCAAGAGCTGAAAACATGGACGTCGCCAGGATTTTTTCTAGAGGGGGGCAAAATATATTTTCCAAAAAAAATTCCTGTTTTTCTCAACATATTCTCGATTTATCAGTTTAAGAGGGGGGTAGGGACATTTTGCCCCCCCCCCCTTAAATTTACACCAGTATGACTTCTTGCCTCTTTTCTCTTATTTTTTTCTCTCTTTTTTTCCCTTCCTTTTTTTGCTTCTCCAGGAGGGGGGGGGGGGGGGGATGTTGCAACCTGACGCCACTTTTTTTCTTCATATCATCTCAATGAAGGTCATTCATTGCAAAAATGATAAGACATGAATCTGGGACTGGGAAATAGTAGGGAAAAAAATACAAATACCCAGCGGCCTCTTTGAGATAGCCGACTTCCTCGTCTCGATAGTCCACCTCGTTATCAAACGGTAGATAAATGGGGAGATTGCATGAGTGACCCTTTAAGTATATGTGGACTAGGTTGGGTTAGACGTAAGCACTGAAGTAGCCTTACATGTAAGTTGGAATTGGTCAGATTTTATTTCCGTACAATGCGTGCAGGCCAATACGGCAGTACAACACAGTCCGGTACATCAGTGGGGCTCACTCAGCGGTGAAACCAGGCTTGAATTGAAGATGAGTACAGCGCTGACACGTTTTTTTTGTTGCGATAAACATGGCCACCATCACAGGTGTATTTTTGTGCGAGATCCTGCGGATTTACAACATTAAAAGCTTATCACAACGAAGCCAAAATGACTTTTTTCCCCCTTTTTTTGAAACATTGTGTCTTAGAAAACTGAAAACATTGTACAAAGTTGTGTGTGCTCGTCAATTTCCGTCTGTTTTAACTACAAAGATGCATAATGGAAGCCTTGGAAAAGCCATTGAAAACTTGAGCTGGGCGAGCATTGACCTAAATTATCTGCTTCATTTTAAGCATTACTTTTGTTCTTCAGTGTATAGTATATTGAATCTAGTCGTACAACATTTAAAAATCAAAATTTGGGGTGGGTGGGTCAAAACAATTTTGAAATAAGATCAAAATTTTTTAACATTGACTATTATGAAACACCCCTTAGAAAAAGGCAGTGCTTTGATTGTTTGAGGGAAGGTTCCTCACGGTAACACTTTTTAATTCCCAAAAACATTCACTGCCCATCAGCCCATGTTCAGTGCATTTCTGGGTCCCCGTTCAATGTTGTCTCTCATTGCGCAGTGTGTGCTCTGTCAGCTGGAGAGAACAACATTGACCGGGAGAGTGGGGGAGTGGGTGACCGTGGCAGGCTCAGGAAGTGTCCCAACCATTTTGGCCGGGATTGTAAGGCGATGTTTGCGTGTGCGTACTTCACCCATGCAACAGTTCCACGATTACTTCGTAAAGCGCATGCGTAGTAGACTGTTGCACGGGTAACCTGTGCAACAGTCTTCTATGCATGCGTATTTACCCTGTGCGTGAAAAGTTGCGTGCGCACTTGCTAAACAGCAAAAATAGCATCTGGCACATGATGGTGAATGGACTAGTGAGAATTCGGCTTTCGATCATGAATATGTATGAGGTATAGTAATTAAATATACCTCAGTTCTAACAACATGTACATGCCCAGTCATACAGCAGAGAAGCACCATGGACTTTTTTGTCCACAGTCCCCATTCAGTTTATGCTGTCTTGTTGACTAGTGTTACTGATTTCCTCTCGCACCTGTTAGAGGATTTTGTTTGCTCTCTGCATCTCACTCCCACTCCATTTTCCCATTCCTTTTTGACATTTGCAGTGCACCATGGGTATGGATAGCCTTTCACCAAGGCCATCAAGGATTAGAGCAGCAAAGCTGCAAAGTCGCAATGCGACTGGAGTGGAGACGACAGTTATGAGTGGCAAAGCCATGTGGCTTCACCACTCGTGCTCACTGAATTGGTCACGGCTCTGGTTGCTTTGCTGTCCTAAGCCGCGATGGCCTTAGCGAAAGGCTGGGGTATACATGTACATGTAGATGACAAACAAGCAATACAGTTCTCAAGTTTTTTTTAACTTCTTATTTCTACATTGTATTTAAGTTTCTGTGAACCATAAAGAAATATCATTATTCACAGATATGGCTGTCTGCAGAAGCTTTTGCGTGGCATTGAGGCAGACCAAGGCGGTTTAGATTCCTTCACTTCAGGTTATAAGTATTTTGGGCTGAATAAAACCCCAGACGGTGGTATTGTGTGCCGGCAATGGGCTCCTGCAGCAAAGGCAGTGTATCTGAGAGGAGAATTTAGTAAGTACCGTACCATACATGTAGGCCAACTTGATATTTGGTTGTACACAGTAGACCTGTCAGTTATGCCCCATGACATTTGGACCAATCACAGCCGTGACTTACAAATATACATGTACATGTCTAAGAAAAGTCTGACTAAGTTGCATGTGTGCACATGACACCGTGGGAAGATACATGAGTTAAACATTTGCTCACATGCAGAATGAGCTGGGTTTACATGTACGTCAATGTGTTGCCTAATGTGGAATGGTTCGTTTTGTCTACATGTACATAATGAGATGTGCAGAATGCACCTCAACTTCAGATTGGTACTTGAGTAACTGGGCTCCAATCTTTGCTAAATAAAGCAGATGACCCTGTGCTTACAAGTTACAGTCAGAATATTTCATGGGCTGGTTAGGAATTTGGGAATGTGCATGTGGGAACAACTTGTATCTAGTGATTCTATGCTTTCACGGTTAGTGTAAACTTTTTGTGTATAGTGCTATAAGCCACAGAATTGAGATCATGATTGCCTTGCTTGCTATGAGTGTCATTATCGCACAAGCAATTTTCCTGTATCATCACATAATGTGAGGCAAATGGCATGCATGACAGACATTTTATGGGCAATGCATGTAGGTGGTTCACATGGAATAACAACAAATAATAGAACTTGCACTTTCCAGATGAGTGGCGAAGTGGTGAGCATGCTTTCAGGAATATTGGATATGGCAAGTGGGAGTTGTCTTTGCCACCAAAAGATGATGGATCCTGTCCAATTGCACACAACTCTATAGTAAAGGTAAGCAAAATACTTAAGAAGTGGCCAGTGCAATGGAATTGTTGAATGGATCCTTGAAATGTATCTGGGTGTCTCTTTTCCTTCGTTTGGTCTTTTCTGTTGCCAGTGTGTTTTAAGGCCAAAAAGTGTGTGTTTTTTTATATTGGCACAAAAATACTATTTTTGTGAGCATAATAGTGATATTCTCTTAGACAAAAGCTTAACAGCTTCTTAATATTATATTAACAGCTTCTGAAGCCAAAATAATGGCTCGTTTTTGTTGTTGATTGTTGGTATGCTTTTTCAATGGCACAACCAAAGGGGGCCCCCCTCAGTGGGCTTGAGCCCCCTCCCCAAGAGGTTGTCATTTTTTTTTTAGTCCCACGATTTGACCTTGATGGTATGAATGATGCTTATTTTCCAGAAGTATACATGTAGTATATAATACAGGTGTAAGTGGTGCCACCAACATCAAAATAGTCCCCCCCCCAGCCCCCCCCCCCAAAAAAAAAATTAGACTAAAAAAAAAAAATTGCGGCCAAAAAAGTTTGGCAACATTTTTTGAAAAAAATTAAACGTCTTAAAAATTTGGAAAAAAATTTTTGTGAGCCCCCTCAAAGCCAAATCCTGGGTGTGCAGTGTTTTTGTGTGTGTTTCGTCCATTAAAATAAATGACAGCCCGTCGTTGAGCACATACATGTATACAAAAAAAACTTAATTGTAACTTGATAAGTGCCTGCCATGATCTCACAGCAACATTGCAATCATGTGTCATTAAACAACACAAGCATTGAAAATAGGAGCAAGATCAGTCAGGAGGTATTGTTTAACCATAGTTTGATCAACTCCGATCAAATGCTGGTTAATCAACCCGGTTTGAAGTAGTCAAGTAGACTCTTTGAGACCATAAACCGAGATCGGTTGCACTGCTGGCTTCCAATAGCTGCAAGCAGCATAACGCTCAGCCATCTGTGCCAGCTGAGAGTTCTTTGACGACATTTTGGCAATCATTTGACGAGAGACTTTCACTATTAGTTTACAGACATAAGTTCAACAGGTCACAGATCAACCACCATGACCATGAGTTGACCAATGGTAGGGCTGTCTTTTTTCGAATAATTTAGTATTCGATTATTTGAAAGTGTGTTTGACCAAATATTTAAATATTTGAAACTCACTGATCACATTTTGCACATGCCAGCTGCAACTGCATATTTGATCAAAACTTGCACGCAAAGCACACTGGTTCAATGTGTGTGCAGCGCTCCATGATACATGTATGAGCTGCTGGAGTGTTTTGCAGTATTGTTTACCAGTCCAGGGTTTTAAACCTGCTAAAAGGATGGCAACAATGAACCGCCGTTGACAAACAGTTACCGTTGATCAAAAAAAGTGGCATCTGATAACTTCCACCTCACGATTAAAGTAACATCACAGTGACAGTCTTGTGTTTACGTGTGTATAGTTTTTTTTTTTTCTCGAATATTTGAACCAACAAAAAGTGATTGGAATATTTGGTTGATGATTGAATACTCAGTATATTTGGGACAGCCCTAACCAATGGTACTTGATCAAACTTTCCCTAGCATTAAGTCAAGAATGCTTTCAACAATGAACATGTGTAGTGTGTGCTCTTTCATTGCCAAAAGGGGGAAATAGATCCCAAGGTAACATTTGTCAAAGTAGGAAACCTGCCCAATAGATCAATAATCCTAAGGCCAGACCTCAGAGTCTGTAGCCAGCAACTGCAGCAGGATACAACAAGGGCAGTGTTAATGAGACTAGCGTCTCAGAATTGCCCTATACATCAACGTCCCACGGGTGTTGACACTTGAGTTGAATCTGGTAGGGTTAGGGTCAATAGAATGTGATCTCATTGATGCTGACCATATACCGTATATGGACAAATTTCATGGACCTGCAAAGTATAAATTGTACATTTAGAATAGTGCTGATGAACTTATTAAGAAGTTGTATTTACATGTATGAGCAGAAACAGATTACAATCCAAAAACATTGACAGGTACATACTCCACTGATTGTACTCAGTAAATACATTGGCCGAGTTATATTTTCTGCATAGCAGCTCCACTAGGTGACGGGATTCCTATCTGGATGTGATTTGTCTTCGATACACAGTTGCAGATTCAAAGTCAATCAGGAGATCTTTTGGAGAGAATCTGCCCCTGGACGAGTTACGCTGTGCAGTGTCAAGACACCATGCTGTTTGACAGCGTATGGTGGGATCCTCCTCAGCCATACCAATTCAAGCATCCTGCTCCCAAGATTGCGGGAGGTCTGTATACTCACCCCAGGCACCATGATATGTAATGATCAATCACAGATGGGATTCTAATTCACTGTGCACTCAGCACCACCTTCCATGTGAATTCCAGTGTTGGCTTTGGAAGGCCATGTGCCTATTGCCTATTTGCATCATTAATACATTTGCATACCATAGTGTTTTTTTTACCTCAGAAAGTTAAGGAAAGTACAAAGCATAACATAGGAAATTAAAACAAACTTACAAATGCCCTGTGCCAAAGCACTTGGCATGTGTAGTCTCTGCTCAACTCAGGTTGTGGTTTCACCTCAGTCAGATGCTGGCCTCAACTGTATTCTCCCCAGGGAGCTGATATGGTCTTTGAAATGTGTTCATTGGCCAGATGAGCAGGGCTGATAATAATGATGTGCCATGCTGTACATTTACTTGTATATTTTGAGTGGCTGTGTATGCCACATATATCCAAGTGTTTTGGTGTCATGATTCTGTGTACAGCTCTGATGCATGCTAATGTGTGTCACCCCTGAGATACAAGCTGTCTCCTAGGCAACAAGCTCATTCTCTGCAAGAAGGAATCCACCATACAAAGCATCGCCAAGAATATAACATAACTTTGTGATCCACTTTGTATTGTCTGCCCTTTATTGCTTATGTATAGTCCCACATAAACACCAGTGTATTCGGAAGCATCATAAAAAGAAAAGAAAAGTGAAACACACAAAAATCCCCTTAACCCTGAGAAAGAACAGACAGGCTTGAGTTGGGATTTCTGTGAATAGCTACAGGTAGTATGCACAAGGCTTGTGAATGTCCATGTATTTGTGTTTGTGTGTTTGATGGAGGGATGACACGATTACTGGCATAAACGTGATATAGGAAATAAGCAGTGGAATTGAAAGGTGGCATGTTAGATTTAAACGCTTGGTGGTGCACTGTACTGAGAATGGCTCCCATTCAATGCAACATCCATATTACAATTGCTGGTGGCTACTTTCCATAGGGCTTATGATCTACGAGGCACACGTCGGCATTGCTTCCTGGAAAGGAGAGATTTCAAGTTACGACAACTTCACAGACAATGTTCTGCCAAGGATACAAAAGCAAGGTATGCTACATGCCATAAACAAGAACTTTGAACAGTAAAGTACATCATTGGCAGCTATCCAAAATTTAATTCACAAAATTATTTTTGAATAGCATACTTGTTATAACGATAATAATGGCACTAAATTCGCTGCGAAATCATTCTTTCTGGTGCGCTTTCATTTTGAAGAATACAATAAAAGAAGGTAATTTCCAAAACGCATCTTATGACGCATGTTTGGAAATGTAAATCATTTTTAATTCATCAAAGCTGTGAATGGGGATGCGCAAGTGTTAACACCACACACACGCACATGCGCTTGCTGTAATTCGTCAGTTCAGTGTGTGACATTGCGTAGCTGCAATTGGCTGAATGAGAATGTGTCCTGGACGCTGATTTCGGGCACAATTCAAAACATGACTCGGCAACTTCTGAATTGAAATTGAGATCCTAGAATATTCTTTTCTCGGAATATACAGCATTCACTGAGCTGAAACTTCATCAGGTTAGTTGTAAAGCACCCTTCTTTAAATTTTGAGCACTTTTGTTGCTTCAAATAAAAAAATGCACAAATGATAAATGATGTACTCTACCTGTAATTCCCAAATCCAAGACCAGGTAAGATTTTATTCACAATGGGTTTGAAAAAGCTGATCTAGATTGGGGTATAAACCTGTGACTTCTAGAACACCATAGTAGTGCTATACCCACTGAGCTAAGCAGCCCTACATTGGCCAATATTCAAATTAGCAGTTCTAATTGGTGTGCATGTCACAAGTCTGGACCCATCCATTTACAGTTGTAGTCTACATGTACATATTTACTTTTCATGGGACCTTTCTGCACAGGTTATAATGCAGTACAGCTGATGGCTGTTATGGAGCATGCCTACTATGCAAGCTTTGGATATCAAGTCACTAGCTTCTATGCAGCCGCAAGGTACAAGTACCTGTCTTTACATGGGTGGAGAGAGATGAGAAATAAGTGTCCATACCAAGGCCTGTGTGTGGCCTTGTGTCATAAGGATTGCAAAAGAGTGTGTTGGTTTAAATGCATATTTGATGTTCACAACTTAATTTTTTTTCAAATTAATATGATTTATTCACTTGCCAAAGGTGGTGTATGACGTACATTGTACTAAGGTGCCAAGTGATGTTTTCTCTGAAATGATAATGTATTGTTGATTTGCTCATCAATTTAAAACATTCCATGGTTCCTTTCATGTTTTTATATATTTACTTTTATTATTGTTTATTTGATAAACATCACAGTTTCAAAATAATAAAGAACATTGTTTGTACGCAATATGAGGCTGAAGTACTTTATTCATGTACAGGTGCCTAGCATCAACTCAGACATTACCTTTTGTGCACAAAGAGTGGTCAAACCCATGCTGTGCATCTCATCTTAACGATGTTCCCCTGCTTACTAACATTGTTATCATTGATCAGTCGCTGTGGCAACCCAGATGGCCTGAAGAGGTTGGTTGATGAGGCCCACCAGCGAGGTCTTGTGGTATTCTTGGATGTCGTCCATAGCCATGCAGCCAAGAATGTGTTGGATGGACTCAACCAGTTTGATGGATCCAATTCCTGTTTCTTCCATGATGGCCACCGTGGTGAGCACATGCTGTGGGATAGCAGGCTGTTCAATTATACCAGGTACAATCAATATGTCATCATTCCAGTCATCCTCAAAGCTGCTTCATACTCTGATTGCAAGCAAATTTGCATAAGGTGGACGGATAATTTAATCACTTTTTTTGCTATAAATAAATTCCTTTAATTGCAACAGCTGATTTCACGGAACTTTGTGCAATGGCGTAACTCCACTTACGCCATATTTTATTTCATAAGTTATGCCATATTTCAGTTCGACACATTTCATGAACGTTTAACAGTGTGTATGTCCATGACTTACACAAGAAATCATGGTGTAAATTACACAGCTATTTTTGATGGTTTAAAGGCAAATAGGGTCATTTGCATTTATACCAAACGTAGCCTAGCAAATTATTTTCAAAAAGCTTACTTGCATCAAAGATTGTATTAATATTACATCCCCCTTGCTACATACTCTTACTACATACCCTCTTACTCCAGTTAGATTTGAACCCACAACCTCCTGCTAAATGATGCCGATATCATACCCATTCAGCTGACTAGTTTGCATCTGACAAAAGCGCATACAGATGACTCAAGCTTGTCATTAGCTGATAAATTGGCCCAGGACATAACTCACACATTAGAAACAAATTTGTGAAAAGAGGATAAGTAAGATATTTTTAAGACTCGGTAAGTAGGATCCGAGTATCTTTAGCATTAAATTGTATTTATTTATTTATTATTATTTTTTGGGGGTCTAGCTGGGAGGTACTTCGTTTCCTTCTGTCCAATCTGAGATGGTGGGTGGAGGAATATCACTTTGATGGTTTCCGGTTTGATGGAGTTACGTCCATGATATATCACCATCATGGCATAGGTAAGCTCATTGGATACTCGACCCTTTTCTAACCATGGGCGACTTTTGCCGACTGATTACCATAGTGGACTTGTGTTGACAAGGAAACCACACACAGAACACCTGCACAACAGATATATTCACTGCTTCTCAACAAGCCAGCATGCTAGTATGTTTTGCTGCCCATATCAACCATACACCAGCAATTTATAGTGTTACAAAAAAATTGAGAAACATCTTCAGAAGCATCCATGCACAATTTGAGGTATGGAGTGCCATTTGGTCCTGTGGTGAAATGGCTTGCAGTTTTGATAAACATGACCAGATAAAAAAAGGGCATAAGTTTCTTATTTTTGCACATATGGCCTTGATATTTACATCACATGAAAGAGTTATGTTCAAGAAACAAACTTTACCCAGAACACACTTGATTTTAATCAATCATTGACAGTGAAAATCTTGTTTGAAAAAAAAGACGTTTTCCCAACTTGTGGTAAATTTTCGTGTCGCCTAAGCGAAGTTTTTGGGAGACACCAGTCCTAAATTCTGTATGACCGTAGGGCCGTAGACCTGTATGACCATACTCACCAGAACCACTTGTGGGGTACTGATACAAAAGGAGCGGTTTCCCACAAGTGAAATCTTTAGAAAAAGGGATAAAAGGACAACAATGCTCCTACCCCACAAGTCCTTCCTGTTGAGTTGTTCGTATGTCCGTAGCCCCGTATATGTGTTACAGTTTCGGTTCAGTTTTTGAAAAAAATGTATAACTTCTGCATGCTTTCATGGATTTTGACGAAACTTGGATGCAATGACCCTTGGGTAGGAAGACACAATTCTTCATCGGATTACTGAGGTCAAATGTCATGTAGGGGTCATTAGAGGTCATTGTTCACATATGCTTCCAATGTATCTTTGTCTACAGAATTTGATGGATTTGAATGTAACTTGGATGGAGTGATCCTTGGGTTGGGGTTCATCACAACTCTTCCAAAATTGGAGGTCAAAGGTCATGTAGGGGTCCAAATGTCGTTTTTTTAAGAACCCAAAACACAGGGATGGATCGCGGAAAAGGGCCACACATGCGATCCGCGGATCACTTGTACATGCTCTAGTGATTTCCGAATGATTGTCATCATCATCAGACGTCGTAGGCTACTGCCCGTTGACGCAACAACCGTCCACTTCTTCTGAGTTGTGTGGCTGGTGCAGGGGTAATTTGGTGTCAGTGCAGTGCTATGTCAATAAACAATGTGTAGAAAAGGGTGGAATATTCCCCTTTACTGATTTCTGTCAAGATATACTGGGACCAATCCGGCAACTGTCCCAAAACTTTTGCAATGGCAGTGAAACCTATGGTGCAATGTATTTGGAAATCTGAACCAGTAAGTGACAGTCTGCGATTGACCAGACAACAGCGACACTTGCTTAGAAAAATATAAGGGGATTCCCCATAGTGAGAAATAGCTGGTTCCCTTGAAATCGTGTTGTCTTTGTAATTAGGTGAATATGTTGTGTTGCTGATGTTAAAATGTAGCAGGTTAGTCAACAATTTAGCGGGGCAGCATAACCTGAATGGGGCGGCATTCAATATAAGCAGCAAAGCCCACCATCCTTAAACCCTCTCGTGGAGTAAGCTGTTGCAGTGAATGCAGAACAAGAATAACCAAGTGTAAAAATATAACTTTCATTTGATTTCTTTCAGGGACAGGATTTAGTGGAGGCTACCATGAGTATTTTGGCTTATCAACAGACACAGATGGTCTAACCTACCTGACACTAGCCAACCACATGCTGCATTCATTCTACCCAGATATCATCACTATCGCAGAGGTAATCATCGTAATGTCAATTGAAGCAATGTGTGCCCACCAATATTGGCACTCAAGGTGTAATTGCTCCTGCAGAAGGTCAACAAATAAGACACAAAACACAAAAAGTTTTTTTTTTACAAAAAGAACTGGCACAGCCAAATTTGAGCTATCACAGTTGAGCAAAATCAATTTTTGTTTAAAAAAATATGATAACTAAACAATCAGAACATTTCTGAAGTTGGATCATAATGGAGCACACTGCCCCTGCTATTTGACCCAATCAACTGTGCAAAGAGCAGATTAACTCATTGGTCTTGAGTTCCATGCTCCAGACCAATAATTGTACTGGTGTAAATAAAGTACATGTAGTAATAAACTTGTGGTTTCCAAATAAAACTCTGCTTGAGGTAATGCTTGTTTTGAGACTGAATGACTTTCAGTGTCTTGTGGTGACTCGTTAGGACTTGAATACGAGCATTGATGTATTCAAGGTTTTGCTAATGATTCATAACGGCACATTTGTGTAGGATGTTTCTGGGATGCCTGCATTGTGTCGTCCAGTCAGTGAAGGAGGCAATGGTTTTGATTACCGTCTTGCCATGGCTCTACCTGACAAGTGGATTAAGGTGAGCACCCCAAACACGCTAGCAAATACTGAGTTTTGTAATCTGCTTACGACAATGTTTTGTCAAAGTGTATAGTTCCCTTGCTTGTAACGTAATGAAATAAACAAAAACTCAGTTTGGCTTTCCCAAGATATAACATCCCATTAGCAAGTATTTGTTTACTCTTGATAGCACACAAGCTTGAACACATTCAGAAGCCTGTTAATCAAAGACGAAGGTTGCTCAGAGTGAAAAAGGGTCTCAATAATACAAAATTAATGGCATAATTAGGCAGAGTAAACTGAACTCACTGTGATGTTCAAGCCAATACACATGTACAGGCACACAGTGTCTAACAGGTGGCTCACTGCACATACAGCCTTAAATCTTGTGCATCGTAAGAAATGCAAATAGTCTTTGTGCAAAATGAATACCATTTGCAACATCTACAAATGGACGTCAATGTTTTCCCCGTGATGCACTGTAAGATACCAGCCTCCTTAGCTAAGCACTCGGTGACACACTATATTTTGAAGCTCCCACATTGCTTCATACATTCAGATCTTCAAATGTATTTTTCGACCTAACAGTTGTTGAAAGAGCAGAAAGATGAAGATTGGAACGTAAGTGACATTGTCTGGACTTTGATAAATCGTCGTCATGGTGAGAAAGCAGTTGCGTATGCAGAAAGCCACGACCAGGCTCTAGTTGGTGACAAGACGTTGGCATTCTGGTTAATGGATAAAGAGATGTACACCAACATGTCTAAGTTGACTCCATTAACCATGGTCATTGATAGAGGCCTTGCATTGCATAAAATGATCCGTCTCATCACGCACGCACTGGGTGGAGAAGCATGGCTCAATTTCATTGGTAAGACCTTACTCACTCAGGTTATTGTCTCCAGCTTGCAGAGATTGATGTCCCTGACATGGGGCACTCCTTACACAATGTATGGTCCTGTACTACCTCCAAACTGTCAAATCCTTTCATGCAATTGTAGTGTATTTCCATTTTGCTTTGGACTTTCAAGGCTTGTAAGTGATTCTTGAGTGAGAAATACTTGTGTACAAACAAAGACTGGAGACAATGCAGATGCATTGAAAACCCTTTTGAACCACCAAATGTTTGAAAATATCTATTTGAGACAAAAATGCCTAAAATGTGTCAACAATTTGCCAACAATGGTTGTCAAAGCTGCATAGGTATATGTGTCCAAAGTTCAGAGATTTTTCCCAAGTAAAGATATTTCAGGCATGTAATAATTGACCCCAATTCATAGGAATGCACACCATTAAGATGTGAATTTGTGTGTTACATATCAAATGTGTCGCATGTCAATATACATGTAAAATAGACAGCACTTTACATCTCAGGGTGTACAGAGCTAGTAGGGTTTTACTGAATCCACAGATTCTGTCTCTCAATTGGCCAAGATGGTATCATGTGACTTTATTGTACTGTGCACTCAAAAGGAGACTCAACCTCAACAACCTCATTGTGATAATAACTACACCCATAGTAACTAGTAATGTTGATGATTGTAACAATTTCTGGAGAATGAAACATCACAAGCTTTGTGTCATCTCTCATGAGTGTTTCCTAATTTTACAAAAGGCTCTCGGTTTCGATGTTTTGTTGTCACTTGTATCTATAAAGGCAAATGATATTTAGGTGATACGATGCTACATAGATTTCAAAAATGAGTTTTTAGGTTCTCATAGTTAATCACGAGCTGTAAAGATTTGAAGGTGTGCGCAGTAAAGTAAACAATAAGAGTAAGTTTCAGTTGCACATTGTGACATAAAATCTCTTTTGTAAGTTTGCGTGGTTCCAAGAAGAACCGGTGCTTTGACCATTGTCAGTAGAATGACCTAGTGATGGTCTGAGCATCCAGACTGAAACACTCAGTTAACACTAGTGTTGGCTCTTATCAGAAGCGTTTCTCTTTTTCTAGGGCAAATGAACACAACATTTATTTGCTTAAAAAAAATCAATATTAACAAATTCTAAAGTTGATGACACCTTCCTTAAAAGCTGGAGCTTGCGTTAGATTGCCTAATATTACAGCAACAAAATGGAAAAAACAACACAACCCCCCCCAAAAAAAAACCCCACTGATTTTCATAGAAATTAAATCCTTTAAATAATTGGTATAAAAAAGATATTACAATAAGTTTATTTGTTACATTTCAGGAAATGAGTTTGGTCATCCAGAATGGTTGGATTTCCCACGTCCAGGAAACAACAACAGTTTCCATTATGCCAGGAGACAATGGAACACTGTGGATGACCCCAATCTACGCTATCAACATCTCAATAACTTTGACCGGGCCATGAATGAGTTACAACAGAAGAAACAATGGTTGAAGAGTCCTCAGGTACACCAACTATGTCACCAGTGTCATTGTGAATCTTCTTCATTATACAATAGCTGTATTGTGGTATTAGACTGTGGACGGTAATAGCTTGAGAACTGTACACATGATGCATTTCAGACGTTCCAGCATGAAGACCTAACGGACTGCACAGAGGCACAGAGTACATCACCGCTACATCACCTCACATCACCTCATGTACATGTACCTCATGTACCTCATGTACCTCATGTACATGTACCCTGGCTACATCACCTCACATCACCTCATGTACATGTACCTCATGTACGTGTACCCTGGCTACATCACCTCACATCACCTCATGTACATGTAACATCATGTACATGTACCCTGGCTACATCACCTCACATCACCTCATGTACATGTACCTCATGTACATGTACCCTGGCTACATCACCTCACATCACCTCATGTACATGTACCTCATGTACATGTACCCTGGCTACATCACCTCACATCACCTCATGTACATGTACCTCATGTACATGTACCCTGGCTACATCACCTCACATCACCTCATGTACATGTACCTCATGTACATGTACCCTGGCTACATCACCTTGATTGGTTTCAAAAACGTTTGAATATTTTGGTCTCTGCTGCTTTATACAGCCAGAATACACCCTGTGTATGAGGTACTGTATTGCACACAAACCCTCATGCAGTCAGTGTAATAAACACACACACAAGAAATCAAAGCATTAAAAACGGTGACGGTTTCAAAATGAACAAAAAAAAGTCTTAACCAAAACGGCAATATATATTATCCTGTTGATTACGTCATATAGCATGAAACTGTTATGAATAATACCATGATATATTAGTGAGTGAAAGGTTTGCGGAAACACCTTGTGGGGATAATGGTTCTGAAACGAACCAGAATGGTTCTGAAACGAACCAGAGGTATAAACTCTGGTCAGTATGCTCTGACCGTCTTCATGAGAAGAACTGTTCTGTATAAGACAAATGTTCTAATTTGAAATGGTTCATAGGTTTGTACACACTACAGGGCATTATGGCACCCTTGGCATTGCTTCAGGTACATACATGTAACTGCAATGGACCCCACACAGTAGAGTGAACAGACAATTGTACATGTACATTGTTTTCCCTTGTGATGTGGTCCATGCATGTTGTATATTTAATGGGGTATACTTGCCCTAGAGAACATGTCAAAGTTACATCACGTGTAAGCAGGAGGTTTAAGTTCCACTTATCAGTGAGTTGTACATGTAAGTGTTGATAAAACTATGTTGGTTAAGGCCACAACAGACAATGGTCCATTAAACCCTTAAGGCACATACTGCATGTGTACTATTTCTGACCTGTCATCATCAAATCAGCATCAAGTTGGACATTGCCATTTTGCAGAGCAGTGGGCCAAAGCCAACATTTGGAGGGTTGGTCCATTGGTTTTGTTTTCAGGTGAACCTCAATCTGTAAGACCTTTTTTTAGTTTTACCAACTTTTTGTTTTATTAAACATATTTAAAACCCACTTTCATCCTGTTTTATTAGTCAACTGTCCATTCATTGTAATGCAACAGCAGGAATTTTAAATGTCATTTTCTCAAAAAATTACTTTTTAAAACTTCAAATTAGTTGACTGTCTATATTTCCATTGCAGAACTTAGTACGCCCCAAATGTTACACACTATTAGAAAGCTCTTGTTCTGCAGAATCCAGAAATACAAATATATTTCAAGTCTTCAAAAATCTGATTTTAAGCTCAATTTGTGGTGACAGGTCACATTTTTGTGATTGTTAGCTAGTATGTGACTTGTTTAAACAGATAACTTGCATGGTTTTGTTTGGTTTTTCTGCAGGCTTATATTAGCTGCAAACATGAAGGAGACAAGCTGATTGTGTTTGAACGAGCAGGTCTTGTCTTCATCTTCAACTTCCATTTCACGAAGAGCTTCACAGACTATCGCATCGGCACCAATGTACCTGGAGAGTATCCTTGTCAAGTTGTTTTGGTCATGAATCAAGTGATGAGAAACCTGGTGTTCAGGGAATAAACTCATTGACAAATCTACATTTGACAATTTTCTCATTTGGATAAACACAGCAAAATTGCAAGAATATAAGGCAGCAAAAAATTAAACTTAATCTGCAATCTGCACTTGTTACGGCAATGAAAAGATGATAGAAGTAAAGAAGAAGCAAGACTGTTAAACGTGTGCCTGTCAGTTTTTAAGAGCTTTTCTTTATTTGTATTGATGCTTACTTCAGGACAACGACGACAACAACATCTTTGAGTTTGCCGGAATGTGGAGGATTGTTTATCCAAATATATAACAATTGTCAAATCTTGCTCTGCCTGATAGTTTGATAGTGATTGCTAATTGGAGACATTTGAGACGGTGGTGGCAGCAAACACACCGGTTCTTTTCAATTGTTTACGTCATGTTTAAGCTGAAGTACGCATGCTCAATATGACGCAAACAAAGGAAAAAGGACAAGTGTGTTTGCTGCTGTAAAATAGTAAGATCATCCAGTGTTGTAGTCCAGTCCATGAAAAGTGTAGGACAAGTACAGTCCATTCACAAGTCCGCTCACAATAAACAAATGACAGGGGATGAACAATGACAAGGGAATGCCTTGGGCACAGCTCATTTGATCAGCTTGTGATTTGACTTGAGACTGGCTGACTTGTGATGGACTCTAATACAAAGTTAAGATGTCATGTGATGTGACTCGGCCAATCAGGACACAGAATTGGTGGGTGAAGTGTTATAATACACTTGCATACATTCATGCTGCAAGTGTACTTGTTCATTTGGCTGGATTGTTTAGGAGTGCGATTTGTCCTTAATTCCTTCCAAAAGGTACAAGATACTTCTTGACTCTGATGCAGAAGAGTTTGGTGGTCATTGCAGACTTGATCATAAGACACAGTACTTTACATCACCATCACCATGGCATGACAGGCAACATTCACTGCAAGTAAGGAATCGTCATTATGTCAACTGCTTGCTTTTTCTGAGAAACAAAATGCAATTACTCCTTAGAACTATTTGTTGAGGACCTTCCGTTATCCTACCAAGTCCTCCATTGTACTGAAACCCAATTGCAACATTCTTTGTACTTAACTTCCAAGGGGCAGCAAGTCATATCACTGTATGCATAGTGGGGGGGGCGATGCTTAGTTCCATTGGGATGTGCATGTGTAGACCTTTCATGCATTCATTGACATTGGCTCAAAATAACTAAGAATACTCTCTATATGGACTGCAACAGTGGCTGGCAACATGTACAACATATTTTATTATCAAGAACAACATTGGGTTTCGTGAATTACCTCGCAGAAATAAATTGATTGTTAGATAATTTCCAACAGTGTTTGCATGACATTTTGCATGTTGTAAGAATACAAACTTGTACATTCAGTATCAACGTTGTTGCTGGTGGGAGGGGAGGGGGGCAGTGCAGTAGGCTGGTTCCCGGTCCTTCTATCATTGGTATTGCTACAGTAGAACATCGCTATAATTAATTTTCCTTCATTTTCAGTCAAATTTGATATTGCTGGCATTATTTCTTAATGAAGAATGTACATCGTACACATGTACAGACGCACATCATGTCAACTTTGAGTGCCACGCCGGCGGCCAAAAACTTGCTGTAGTGAATGATCGCAATAACAAACATTCTTTTGTGAACTCCATTGTGTCCGTTCTGTATTTTGTTTTTAGAGCGGCAGGAACTAGTCTGTTTTCACAACTGTTTGCCAACAAGGCATGGGCTTGCGTGGCAAGCCCATGCGTGGCAAGCCCATGCGTGGCAAGCCCATGCGTGGCAAGCCCATGCGTGGCAAGCCCATGCGTGGCAAGCCCATGCGTGGCAAGCCCATGCGTGGCAAGCCCATGCGTGGCAAGCCCATGCGTGGCAAGCCCATGCGTGGCAAGCCCATGCGTGGCAAGCCCATGCGTGGCAAGCCCATGCGTGGCAAGCCCATGCGTGGCAAGCCCATGCGTGGCAAGCCCATGCGTGGCAAGCCCATGCGTGGCAAGCCCATGCGTGGCAAGCCCATGCGTGGCAAGCCCATGCGTGGCAAGCCCATGCGTGGCAAGCCCATGCGTGGCAAGCCCATGCGTGGCAAGCCCATGCGTGGCAAGCCCATGCGTGGCAAGCCCATGCGTGGTAAGCCCATGCGTGGCAAGCCCATGCATGGTCTGACAACCCTCATACCAGGTCCTCATGCATCATGGGCTGAATCGGGGTAAAACGAGGAAAATTAGACACAATGATAACAAAAGTTGCAACCACTGCTACATGAATCACCCTTGAATGATGGCGCTTTATGTTTTCCATGCAGGTGTATATACCAAGTCGTGTGGCCTTGGTGCTCGGTCTGGTATACGACACACCCTCACCCTGATGTTGCAGCTGATATTATGACAATGACTGTAACAACCACAATGGCTGAACTGTGATTGGAACTGGCTATTATATACCTCTAGGGTAAATCTAACCCTTTAAGTGCATGTTATTTTGATCCAAAATGATTTTTTTGTGTTGGGTAGACGATAAACGTTGGACACAATGATGCTCTGACAAACTGAAATAGCATGGTCAACTTAAAGCCTAACATGCAGAATGTTGAATCGTTCATTTTTTTAGAATGCACTCACAGTACTAAATTCTAAAGATGTAGATCATTATCCGTCTGTAAATTCAACATTTGATTTGGTTTTCGTATGAAAAAGTGAGATGGTAAAGAAGCAGCTTATTGTAGTCGATTAAAGAGAGTAGCCAAAATGATATGTTCTCATGGGCCTATAAGGCCATGGCGCTGTGCATAGTAAGCACATATAATCTACAAAAGGGCTGGTAGCTCAAACAGTTTTCTGGACCAGAGTACTTTTACAAGACCTGTGCTACTAAAACGGAACTACATATTTGCAGTTTTAAGTGAGAAAAACAAGGTGTTAAGTTGAAAAGGCAGAGTAATGTGATGCTGAAGGACAGACTCAGTGGTTTGAAATGGAAAATGCAGAACATAAAAAATGCAATGAATGTGAACGTCTAATTGGAAAAGAGGAGTATTTGACTTGCTCCAATGGGAATTTCAATGGCAGTTGGAGTAAGTAGTGCTCAGTAGTGTTAACACTAACGGGACAACTGACCTAGTTCAATCATAGAAAGCACCACACTTGTGCGTGTACTTGCTCAAAAAGAATTGTCCCATTTGAAATCATGAATGGATGTTATTCTCTGTAAGTGATACCATACAAGTAAAAGTTTGACGGCCAGTTCTTGTAAGTGAATTTGCCAAAGTTAAACACATTTTAATTCAGGGAACAAGATGTGAAATAGCCATCTTGTAAATTTGGATTTTTAAAGGGAAAATACAACATTTGCAAACATCAAAAAATAAAACTACCAAATCATTTTGAAATACCTTGCTGGACTGTTAGTGAATGACAGTGAAAAGCATCCTGTAGAATCATGGCACCTGGTATACTGTCATTTTCAAGAAAAGTGGTATTTTTGTATCAATTTCCAACGCTGATTGGCCGATCAGCGTTGGAAAAAACTGGCTTTGTTTCAAATACTGGCCCCAATTGACCATCGCACTTGTTTGCAATCGATTACACACCTATGAACGGGTACAAGCCAGCTAGACTGGTTCCCTGACCTTACAATTCCCCAATGTATGTAAACTGCTCTGTTTCTTCTAAAATGGAGTCAGGGAACCAGACTACAGAAAAATGATTGTTTTTCTTGGTTTTTATAGCATTTTTGAACCCAAAACCTCAAACAAGTCAGTGTTACTATATTTGCTATATATTTCCAACCCCCCAATTCCATCCATTTCTGAAAATTACAGCAAAAGAAAATGATGTATATTCCCTTTAAAGAACTTTTTGCTTTTAAATTAACTCTTAGTCGGGGATGTAGTCATGTCCATCTTAAGTCCTCCAGTCCCTATTCTAATCACAAGCTATTCAAATCAGCTTTGACAAAGGCATTCCTTTGTTATTGTTCATCTACTGTTTCTTGTGACTGGATTTATGAGTGGACTACATCCCTGCTTTGAGTATGGAACTAATTGTCTTATGTGAAGTTCCCGACGATGTCTGGACTTGCCATCTCCAGCTGGCACCACAGCTTGCTATGGGCTCCATGCGCCAACAAGAGAGGGTGCTTTTTGGCCACTTTTGAGACAATGCAGAAAGCCATCATTGATGCATTCCAATGTCTTGTCGATGGTCTCCCCCAACTCTCCATGTCTTGCTGATGGGGGGTACTTGTGCATGGAACCCATATGCAAAGAGTTGACGGCAGAATGCTAAGAATTGACTTGAGTAGGGTTTGAACCAGTGAGCTCAGGAACCATGCAGCAATACTCTACCACCTAAGCTAATATGTATATTGCTCTAATTGTGGTCTCCTGAGTCTCAATGTTTGTACTCAAGGCAGTTTTGGTCAAAAGTTGCTAGGCTTTTCATCTTGCACAAATTGCGGGGAAAGTGATGACTTACTTTCATTATATTTATGAATAAGGAAATTGACCAATCCTACATGTGCATCAAGACTTATCAATGGAGTGTAAAACAATCATGTGATTGCAGGTTCAAAATAAGTCCTAATGGTGCTTTGAAGAAGAAATTTAATATGAACAGCATTTCTGTTGAATTTCATACACACTCTCTTTCAAATTCTATTTTTGTGTCCAATAACTCCAACATCTTGTTCGTCCTACTTGCATTATTTTAAATGTATTTAGATTATAAAATTGTAAAATTAAAGCTCCTAAAAATTCAGTTGATACATGGTAAGAACACATTTTATCTTCCATGACTTATTTAATGAACATTCCTAAATTTATGAGGTCATTTTATTCAACAGACAACTGAATTAAATGTTTGTGCATGTAATGGATTTCTTATATGTTTGAGAGTTGAGACACGCCATAGTTGTGTTGTCCACATTCTTGTGAACATGCTGGGCTTTTAAATGAGTCTTAATGACCAATTTATTATTATATGGAATGATCTTGCTGTCTTAAAGTCAAATAAATGTGATGATCCATGAAACTAAGCTGCCAATAAGTGATAATGAAAGGTCAAAAGCAACTTTTGGGGTTTCTGCATTCAGTTAAACATGATTGGAATTTCATTGGAATCTAGTTCAAAGTATGCTTTTTATAAAAGTTTGTACTCGTTTGTTTTAGTCTGTTAACTTGGTGGGAATCATATGGAGAAACGTCTGATAATTCACAGATGTAAAAACATAAAGGTCTTTTCACAACGAAAATGATCTTACATAAAACAGTTTTTTACCAGGTAGATAAGGCCAGTCAAAAAAAAGGCTCCGGTTTCTGGTATGGAGCTTGCCCAAAAAGTGGTGCGGCGACGCGGCTTTTTTTTTTTTTTTTGCCTGATTTTTTTGCTTCAAATGTGTGCTGCTGACTGCAAATGGTGCCCGACTAAACTTAGTGCAAATATATGGGAGTCCAGAGAGAAACCGGAGACTTTTTTTTTGGCCTAAAGCTGTTTACTATAAATTTGTTTACTATAAACAATTTCTGTTCTTTTTTAAATTCCCCTCAAGTACGTGTGCATGGCTTGCATCATATGGAATCAGAGACAGGTTACAGTATTTCCAAAAGATTTGTCTTTAATTGGGATAGGGTTTGCAAAATGGTATCTTTGGAAAACGATAGAATTGTTTGCAGTGACTAGATCGTAGTGAAACATGCCCAGTACCACCATTTACAGGTGATTGGTGCTCAAATGAAGCCTTAGGATCACATGATGTTGCTTTAAACAATAAAAGTATAATCATGACAATGATATTCTTTGTGACCTGTCCTATTATTTCCTGGGATTAATACTATTTTCTAGTATTTTTTATATGCCAAAATATAAATTAGTTATTGGTTGAAATGGTTTGAATGTGGAAGCATTTATGCCATACATTTGTTTTATTCTAAATGTCACTCACTATGGGTGCGTTTGATTAGCTTACACGTGTAAGGGAAGCTTACATGAGAGTGTTTGATTAGCCATCATGTGATCCTCGTGTCTGCCCTGGTGCCAACCGCCACTGCCCTAGCTTGCGAGCGCGTCTCTGGTGGCTGCTCGGTTGTGTGACGTAAGTGGACAATTTCTTTGATAGCAAGATTAAAGATTAATATAAATTGAGTACAGAGGGGAGATTTACGACTCAAATATTGCCAATTACTCGTGATGTTCAATTGGATAGACATATTTTTGAAAATTCAGAGTATATCCTCCGATTTCAGCAATCATTGTGATCTGGTTACAGTGAAGCAGACGACAGTGTGCCTGGTGTGTTCACATTTTAAAATCCCACCCCAAAACAACCTTTGACCTTAAATTTCCCAGAATGCCCAGGTGAATACATCGCTAATTGTACGCACCCTATATAACCTTGTTCAGTGTGAATGTGCAAATGCAATGTAAAGTGTGAAACTGAAAGATAATTAGTGATGAGTATCTTCAACTAGTACCATGCACTGAATAGACATGGTCCTCCTGTGATCATCTTTGGTATTTGACCCCCAAATAAGAGTCATGCAAATACTTCTGTGAATTAGTCAAGTGGCTTAGATCCAAATTTGGACAAAATTGTGACCGACTGGTCCAAAGCGCCAAACTTGGCAGATAGATTCTTAAAGCCCTAGAGAAGGCATTTAGAAGGGGTGATACCTGAAATTCTTTGGAAGGGTGCCCAATTTGCATAATTTGTAAATAGCCACCATGTAATATTTGTTTCATATTTTGGTATATTTTTATTTTTTTTTATTTTGAAAAGTATATTTTGGGATGCTACTCACATATCCTTACTCAAATAACACTTTCAAAGCATATAAGTGAATTATAAGGACATATGAAAGACCCAACATGGCTACTATTATACCCTAAACTTGTGCACATTCATCTTTGCCCCAGATATCCTCAAGTATTTTCTTGCCAAACCTCAGTAAGCAAGTATTGTCTTGCCAAACCTCAGTATTGATGAGCTTAACTTCACACAGTTACTTACTGGCACAGTTACCCCAATAAAACTATATGGAAAATCATGTGAACAAATATAACGTCATGATATTAAGCCCAGAAAACAAAAAAAGGAAAAAGTGAGGCATCTGTAAATTGGGATAAAAATTAGGCAAAGGGTTGCCAAACATGGGGGACTTCAACAAACTTAAAGAAACCCCCAAATGTACCTGTAAGAAACATTTCACATCGACATAATTATTATAAACAACCATAGTCTCTTATATTTTGGGGATTTCTTTGAAGTTGTTCTAGTCTCCCTTGTGTAGACAACCCTTCTCCCTAATTTTAGTCCAATTTACAGACACATCTTTTTTTCCTTTTTGTTTTGTTTTCTGGGCTAAATATCATATTATCATTGTTCATGTGATTTTCCATATAGTTTTATGAAGGTTACTGAGCCAATTATCAACTTTTGAGAATTGGAGGCTCAGCAATACTGAGGTTTGGCAAGACTACACTTGCTATCTAAGGAGAAAGGTAAGTGCACGAAACTTTAGGGTATAATAGTAGCCATTTTTGATATATATTTCCTCAATATCATCCAGTCACTTCTGTTCTTTCGAAATGCAAGGATATGTATGTAGAATCTCCAAAATATACCGGTACTTTTCCAAAAATAAAAAAAAAATAAAAAAATATCAAAGTATAGGAATAAATATATTACATGGTCACTATTTACGATTGATGCAAATTGGGCACCCTTTCCAAAATAGTTTCAGTCTAAATATATTCTTTAGGGCTATTGAGAATCTATCTGCCAAGTTTGGTGCTTTGCATGGACCAGTCGGTCACCATGTTGACCTCTCATTTGGGGCAACCCTTTGGAGTTTCAGGAAGGGATGTCACTCTGGAACATTTTCCTTTTACTCCACAGGGCCGGGTGGGGTAAGGATCTGTTAATGCCCCCAACCTTTGATATTGAGGGATTACAGGTTTTGATGGCTGGAGGGCGTATATTAAAGACGATGAACACAATTATTTATCCAAACAATGTGCAAATATTTACATATATGACAGAGAGTGATTCATAAACTTTCATCGTCGTTTATTCCTGTGTTTAGTATATACATGTCACTTTTTAAAATCTGTACAGTTATCCAATTACAAAATACATCCCAGTTCTAACCATAAATGATCAATATTAGTATCAAACATTTGCTATGAATTATACAATTTGCTATAAATTACAGGATTTTTGCCAAATAGATACACTGGACTTATTCTTTCACTAAACATTGAAGTGATTTTTTCCTGTTTTCCAATCTAGCAGTTCATATCTGACCTCATGTTCACTGTACATATTATGTTACTATCAGACCGTGTTCAATGTACATTATGAAGTTATCAAATCTTTCTTTTTCCCCTAGCAAATTAGCAATTTCTATTTTAGACACCTGAAACCCATCAAAACAAGCTTTGACTCTGGATTGCTTTTGCGCCTGTTATGCCTGAATTATTGTGGTCCACAGATAATAGTTCTTTACCAACTTGAAATATGAACATTAGCTGCAGGAAGAACTTTTTCTCCCAACAACTTATTAATGTGTGGAATGCTCTGCCTCATGAAGTAGTGAATGCTAGAACCGTGCCAGCATTTAAGAAAGAGCTTGACTCACTTTGGAAGAGAACAAAGATAGGATGTGGGGTCACAAAGGCTAGTGCCTAAGCAAATTACCCATAAAAACATAAGTGTAAGTGTAAGGCATTTCTTTGTCATTGTTCATAACTGATTACTGGCTTGCGTTTGACTTGATTTATACTACTCTGATCAATCTATATCAAAATATTAATTTACAATATGCATTACAGGAATCAAATTGTTAACAAAACAGTTGAAGGCAGAACAAGGGGTCAATCTATTTAATATCAGGTTTTTATTTGGAGTTGCGATTCACAAGCTTGCTCAGGTGAGACTCTGCTTAATATAAATGCATATATCTCTTAAAGCTATAGTCCATCATTTGCAGCCATCCGAAAAGTAATTGGCGTAATTACTGTTGAAAAACATACTTGGTTGAAAGATAGTAAGTGGACTAAACTCCCTGTGAAATTATTCTTTCTGGGAAGCTGTCATTTTGAAGTAATCAACGAAAGAAGGCATTTCCAACGGTGATTCTTAAGAAGCACCGTAGGAAAATTTAAATTAGTAGTTCGTTTTGTTATTCGGCGCAGCGCGCACAAGTATTGGAACGACGCACACGTGCACGCGGTTGTTATAATTCGTCGGATCAGTGCGCGACGCCGCGTATAGCTGCAATTCAAAACAATTCAAAACATGATTCAGTAACTTTTGATTTGAAATTGAGATCTTAGAATGCTGCTTTTCTCGGAATGTACAGCTGAAGCTTAGCTGAAACTTCATCAGGTTAGTTGCTCAGTATCCTTCATTAGATTTTGAACACTTTTGTTGCTTCAAACGAACAAAATGCACTAATTACAAATGATGGACTATAGCATTAACCTACAGTAAAACATAAAACAGTAAAGAATGGCATCTGAAAAACAACAAAATCAGGATTATTTTTCACTATTGTATGCACAAATGAGCTACAAGCATTGCAATCTCAAATGTGGTATCAAATAAAAATGGATTACAAAACCTTATATTACAATAAGATACTAAACAGTTCAGAAGCTGCATTAGCAATACAAGTCTTTTTAGAAATTTGTTTAATAAAAACAATTATGGCAACATTTTGTTTGCCATGCATTTCAGGTTTTCAGATCTTTTACTCATGCTCATTACATGTACGTGGAATAGAAAGCTCATGACATGGAACGAGTACCACCCAGCCAACAAATATATAGTTTAATGTATATTATTCAGTACTTACTTTTTTTGGTTTGGAGGGGGTTCATGAATATATGTATGCACATTTTGAAGTTTTTAATTTAACATTAGTATTACATGTATTTTTGTTTCTATTTAGGAAGTATTTCTAGATGCATGGCTTAAAAATGATTGTAAGTACTATTTAATCATTGATGTAATCTCCAGAACACCGAGATATAGTGTAAGTGTCTGGAAGTTCTGAATTCTTAGCTGTAAACACTTTGAGAGGTGTGCCAGGAAGATGGAATGTTGTAGAAATTGTTTTGGGCTAAAATTATGGATTTATGCAAAATAGAAGTGTTATTGTGACTTTATTTTAAGACAAAGAGAAAGGTTCATATTTTATAATAGAACTTAGATTATCTTGATTCATTGTGTTTTCTATCAAGTGTGCGAAACTGATTTCAGAGTCTGACACGTAACGTCCGTGACGTTATAATGTAACATCAGTTACAACAAACATGTTTCCACAACATCAAGGGGCTTTTTGTAAAATGTCATTGGTGTTTCTATAAAGTGAAGTTGTATCTATCACAACAAAGTTGTTTCATTAAATTCTTGCAAGAAACTTCACCGACTTTTATCAATGAGTACTAGAAGTCAAAACCTGTGTCAGAATGTATGACGTCTGTAACAGTCATTCTCAGTGCTTAATATCTGATTACTTAATTCAGCTAACACTATACCACGTCATGTTATACATAAAGGCCTTTAAGCTAGAGTTGTACCAAATATATCAAATTGGCTTTCACTGCAAACATTTTATTTTGTTTATTCCATTTGGTCAGTAGTCTCTGCAACGTAACGTCCCATATAACACCTCATCCACAGATACTGCCACATGGTATTCACTACTTGTTACTATTTTGCTGTACACGACCAAAATCACTTTGCAACAGCTCTGAAAAATGCCATACGCATAGCAACTAATGTACCAAACAGATGTCTGTGAAAAAATGGATGTATACGATTGTGCACTTTACGCTCGCAGTTCCTAAGTACAAGAGTCGGGTACAAACAGTTCATGGATATCCAACATTCAGAAGAATCAGTAGGTGAGGTGTCATAACACTAATTACTATACCTCATAAATATTCAAAGGGCAACCGTGGCATTTCTTGGTCGATTCCAGCAACTCAACTGTGTGAGAGTTTTTACAATCACCCCGCGTCTTCGTACGCGCGCGTGACGCGCAAAAACCAGGGAGGTACTATCACACACCTGGGTCGCAGCCTTAGATTTGTTCCAGTACTGTGTTATCTCTTTACCAACAACACATGTGCTTTACGTGCGTACCGTGGAGAACACCAGTGAGGACAGTTGTGCCAGTCTATTACGGCATTCATCAAAACGGCGACCAGTGGTGCTCGCTTTGCGATTTTTAACCGAGGAGGCAAGTGGGTGAAATTTTACACAATAAAAATAAATGCAGTGTTTTGCGTTAATGTTAAAATTATTAAATGACACAAAATTTACTTTCTATTCTGTCTGCCTCCTTAAATTAAACTAATGTTTCACTGTATCCAAATACTGCACGATCAAAAACATGGTGGAATGGACGAATGAAATACCGCAGCTGCCTAATGAATATGTATGAGGTATAGTAAAACAAATGCAACATGTTTTTTTTTGCAGGGAAATAGTGAAAACAAATGACCCCTCGGTGTGACATTAGTTTTCACTATTTCCTAACAAACCATGTTGTATTTGTATACTATAACCTCCCACTGTGATACATAGGGCTTTTATTTCCCTGGGTTTCATCTTTTAAACACAGGACTCCATGGATCATTATTCACTTCAGGTGGCTGGTTTTAGTACACCACTCAAAGCAGGAAATATTTGTACATTTACCCTAAAAAGCACCGTCTAAGTCATTTTGTTGGGTAGGTCACAAGAGTGGGCCTGAACAGCAAGGATCTTATTGTGGTAGTAGAGATACATGTAACAGACCTTATGCATAGCGGCCATCTTAGAGGGCATCTTTTGTTATTTTAATTCAGTCACAATGAATGCACACAAGGTTGACTCATGCATATCCCAGCAAAACAAAGGCACTGCCCTCTAAGATGGCTGCTATGCATAATGTGCATTACAATATATGGTGATTACCCCGTCCTTGACCAAGTGTTCTTTATTGAAAACGATGTGTTATGAGTCCCTTGTAGAAATGTACAGAGTCACGTAGCATGTCTCTCTACCACACTGCTCAGGTGTGCCTGTGGGGTGCAGGGACAAGAGACCCTTGTGCCCATCTTTGCTCCTTATTTTAAAAGGTTTTCAGCTTTGAGTGACGTCAGTTTAAACGCCCATTAAAAAAAAAAAAAACCCAGAAAAACTCCCAAGTTGTTAAGAGGAGCAACAGGATTATTAGAGAGATTCGGCAAGCTCACAATTTGAGCCTGTATCATGTATCTGTATGGATTCTGCATATGACGTCATCACTTTTGTGCCCTTTCAAACGCCAGGTGGGAAATTTGACACAGAAAGTACGTGTGGAAGTCATCTGATACGGGAGCAGTACGTATGCAAGTTTCTCGATTTGACACCAAACTTGTGCCAACATGATGCCTCTCATAACCTCTAACTTTTAATTACATGACGAATGATACATCTCACATTGCTTTGTGGTTTTTGTTGGTACCTTTTTGAGGCATCAAAGTTGTCTAATTTATGCGTATCGTTTGTGCATTAATCACATAGAAGCTCCAGGCTAACGGAGCGTGATGTTATGTACAACATACTAGGCCTTTGTGCCACCTAACTGATTTCCTTTATACATGTACATGGCTGCACGATGCCAAAACTGCATTTTGCATTTCCCAGCACGTATGTGTATGTTTTTGTATGTGTGATGTCATACAGACACGCATACAGATAAATGAATTTTTCCCACTTGCCGAACCTCTCTATTATCCAAGGTCCAATTTCATAAAGCTGACTGAATAGATTTGCTAAGCACAACATGTGTACATGTATATTGCTAGTGGCGGGTTATTATCTGATATCTTCTATGCACATGTTTGCTGAGTGGCAGTTCATGTTAAGCAACTCTATGAAACTGGGCCCTAGTTACACAGTATCCTATCCAAATGTCTCTTGCGCAGCGTACACCAGATACAAGAATCCGTCTTCATCTTTTTCTTGTTCGTAGATCTCTGAGATTGGAGTCGAGACGCTGACCAGGCTCTTGTGATTAACCAAGAGGAAGAAGGCTTGTGTAGGACTCAGTTGCAATCTTCTCCTGTAGCAAATGTATCAAATTAAAATGCACAATTTACATGTGTGGACCTTCATTATTTATTTATTTTTTTTCAAAATAACCAAGATATTTGTTACTCCTATGAAGACTGAGTTGGACTATTTGTTCATGATATAAACATGTTGCACCTGTCCACAATGTTCTAAGTGTTAATGTCTTTACTGAAACATTAGTCAAATCACAAAACTTGTGTGTCCCCCGCTGTACATTTACTGTGCACTGTGATATGCCTGGTTCTTGGTAACCAACATTGGAACCGCCCTCGGTTGGCTGGTCCAGCAGTAAATAGTTGACTCCTAGTCCTAAATTGGTTTACTCCTCACACTTCAGATTTTTGTCAATGAAGATTGTGTGCCCCTTTGCAGCTTAGAAGCACGCAACAAATTTGAGCTTCCAACTCCAAAATCTTTTTCAAACATGGAACCTATAATCTCAAGACCTCAGTCTTCATTTCTTCCATTCTTATGTGAATTCAGTATTTTTTTATTTTTAATGGCAAAAACATTTAAATTGCATCAAGATAGTTCTCAGACAAATAGTGCATGTATACACAGGATACAAGTACATTCCATCACATTTGTAGGATACTGTTGTTGGAAGTACTCTACCAAGTACTATGTCAAAACACTCTTTGGCCAATTTTTCAGCCCCCTTGATCATTATCATCATTGGGCGGCTGCAGCCGAGATAGATGCAACCAAACTACAAACTCTCTTGTCTGCCATGGCCGTGGTGATGTCATCAACGTGCTGGCTCACATCATTGCATACAGTGTCAAAGTAGTTGAGGGGTCTCCTCCCTCTGTTGGGGCAAGGCAATCTCTAGCAGATGAGGTTGGAGGCAATTTGCTCTTTGGCTCTGTTGCAGTTGCCGGCAAGGCGGGCTCAGCAATGTGCAACTGTAGTTGAGATAGGTGGGATGCTGCCGTATATTTCCGCCTTTGTCATATGTTCCTTCCAGGAAATATTTTGCGCTCTCATGATACTGATGGCAATTAAGGTACATGTAAGTATTTGACATGTTTACAAACATGTATTATACACACAAATTGTGCATACTGTATCTAGGCTTAATTGCAAGCAAGAAGACACTATGCACTCCTTTCTTGGCCGTTAAGGGCAGGGTTTGAAATAGACACACACAAAAGGTCTGCAGAGAAAAGATTAGGGATACCGCACTTCCCTGCATGGGATGTTGACAAACAAGCAATAGTGCACATTCATTACCTGATTATTTTGACCAGTTCGCCCATTGTGATGTGATCAGGAACCAGGAATTTGGATTTATCCAACAAAGGCAGGTTGGTTTCCCGCTCATATCGCTCAATGATCACCTGCATATTAACATGTGTAAAGTAAGATGAAGACACTCAAACACACAGGACGATCAACAGCTCAATGGATTAATGAACCCTCCTACAACTAGCCTTCTGCACTTCACAAGCCTTCAAATGTTGCACAACCACTTTTGCCGGTAGAGTAATAGCCCCCACACTTCAAATTCCTTTGAGTTATAATGTAATCTTCCATGGAGTATGGGTAACACTACTTATCTTCAAGTAAACTTGAATCTTCAATCCTGATTGGTTGATCCATGGCAACAAGCCATGCTACATATAACCATGTAGCACGGCCACGGTCCATACGGCACTCTGTGTGCTGCGCTATTCCAAGATGCACGCGCCATTCCGTACAAACACGCACGTGTATAGGATAAGCGCTGAAGTTTGTGTACAGCGTGCGTTTCATCTTTATTGTGCGTCAAGTTTGCTTGAAGATAAATTTGTTATCATGCTCGCGCTTGTGGGATAACTTATAATGTACAAATCCCTGCACTATTCTTTTGTGTGGTTAAGATCAGGACAAGCAGAAAGATTTGGTCAGCCTTCACTGCTCTTCGCAGTGCTTTTTTTGTGTGCAGCGACTCTATGCGACACAGTTACTTGAACACTTCAACACTGACCTGCAGTGTTATTAAAGGGTTTTACATATTGCTTGGAATATTGACTTCTCACCAGGAGGGTTAAGCCTGTTTCAGGGGCTTAAGATTTACAGATATAGACATTTCAAAAGTGCTATGAACGGTTCTGAAGCAATGATGAATACGTACTTGTTAGCTATGAGATTTTGAAATATTTTTGTGTTTCCGTTATTTGCATGAATCAAGACTTGGAACAAGAAGGAATCATCGGCAAAATGATGTCACTCTGCAGACACGGACTAATGAGTTTTGTCAAATCCATGACAAGATGACCAAACCTAGTAACCCAGTGTATGCACATGCACACATACATGGGCGTGTTCATCTATTCGAACTGCGGACGAAAAATACCAGAGAACAAAAGAACACAATATCGTCCACGATTCCCAGCATACGTCCATGATTGGGGTCATGTACGAAACATATGGGAGTCTTCCTGAAAAGTTAAAGTACAAACACAACAGGGACAATACAATGTATGACGTCCACAATCGACGGTGTGCACAAGACTGGTTGTACGTGTACATGCATGTACATGTACCTACTGCACAAATAAAAATGAACCTTTCAACAGATTTGGCCAAATTTTCTAAAGATAATCCCAATGATTAATTAGTTTCAGCTCCCCTTTCTGTTCACACATGCAGTAACAATACAGCAATTCATGAGACAAAAGACAGCTTGGATTTAACCGTGACAATGTGTTGCTTTTATGGACACCATGCATGAACAGCAAATGTCACTTTACCACTAACAACACCTCTAGTGGGGGGGGGGGGGGACAGACCACATGTATGCTCAGGTTTGCGCACACATTGTGCCAAGTACACACCACTATTTTTTTTCTTCTGAATATGCAAACCCATATTTATCTTTGAACAATCGTCAAGCATTGTCAGCAATACATTGAACAGTTCCTTCCCCAGAGGTCCGTAACTTCACAATCACTGTATGAATGAATCAGTACTCAATACTCACCGGCACTTTGTTGCTATGTTTCTCTCGAATTTCTTGCACATCTCTCTTTCTCTGTTCTGATCAGAATTTAAAAAATGGAACTTGAATTTTGCGGGAATCGACATGATAATACATGATCTTCATTTTATCTCGTGCGTGTCAAATCACGTGACCCTTCCTTCCGGTCGAAACCGGGAGTGCCTAATAATTTGAAAGTGGACAAAGATATGAACAAGTTTGCTTTCAAAGATGTTAGTCTCTGGCTGGGTTGACCTTTCCAAAAAAATGATCAGTAGCAGCAGGTTCAAAAATGTAAAAAAAACAACTTATTTTCAGTACATGTGTGTAGCGAAATTTGTGGTAATCGCTTCAAAATTAACCCTAACTCCTGGGGCTCTTTTACTAAAAAGTATCCTGAATCCGCCGAAATCCACCAATTTTGTCACGAAACAAATGCTGGTATCTTGAGTCCATCAGAATTCCCCAGTGTAGATAGATACTGGAGGTATCCTGATCCGCCAAAGTCCACCAGCAAAAGTCTCGATGGATTCTGGCGGATTCAGGATACCATGGTGGCATAAAAAAAATACATGTTTTTCCATAGAGTCTTCCAAATCCATCACCTAAATTTCTGGTGGATTTTGACGGATTCAGGATACCATGCTCGCATGAATATTGTGATGTGTGTTGCATAGGATCCATCAAAATACACCAATGCATGGTGACCCCAGCACTGCATTGCCAGGATAGGTTATTTACATAATCCATTGTGTATATGATGAGGCCTATAGCCCCAGTCACAAGCTCCCATCCACCCAGTAGGCCTACATGTATACATGTTTGTACAGAAGGTGACACTGACAGACTTGGCAGGGCTAGTGCCAGCAGTATTACTTGACCACAAACATTGCAAAAGACTTAAACTGTTGAGATCCTGAATCCATCAAAGTCCCCCAACAGCTCAAAATAGAGGTATCCTGAATCCATCAAAATCCTTCAGTTCCGCTAGGCTTACAATCCTGAATCCATCAAAATCCCCAAGTTTGTGCAACATGGAGGTATCCTGAATCCGCCGAAATCCCCCCGAAACAGGGGGGTGGATTTTGATGGATTCAGGTACGTTAGTGTTAATATACATGATGACCTTAATGCAGATAAGACCTGTGGGCGAAAAAACTCGATGATGTCATCAGACAGGAAGTAACAATGAAAAGACCTTGAAACCTTAACAAATTGCTAAAAAATCAACCGTGAGAGATAGAATCAAGATTTGGCTACATATAGCACAGTTAACATCTATTGAGCTTTCTGGTAATGACATCACAATGACGTCATCAAGTATCATAATTATTACAAGCAACTAAAGATTTCTATATTTAATTTTTGGAAATCAATATAAAATCAACTGTTTTTTTTATGGCAATCGATACAATATTGGAGGGTCTTCATTTTTGGTACTAAGTGCAAAATCAGATGGGCGATTCCCACGGTTACTCACGTTACATTTTTGATGTACTTTTGAGTTTCCTTGGGCTGTAATTACCTTACTGAAAAGGTTTAATAACTGTTATCCCCATGGTAGATAGAGTAGACCTAGACCTACCTAAGCACCAAAGATAACATCCAGAAAAATGTGTTATGTATAATAAACAAGACGCACAAAATCGGTTACTCACGTTACATTTTCGGACATGCATAAAAAGCAAACATGCTTTGATCAAAAAGTGTCCTCATTCAGGCAACCTGTGGAAATTTCTTTTAAATGGTTAAATTACCATGCCATGGGGCACACATAATAAGAGTAAAACAAATCCTCCTGAATCTTCAATTTTTTTGCAATCCACAAAACACATGGTTACTCACGTTACATTTTCTCAGAATTTTCTGGCATGATGTTTTTGACTAAATTATCATAATTAGTATGTTTGTACCCAATAGGCATCAGAACTACTAAAAACTCTGACTTAAATTTGCATTTTGGATCTTCAATGGCAAGTACTCCAAGATAAAGGTTTCATCTGACATTATTCTGATACTAATTACTATTACAGTGCATACTGATCCCCTACCAGGAATTTGATGTTTCCTCTTAAGTCCGGATGTAGTTTATTTTTTTTTACACTAATGCTGAGCCATCAAAACAAACCTCTCATGTTCCGAGAGTCTGCTAAAACGTAATGTATGCCACTACATGTACATAGCACACAATATTGGGCCCATGGAAAGGCCACACTGTCAGAGACCATGATGTGGAGAGTGGGTTCCAGGATACCACTGTATCGGTAGCTTAGTGTGAAGTGCCTACATGTAATGTTATTTAGCTTTTGTTCCAAATAACATTTTTATTTCAATGAAGGGATGTACAGGAGTCTTCCGTATTCCATTAAACAACACAAAAACTTGATACAGTCGACTCTCGTTAGTACAAACTCTGTTAATACAAAATTCTGGTTATAACAAACATAAAGCCTTGGTCCCGATTGTGCATTTATGTGCACAATGAATGGGACTGATGTTCCTCTTAATACAAAATTCTGATATAACAAACAATTTGGCTAGGTCCGATCGAGTTTGTTATAACGAGACTCGACTGTACAATACTGTACTTGGATTCAATTTACAACAATTATGCTGTTTCGAAGACCATTTTGCACCATAAACATTCATGTTTAGATGTCAAAAAACCCCATAAACATTCATCTTTAGATGTCAAAAAGTAGCAAAAAAAAAAAGGCTTAAAAAGATCCCTCATATGCTTGAGGCTCTTTGTTTTAAGATAAAAAGTTATCAACAAAATCAACATTATCAAGCAAAAGTCAGTTTGGGTATAGTTTGGGTGACTTGGGATAAAAAATCTTGGTTACTCATGTTACATTTTTGGTTACTCACGTTACAAAAGTTACTCACGTTACCAAATTTAGTTGCCTTTTGTTCTTAAATGTGTGTATTAGTGTCAACAAAACACTTACATTTATATCTATGTTCATGCAAAGAATGATAATCCTAAATACCAAAATTTAATTCATTAGAAATGTTGGTGAGAAAAAACTTTTATATCTTTTCGGTTACTCACGTAAAAAAAAAAAAAAGGTATAAAATGCTACTTTTTGACATCTAAAGATGAATGACCGCTCGGCTGTGAATTGACATATGGTTCAGAGATTAAGACTATCATACATGCTAGAAATAAGGTTATGATTGAAATATCTCTAATTGCATTAATAGCAATCAATGTTTAAACTTTACCAAATTTGTTGAGTTCTTTGTAGGTCAATCAAACCTTGGAATTGCCAAGGTGGAAACCGGAAGTGCCTTATAATTTAAAATTAACAAAAGATGTGAACTTGCTTTCAACGATGTGAGTCTTTGCCTTGGCTGTTCTTTTCAAAAATATGACAGGTGATGTCATTATATGTAGAGCGCCCTCTAGCGGCATGTTGAAAAAGTGAAACGTGCATTGTGAGTTGATGTGTGTGGCGAAGATGCGGTAATCGCTTCAAACATGATAGCCCAACACCATGTGGTTGTTCCTACAACCTCTAGTTATATTTTTGAATATTCATGATCCTACGGTTTTGGCCGATAAGTGATTACTACATAACCATGTTAACGCTGAGCACAATACCTTTAGCTTTAAAATGAACTACAATGTATGAAATGTGGCATTTGTTTATTGCTCCGGGACCACATCTTTCTGAAACTTTTTAATGAAAACCTAATTAAAAACGAGTTTTGGGTAAACAGTGTTCTCCTCGGAAAAAATGTCACATTTGACGTTTATTTCCAGGGTAAATACTTCATCTTTATGACGACAAAAACTGCACAATACCATCTGTTATATCTTGAAGTATTTTTAAAACAATTTTGGAACAAGGAGTGGTTTTGCTTACAGTTTTATGAATATTTCTGTTAAAATTAGATGTCTAAAACTGACAAAATGGCACACCTGGAAGTGGAACATTTGTGATTAACATGCCAACGGGTATTAATACCCGTTATCACGTGTCTAAACCAATTAAGGCAAGTCCGCTCAGTGCATTCTATACTAGAGCTCAGAACAGTCGTTCATCTTTGTGTGTAGGATCCGTGCTCAAATTACCGTTTACACACAGACATTTTGATGTTCCCGGGAAAAATCTTTGAACATCAATTTCTCCCGTTTGAAAGACCATATAGACACTTTCGGAGTTTGTTTGTCTTATAATGATACAACTACATGTATGTGCTAAAAATTGTTTCGATATGTTCAGTATTTTTCATTAAAATTTGAAAAATAGGCTGCGAGACGTACAGTTTTCAAAGCTGAAACAAATAGTGTTTGCAATACACTCTTTTCAAGCCTCACGAATATTAACAATGTTCTATCCATATGGAGTGCAGTTACAATTTGTACGACCCCCTCCTACACGAGTTATTCATCAATAAAATGTTAACCTTTTGGGTTGGTTTCGATTGGTTGATATACCACGCGAAGTCACGCAGAATCAGGCTAACATGGCTAATGCTAATAACGCGCACGTCATATGTCAACGCAACCGGCTGTGGCATAGCGTACCTGTTGACCATATGTTTTGTTTTGCTCGGCAAAAATCCGAGTCGAAATTCACCTTGGTGACAGTAGGTGTAACAAAAGCGTTTGTAACAGATTAAACTTAAATTCGCAATATTCTGAGATAAATATTAGTGTTCAACTAAAAGTGAAATAACAACTTGTACAGATTCCTAGAAATTCAGATAAGGGGAAACGTTTAGAATGATTTGGGAATCTTGAGAATGAAAGTTTTAGGCCAGCTTACCCGGTGACCAGTATTGACGTTTCTGCATCTCGAAAGTCCATCACCGATTGCAAAGTTCATCACCGATCGCGAAAATTCATCACCGATTGCAATAGTCCAACACCGATTGCAAAAGCCTATCACCGATTGTGAAAGTCCATCACCGATTGCAACAGATGCATTACCGATTGTGAAAGTGCATCACCGATTCGATGATGTCATTAAGTGCCTCTTTGGCGTTCCATAGGACCTGGAGGGATCGCAATTTGTTGCGCCCGACGCTCACTGATGCTAAATGGGGAGTCGCCGCGGCGAGATGAGGAGTTGCCACGGCAAGATAGTAACTCATCGCGGCGAGATAGTAGGCCTAAATCGCCGCGGCACGCGCGGGGAGATAGTAAGTAACTCGTTTTTTAAAATTTCTTGTGGCCCTTCTACTTCTAGTTCTTGGCATACTTGTTCTAGTTCTACACTTCCGTAAAAAGATCTTTTGTGTATCAAGAACCTTACATTTTCCTTTTCAAAATGCACTTCTTCAGAAAAAAATGCTATTGGAGACTAATCCAAACATGCCAAAAGAGTAGCTCTACCAAAAGCGGTAGGTTTTTATTTGAAGCGATCCGGAACTAGGACAAATCCGGAACAAGGAAAACGACTGTCAATGACTGTAGGCCTACTCAGTCCAAGTAACTTGGACCCAACTAATCGCATTACATGTAGTAGGGTCCAAGCTAATCCTTATATGCCAAGCTAATCCTCATTGACCCAAAAACCAAACATTGCCCAAGATTTCACCCTCAAAACGGCCTCCAAATTACTAGATACGCCACCTGAGGTACAAGTAGACATCGATAATTAAGATGGTTGTACTGAAGTTTACTTACGATCCGGATTAGTCCGAGTAACTTGGACCCAACTTATCGCCTTTTTAGCATTCGGACATGGTCTGGCGACTATATCGCCAGACCATGTCTGAATGTTAAAAGGGTGATAAGTTGGGTCCAAGTTACTCGGACTAATCCGGATGAAAAGTGAAATTTCCCGTTCAATTCCGAGAGCTCCCCTCTACGCCAGACCATGTCCGAATGTTAAAAAGGCGATAAGTTGGGTCCAAGCTAGCCCCATAAATGTGGCCAATTTACTGGACTACCTCCGTAAATAAAGGCCACACTTCCACCATGTACAAAAACATGTCGAACTTTGTCATATTTTGATTTTCACATTTAGGCTTAGTTTGTAGTTTATTTTTGCTGTAGAAGCATACTCACCCTCTTTATAGGCTAATCAGAAAGTGCTGCCTTTTTCAGATGTCTATTTTTTTGTGAAATTTCATGTTGAAATATTGTGCAAACGTGTGCAAACAAATCTGGAAATTTCATGAAAAATATTGTTGATGTCTAACGTGGCGCGGCCCCCAACGTGGCGCACTTTGATTTTTCGCCTGTAGCGCCTACCTAGAGCAAAAGTTTTAACTGAAATTTCACAGAAAGTGAAATTTCATCAAGTTCTAAACACTCCTGTTCATAAATCGCGAGTTTATTTATCCGTAACAAAGTTAGAAGAAACTTTATTTTGGCTTGATTTTCCGATTTAAAGGGAATATACATCATTTGCTTTTGCTGTAATTTTCAGAAATGGGCAGAATTGGGGGGTTGGAAATATATAGCAAATATAGTTACACTGACTTTTTTGAGGTTTTGGGTTCGAAAATGCTATAAAAACCAAGAAAAACAATCATTTTCCTGTAGTCTGGTTCCCTGACTCCATATAAGAAGAAACAGAGCAGTATACATACATTGGGGAATTGTAAGGTCAGGGAACCAGTCTAGCTGGCTTGTACCCGTTCATAGGTGTGTAATCGATTGCAAACAAGTGCGATGGTCAATTGGGGCCAGTATTTGAAAAAAAGCCAGTTTTTTCCAACGCTGGTCGGCCGATCAGCGTTGGAAATTGATATAAAAATACCACTTTTCTTGAAAATGACAGTATACCAGGTGCCATGATTTTACAGGATGCTTTACACTGTCATTCACTAACAGTCCAACAAGGTATTTCAAAATGATTTGGTAGTTTTATTTTTTGATGTTCGCAAATGTTGTATTTTCCTTTTAATTTTCAAGTGCAAAGTGAACCCTTTGAAAATGCCCCGAAAAATAAGAAAATAATTTTCTGACAAACATCTGGCTGGGTATGTAAGTAGAGATGATAATTATTTATCAAAAATTATCAAGTTTACAGAAATTCTTAAATGTTAATTTGGAATTTTCCGAGATGTATTCGAGTGCGCCACGTTAGGGAACACTCCGCCAATTTGTGCCCAATTTCAGGACGCCACCGTTTTTCAATTTTGGATTAAATTTTATGAAACCGAAATTGTTCACAAAGGTTAAATAGCAAGCATTAATAAAGTAAAAGTACCAGTATTTTACTGCATGAATTTGAGGTTTGTCAACAAAGAGGTTTGGCAACACTACACGAGGAAAGTTGGGTAAGCTTCGAAGTGCGCCACGTTAGGGAACACCACTATGGTAATCCTTACTTTTAGGACCCCGTTCCTATATAGGAAGTAGCCCCACTAGTGTGGCCGTTCAGCGCAGCATACCGACGGCCACACTAGTGGGGCAAGGGAAAGACTTACGAAAACAGTTGACTAAATGACACTCAAATTTGACATTCTGATATTTCTTGACACATCTGAACAATTGGCAATGACACCTTCTTGAATATCAGTATGTTTAATTTTGTGGAAAGAGGGCAGGGCTTTGATTTATGAGGGAAATTCAGGGGTACTAAAAGACGACGATGACAACCAGAAAACAGACTAAAAAACCAAGATGGCAAACGTGAAAGCTTTGGTACTGGACAGACATCTGCAAAAGTCAGTTTTGAACAGAACTCGTAAAAAATAGAGGTGTCCTAAAAGTAAGGATTACCCTAGCCCTAAAGGGGCCACATTTATGGGGCTAGGTGAAAGCATGGAGAAATTAAATAGAACTGCTTGTAGTTTGAAATTGTACTAGTGCTACAATTTCAAACTACGAAGTACGATTAGCCGATTTTTTTTTCAATTTAGCCTCACCCAATGTTCTCCTCTGCTTAAATGTTTTTGTTGGCATTATTCCAGGGTGTTACTTGGTGTGAAGCGTGAGGATTGCGTGATGATCAGGAAGATGCTGTCGTACTCGTCGTAAACTTTATGTCGAATGTTGAAACATTGTTGTTGTGAACCGTGAACGTGACGTGTGTCGTGTGTGTGCAGTATACCTAAAAATAGCATTTACATAGTCGCTTAAGTACAGACTGGTTACCGCCGCTGATTTTTTATTAGCGCCCCTTATTCAGAACATCATTAGACTGGAGGCCGCATCTCTGGAGCAAGTAAGGGGTTTTCCAAACCTCGGATTTTGTTTCCGGTTCGGCTTAACGCGTTGCACATCGCGGGACTTGGAACTGTTGTGCCCATTCTTGAAAATCACGCATTCTCGAGAATGGGCATGCACATTCTCGAGAATGGGCGCGCATTCTTAAGAATGAGCGCCCATTCTTAAGAACGAGCACGCGTTCTTAAGAATGAGCGCTCATTCTTAAGATTGGGTGGGAATATCACGTGCACAATTTATGAATTTTGCCCAATCTTAACAAACATTGCACGACATAATTATGTTAAATGAATTGTATAGCGGTTAAAAGGGAAACAATTCATATAAAGAGGAAAGAAAATGTGCTATGCTTCTGTACTCGTATAACTACGATAATTTGAATCAAATTAAACCTGTTATTATTGCTTTTTTCTGCCCACTATGGGAAGTTTTGTAATAACGGAGGACTGGGAACTAGTCTGGGAAGTGCTTTGTTTAGGCTAGACAAGTTACAAGTCCCTGCATGTATCATATGCGTGCCACGAAAAAAAAACGATGTCCAGAAGCTGCCAAAATTGCTCTTTTGACTAGATAGAATCCAGCTCTGCGACGTAATGGTGGGGTGTGAACAATAAATTGGTGGCAATTTAAATGGGAAATAGCATTAGCACTATGGGATGTCGCAGTATTCATTCTCATTCTTCACATTCTTCATTCTTACGCCCCCCCCCCCGCTTTTATCATGGAGGAAGGAATTAATTCCTTCCTCCATGCTTTTATTATCCCAAAAATCAGAATTCTTTGCACTAGTATTATTATGTCTCTTATATTTTCCCGGTCCCCCCCCCCATATCAATACGCCTTTACTTATCATATCCACTCTACTTTTCAGCGCCTTGCGTTGCAACAGTATAATTATTGAGAATCAGTGAACGAGGATTCAGCTAGACTTGCCAAGCGCAGCCGGTGCTCGGCATCGACAAGACCGTTATCTTGTCGCGCATTCTCGAGAATGTGCGCTCAATCTGGAAGAGTTATTTTTTGCCAAGATTGAGCAATACGGTGGCCCACAACTGTCACGGCAAAAGCAAAAGCGCCACGGCAAGCGCAAAAGCGCCGCGGCAAGCGCAACAGCGCCGCGGCAAGCGCAACAGCGCCACGGCAAGCGCAAAAGCGCCACGGCAAAAGAAAAAGCGCCACGGCAAAACAAAAAGCGCCGCGGCAAAAGAAAAAGCGCCACGGCAAAAGAAAAAGCGCCCCGGCAAAAGAAAAAGCGCCACGGCAAAACAAAAAGCGCCGCGGCAAGCGCAAAAGCGCCACGGCAAGCGCAAAAGCGCCACGGCAAGCGCAAAAGCGCCACGGCGAAAGCAAAAGCGCCACGGCGAAGGCAAAAGTGCCACGGGTTTATTGGGAAGGGGCGTAATCATACATGCCGCTACTACATCAAAAAATAAAATGGGAAGGAGAATGGCCGCCACCAGGAATTCTTATTAAGCACAGAATTTAATTCTTTGAGAAGTGATTTTATGGCTGAGAAAATAGCAAGGCCAAGGAAAACCGGTCAGGAAATAAATCGTCGATATTAATTTGTTGTAGGATAATTATTATTCCAAGAGAGTTGCTGCCGTGAATCAGAGTTTATCAAGGAGTGGGACTCGCTATCGGCACCATCAGGGCCGTTCCTCATTTCTTTACATTTCGTGGGATGCAAACAATTACAAGGACGGGAGGCTCTGTGAGCTGATGCATTTTTGAAAACATTTTTTTCCTCTTCCGACTAGCATGCAGAGAAGAGTTCCGTTAATTTGAGCCTTTTTTCACAGGTGTGTATACCAGTGTAGGCACGAAAGTGAGCTGCCCAGAGTGTATGAGTTAATTTTTTTTTTCAGTATATCATACACATCTATAGGAAGTCGATTAAGGCTGCGGCAGTGGGTGGGTAAGGCTTGTCAACACGTAACTCGCCCGCGGGCCCATTAGGTTAGAAATTCCCAGAGAGCGGGAATTTCAAAACTCTTCGCTGAACGTTGCTTGCACTGACCGGTTTTCCTTGCTATTTTCTCAGCCATAAAATCACTTCTCAATTCATGGTGGCGGCCATACTCCTTTCCATTTAATTTTAGATGCAGTGGCGGCATGTATGATTACGCCCCTTCCCAATAAACACGACTGAGTTGAAGATAACTCACAAATCGAGAAATGGATCGTTCTATTAGACAGTTGCAACGCTTTCGACAGAGGAGGTTAGGTCGTGGATTTCATGTAAGGAACGTAACACAGGCGAAGACTTTGGATATAGAATAAGAAAGAAAGAAATTAACTTAAAAAAAGGGGGGGGTAAGGGAGAGACACTAAACAAAGGAGAAGTGTTATCGTTGAGATGCACAGTTCTAAGCTCTTCTATGAAAATTTGGTGGCTCTGAAAAGAGCCGTTTGCTTTGTTTCGAGTGAATACGGAACTATTTGATGCCGGAAACAAGCCCTCTTTCTGCCCTGCAGGCTGATTCTGCGATGATGTGGAAGACTGTCCACAGGGCAACTCATCATCGCTATCGCTAAGCATCATGAGGTCTTGTTCGGCTTGTTGGTTTCTTGAGCCGGGGGTGGGTGGGCCAATGAGTTCTAGGTTCTGAGTTAATTTCTTTCTTTCTTATTCTATATCCAAACTCTGGGCAGCTCAATTGTGTGCCTACACTGGTATACACACCGGTGAACTCATGGGCGTCGCCAGAATTTTTTCTAAAGGGGGCAAAACATATTTTTCCCAAAAAATTCTTGTATTTCTGAACAAATTCTCGATTTCTCAGTTTTAGACGGGGGCAGGGACATTTTGCCCCCCCCCAACTCATTCAATTTACACCACTATGACTTCGCGCCTCTTTTTCTTTTCTTTTTTTCTCTCAGTTTTTTCCCCTTCCTTTTTTTGTGTGCTATTCCAGGGGGGGGGGGGGGGGAGCGCCCCCTTGCCCCCCTCGCGACGCCCATGGGTGAACTAAGTCTCAAATTAACGGAACTCTTCTCTGCATGCTAGTCGGAAGGAAAAAAACTCTTCAAAAAAATGCATCAGCTCACAGAGCCTCCCGTCCTCGTAATTGTTTGCATCCCAAGAAATGTAAAGAAATGAGGAACGGCCCTGATGGTGCTGATAGCGAGTCCCACTCCCTGATAAACTCTGATTCACGGCAGCAACTCTCTTGGAATAATAATTATCCTACAACAAATTAATATCGACGATTTATTTCCTGACCGGTTTTCCTTGGCCTTGCTATTTTCTCAGCCATAAAATCACTTCTCAAAGAATTAAATTCTGTGCTTAATAAGAATTCCTGGTGGCGGCCATTCTCCTTCCCATTTTATTTTTTGATGTAGTAGCGGCATGTATGATTACGCCCCTTCCCAATAAACCCGTGGCACTTTTGCCTTCGCCGTGGCGCTTTTGCTTTCACCGTGGCGCTTTTGCGCTTGCCGTGGCACTTTTGCGCTTGCCGTGGCGCTTTTGCGCTTGCCGCGGCGCTTTTTGTTTTGCCGTGGCGCTTTTTCTTTTGCCGTGGCGCTTTTTGTTTTGCCGTGGCGCTTTTTCTTTTGCCGTGGCGCTTTTGCGCTTGCCGTGGCGCTGTTGTGCTTGCCGCGGCGCTTTTGCGCTTGCCGCGGCGCTTTTGCGCTTGCCGTGGCGCTTTTGCTTTTGCCGTGACAGTTGTGGGCCACCGTAGGAGCAAGGATCCAGTTGCACATTCTCAAGAATGTGCATGCCCATTCTCGAGAATGCGTGATTTTCAAGAATGGGCACAACAGAACCAGTCTACCAACAAACAGTCTGCGCACGTCACGTACACTGCATGCGAACCTGCAGTACTGCAGTACTTAGGCCTAGTTGTTATGGTTTCAGTACACATTTGCAAAGTAGGAACAGCTGATTATTGCACGAGCTAAGGACAAAAAGGCACGAAAAACACCAGATTCATTATAACTGATGTCAATACCCACATGGAGCTTTAAAAAGCTTCATAACACCTCTACAGCTTCCAACTACAGCTTTCATGAAACTTCCAACGTCTTCTAATAGAAGTAAAGCTCCAAAATGAGTGCAACGGCCGAGGTATTGTACTTTCACTGTCCAGTGTTTGTCATGTTTGTTCAGCAGTCAATGGTTGAGTGAGGAAGTTAGCTTGAACCCCAGGGAAAAACCTCATCGGAATTCGACATTCAATGTCGAATTCCGATGGGCTTTTTGCGCTGGGATTTTCCAAGCTAGTTCTTGATGATATTAATGTCACGCCCCAACTATCGCATCGGTCCCAACTATAGTTGGGACTGTCCCAACTATAGTGCGTCAGTTGGGTCGGCCCAACTATAGTTAGGACTGGAGTTGCGCCGGATGCTTCATGCTTGATAGATCTTGTTGGATTAAATGTTCCGTGGCGCTGGCACCGTGTATTCGTCGTGCATGCATGCCGCAAGGCTGGCCGGTCACGTGGTACTGCCTAGTTGGATGAGTTGTCCAGCTGCTGCTGGGTTTTATTGTCCAGCAACATTTTGCAAAATTCAAAGATTGCCATGGCCGGCCAACTATAGATGGGCCCCACCCATAGCTAATGTCAAAGGTCCCAAGTAAAGTCGGACAGTATGTAACAGAGCTGTAGGGAATGTTTTATAGTCGTACATCAATGTAAACTATAGTTGGGACCGCCAAATAAAAATATTGCGGTGGCCCAACTACAGATGGTCCCCACCCATAGATAATTTCATTGGTCCCAAGTAAAGTCAGATGTGTATTAGAGTTGTAGGGAATGTTTTATAATCGTACAACAATGTACACTATAGTTGGGACCGCAAAATAAAAAGATTGGAGTGGCCCAACTATAGATTCGCCCCATCAATAACTAATTTCAGTGGTCCCCAGTAAAGTCAGACGTGTATCAGAGCTGTAGGGAACGTTTTACAGTTGTACATCAATGTCAACTATAGTTGGGACACCGCAAAATAAAAAGATCGGAGTGGCCCAACTATAGATGGGCCAGCCCAACAGTGGAACTTACAGTTGGGACCGTCCCAACTATAGTTGGGACAGGCCCAACTATAGTTGGGCCAGCCCAACTGTGGAACTACAGTTGGGACAGGCCCAACTATAGTTGGGACAGGCCCAACTATAGTTGGGACCGATGCGATAGTTGGGGCGTGACATTAATCTTGATCTTGATTAGTACAGCATGTACAGCTGACAAGCTCCAGCAGGAACATCACTAGTCCGAGTAGCCCCACTAGTGTGGCCGTCGGTATGCTGCGCAGAGGTTCAGCGCAGCATACCGCGGCCACACTAGTGGGGCTATAGTCCGAGTAACTAGGACTTGAGTAGTCAGTCCGAGTATATTACTTGGACCCAACTTATCGCCTTTATATGGATATTATTATGGTCTGGCGTTCGCCAGACCATGTCCGAATGTTAAAAAGGCGATAAGTTGGGTCCAAGTTACTCGGACAAAATGGCCTAGGACCCTACAAATACTAGATATATGCCACCTGAGGTACAAGTAGACATTGATGATTAAGATGGTTGTACTGAAGTTTACTTACATTTACAATCCGGATGAAAAGTTAAATTTCCCGTTCAATTCTGAGAGCTCCCCTCGCAATCGTGAACGCGTTAAATTTCCGACTCGTGTTAATGTTCGAACAACGCGATGTGGTCTTGATGGCCAGCGTACATTCCATGGTCCCTGTATGCACCGGTAGCCATAGCCTAGGCCTATATCTTGTAACAATTTGCCACAAATGTGTAGAGTGACATAAATTTTGTTTTGAAGTGTCTGGAACTTATTCTTGGGAGAACTGAATTGTTACTAGTACAACTGGGAATTGATTCCTAAAAAAACGGTGGAATATGAGTCCAATTCCAAGTTTCAAGTGGAAAAGAGAAAATTAAGGTAGCACTTAAAATAACTAACAAGAATAAAAGTTTGCATAAGCTTTCGTAGCAACAACTACGTCATCAGATGCAATGAAGAGGGCATCATCTTGCAAGCTTTATGTTTGATGATGCCCCTCATCATCAGTTGTTGCTACGAAAGCCTATACAAACTTTTCTTTTTGTTAGTCATTTTAAAGGGAATGTACATCATTGGCTTTTGCTGTAATTTTCAGAAATGAACTATTTAAGGGGTTAGTATAATAGATCAAATATTGTTTAACTGACATGTTTGAAGTTTTGTGTTCGAAAATGCTTGAAAAACCAAGAAAAACAAAAATGTTTAAGTAGTCTGGTTCCCTGACGCCACTAAAGATAAAATGATCAATTAATAGATGTCGGAAAATTGTAAGGTAAGGGAACCAGTCCAGCTGGCCTGCACCCGTTCAAGAACATGTAACCAATAGCAAACAAAATTTGGACTGAAAAAAATTGTAAATTTGGAGCTGTAGTTGAAAAATAGTTAGGTTTTTCCAACGGTGGTCGGCCGACCATCGTTGGAAATGTATACAAAAATACCATTTTCTTGAAAATGACTTGACATCAGGTGCCATAATTTTACAGGATGCTTTAGACTGTCATTTACCAACTTCCTAGTAAGGTGTTTCGTAAAAACTTGGTAGTTTTATTTTTCGATGTTTGCAAATGTTGTATATTCCTTTAAGTGCTACCTTACTTTTCCATTTGATTCTGCCTAACACGGCTGCCCACCACTTTTAATTCCAAGTTTGGAATTGATTTCTATTTGATTCTGACCAGAAAGTGGCCAAGCCTATAAACCCACACATTTTCAACTGCTAAAATGGGGAAGATTGTCACAGTTTCTTCCTAGGTACTTTTAAAAGTACCGGTATAAAAACCTAGTGTTAAGCTAAATCAAAAAAGACTGCTTGAGGTTGCAAAAAAAATTTGGAATGACCTTAAACAAAAATTGAGTAAACTAAAAAAAAATCAAAAAATCAGAGGGTCCCAAACTGAACAAAATTCCAAACACAAGTTGACCTACCGTTTCCCTCCTTGGCTTGATCAGCAGATTCAACCACATCACTCATGTCACTCTGACAGGTTCAGTTAATTTGCAGAACACTACAAAAACACAGCCCTTTATCGTATTAAGAGACATAGGCCCTATCTTTCTGAAAAATGTTTAAAGTCACCTTGATATACTCTGCACTTTCTGCAGTCCCAAATTTCCCCTAGTATGACCAAGTACATGTAACTGGTACTCAATAATTTGCTTTTGCACAGTTAGACATGCTCTAATAGTTTGCCAGATCGTGTCCAAATGTCCAGTTGGCAAAATGGCACATTGTAGAAGTCCTAGTAACTTGGATTATTTTCTTTCTTGATTCGCATTTGGAGCTATCACAAATATGGAGCAGCCAAAAACAAGCGCAAGACGTAATGTCGGTAGAATATGACATTGTTTGGTCTGATATCTCTTTCATTACAGTTGATAAAGCTTGAGATGCATGCTAATGGAATTAGAAAAGATTTAGATGTCACACAGCTCTACCTTGCTCAACGGTATGTCATTGTAAAAATTGCTGGTTACATACATGTACCTTCAACTTAATATTCAAACAACCAATTACCACAGTGCTCAACTATAGGTGGATTTACTGAAAATCCATGTACAGTTGAATGCAGACATCTGACTGGAGCAGTTAGGACTTGGACCTGCAAGTGCCTGAACACTACTGGTGCTCTAACATCCAAGCAATCCAGCACTTTGTTAACGGTCTCCCATATGTCAGTGTCTTTGTTTCACGGATGCTACATGTATTCAAATGCTTTACCTTGAAAGTTGTGTACATGCATGTCTACATTTGAGTTAATACTTGTACTTCATATATCAATATTTTTTTCCCCAGAAATCTAGAAGCAGTTGATACCCTCGGATGCTATAAACATTTGAACGAATTGTGGTTGAATGGAAACAAACTACGACTAGTAACATGCCTCAAGGACAACTTGCAAATCTCTCATTTGTATCTTCAGGTAAGATCATTATTAAGGTAGGAGTGTAGCCCCGTGGTAAGGATTTGTGACTTCTGATCAGATTGATCCTCAATCCTGACAAAGTCTGAGAGGTTGAAGGACTTTTTGGCTTCCATTGCTGCTGCATCTTTGGGCCCATTCTTGGCTGGCATCATGAAGACACCATGAGTCTGTGTACATTCAGGTGGAAATTGGTTGTGTGTCATACACACATACCAGTTAGTGAACACACCATCTCCGACCATTGTGAGCAGGCCACATTGTTTTTTTCGTTGTTTTTTTTACATGTGGTGTCATTGTTCCCTTTTAAAGATGTAGAAAACACTGTGGACAACAAAACGACAGACAACTAACTACGTACATGTATGCTGAATGAGTATTCTTCAACGAGAGTATAACAATTAAATGTGCGTTTATAACACCTCATGCACCCACAGATTCTGTGTCTTGATTGGCCGAGAGCGAGTCACATGATACTTTCTATTTTTGCTATCTTTCTGTGCACGGCCAAAAGAACTATACCCGTAGCAAATAAAGTACTATACCATTAGCAACCAAAGTACATGTACTATATCCACGGCGCGGTATGTGTGTGCAAATGCATGCTGGTGTGCGCATTACGCGTAGTGCGTTTTGTTCTAAAGAGAGCGCGCCACAGAGTTGGGTTCAAACATTTCGTGAAGGGGTAGTTTGGAAGAGAGAAATACATTTTCCACCAACTTTGTATTGAAATTGAAGTTTATTTCAACTGTGTTCAGATTTAAATAATTTGAAATATTACAACCAAACAGAATCTGTGGGTGAAGTGTTATAAAACAAATATTGAATGCTTTCTCTCGTGGTGAAGTAAAACTAGCCTCCCTCGGTGATCCATGGAGCATTCTATTTTCCCTCGGCTTCGCCTCGGGAAAATAGAATGTCCATGGATAACCTCGGGAGGCTAGTTTTACTACACCACTCGAAGCCTTCAATATTTGTATAATAGGTCTCTCTCAAATGACGTCATTTCCTACAGACCAGCCACGTGCATTGGCATTTTGAGCGTCAACTTTGCATAACGCGCATGAGCTGCGTCGTATTTCGAACACATTCCGAGCAACAAGCACGCTTGTTTGGAACATTTTCAACACTGCGCAATGCATGCTCGATTGCGTAAAATACGCAGCTGCAGTTCTCCTACAGAGATGGCCGTCTTTGAGAGAAACCTATTGAATTCCATATGTTGGTTCAGTATTGAGTTTTGTCCTTCACTAATAAACTTACAATCACCGTGTATTCAGTGATTGTGAGAAAAAAATTGAATCTAATCTTTTTCCCCAATGCATGTTTTGCCTTGTGTGTTTGTCTCCTACTTGTCTTGTTTGTCTTTTTTATGTTTGTTTGCTTGTTTGTTTGTTCTGTGCTTATGCCTGTCTGTCTGTTTGTCGTCCTTTTTTTGTGTCTTTTTTTTTCTTCTGTGTCTTGTGCAAAAGTTGTACTGTTGTAGTTGGAGAGCTTCTTGATTAGCTTTTAAAATAGTTTTTCAGGCAATCCCTCAGGCCTGCATATGGTACAATTTAATGTTTAATGTTTTCGTTTGATAGTTTCTTGAACCTTTTGTAGTTTGTCCTTTTGATCTTCTTTGTTGTGTCTTGTAATTTTTATGTAATTGAATATTAAAACTGTCATATATATATTTTTTTAATTTTCTTGTATTTTGCCTGAGAAATAATCTAATAATAAATAAGCTTTCCTGGGGCAGAGTTGAGCCCATGGCTTCCTGCTTACTTTTGCAAATGTCTGGACCACTTGACCACAAAGCTTACCGAGGTTGGCTGACCTGCTTCCAACTGGACATAGCAGGACAGCCACGTACCACAATAAATGAATGGTGTGATGGAATTATTGCTGATGTTTTTACAGGATAATGAGCTGGTCAGCATCAGCAAAGCAGTTGGTCATTTATCCTGCTTGAAGGTCCTGATGCTGCACAACAACCAGCTGACCAAGCTGGGAGAAACAGTCAATGAAATGAAGAACATGCAAGCTCTGCATACACTAAGTAGGTGTAACAAGTTGACCACATTCAGGTCTAGACTTTTAGTCAACTCCATCTCATTCTAATCCCAGCCAATTTAAGTCCACAAGGACCTAAGTCCAGTTCCAATTCTAAGCCCACTTTGGTTTAATTCCAGCACAAGTCCGAGACAATTAATCTGTTAATGCTAACATTGCCGTGCAATATAAGACCTGGTGCCTGCAGATAGAATTTGAAAACACATAAGCTAAACTTTCTTTCTATTACAAATTAATTTTTTTCTTTTGATCATGAATTTATTTTATGACTGTTGTTTTGATGGATCAAGTCCAAGGATAGACCAAGGTCTGAAGTCACAAGTAAAAAATAGTACTGTACATATAGATGCTTCAATTCTTCCAACACTGCCACTATTCACCATATATTTGTATGCTATTCAGTCAAATCCTACAAGTACGAAACAAACAAAAAGGCTTGCCTTCATGCCCCTTTATACCCGAGTTGTAGTCAAGTCTCAGGTGTTAAAAGGCAAGGTCACTAAATAGAGGATGAACAATGACAAGGGAATGCCTTGGTCACAGTTCATTTAAACAGCTTGTGATTTGACTTGACACTGATTTGTGAGTACTTGACTATTACATTTGGCATGGAGTCTATAGGGGGTTCATTCTTGTAATGTTCAGGTCTATCATTAATGTTTGTTTCCTACAGATCTGTATCACAATCCTCTTGCACAAGAGAAGGAGTATCGACTCCATGTTATCTTCAGAGTTCCATCTCTCAAATTGCTTGACAGAGAAGGTATTTTCATAATTTAAACAAATTGTCAACATCTTTGCCCCTCATTTGTTCTCTCTTTGTGTTTTTAATGTGTGATTACCTGATCTTTTTCAGTCATGATTGTCCTTGATATAATCGTGACCATTGTTTTTATAAATCCAACACTGAATGATTATTTCTCAAGAGGCAGGCAGGGGCCGATGGAGGGGCAAAAAGCATTCAATTAAAAGGCCTCAGCCAGGAAATATTTTGAAAAGTGGTGTGGGGGAAGAAGATTGGGGCTGAACATCAATAGACTCTTGATTAGTAGCTATTTATTTTATACTGTGCACTATTGTCTGTTGTGATGTAGTTCATGGTGTTTTGTATGGCCGAGGGGGGGGAGGGGGGGGGAGCAAATGACGCATGTAGCAAAGCGAAGGGTGACATTTGCCCCCAAGTGTGTATAAAATTACCTATGGACTGTATACAGACAAACATGTAAATACCATGGCATTATTTGATCACAGTTTTGATTCCCTAAGAAGTGATTATAGGCTAAATGAATAATTTGTTATTCATTAAAACAATTTTTTTTCTTTTGATGACCCTTTGCATTTGTTATTCTGATGTCTGATGCTCTGGTCATTGGTATGCATGTCTGCATTACTCGCATCCTGGTCTGCACTGACAGGCACACGTGTGCAGAGTCTATTCTAGTTGTGTTGTGCAAAGCAGCAAGAGCCAAATATTCCAAAGTCTTTGAGAAGGATCAAGGTGATGTACCTGTGTTACCTCAGTCCATCAGGGCGCACACATGAACGTCTGAAATCTGTCATATGAACAATCCTTAATCAATGACATTTCACAATATTAGAAATACATTGTACATGTTCCTCATCGCCATTTTTGACAGACCAATCCACTGTGCCAGCCGATCACCCCATGGCAGACTCTCTAAGCAAATGAGCTAGTACAATGGTTCCGGCAATACTAGGGACCACCATTAGTGTGCAGCAACTCAGAACCCCGATTAGTCTATATCTTCCATCATGTTCATAGGTTTTTAAAAAATCACCATATGATTTTGTTTGTTATATTTCCATTTTTACTTGGACAGAGGTGCAACCCAGTGAGCGAGCGGAAGCAAATCAACGTTATAAACCTGACGAGCAAAGACAGATGGATAGTGTAGCATTTGGACGAAGATGTAACGCTCCATCTATGTCTGTCAGGTCCAACACAGAGGCAGATCAGCTGCTTGGAAAAGCTCTAACTGATCCCTACAGTGAAAATGAAGACAATTCCGATCTAATCAGCAGGTACATATTACCCATTTTCAACCAAACTCTTTTGACCCCTTCCTCAACAATGAACATTTTTCAAATAAGTGCTATTCCTGCTCACATAAATTCATCAGTTCAACCATCCCAAGGCCAAACAGCCTTAGAATCTGAGCATGCCAACCACCACAGGTAGGGACTATCCAATTGTCTTAAGAATAAGTAGTTATGCAGCTCCTGTGAACTCCTGTGAACTGCACCATGCAACAAGGTCCCATAGTGGGGTGAGTAGGGTGATGCGCACCAATATGGTTTTAGATTTTTTTTCACAGGGTTTCCTTGTATCACAGTTGCACTCACGCCAAGTCAAAAACGAAGTCCAAGTTAATTTGAAAAAGCTTAACACTTGCAACACTGCTGTAAGTAAACACAGCTTGGTATGCATGAGTAAGGTATTATTATATTCTGAAGCAAATTACCCCTCTCCCCACATGAAAAGGAGGGGATGGGTTATGTGATGTGTTCTCTCAAAAACAGACCCTTCTGGGCAGCTGGTTGAACAAGTATTTTTTGTATGTTGTTGAAATAAAAATCTACTCCTTTCAAGTCATTGTGATAGTTTACTTATAGAAAAACGACTTTCTTATTATTTTGATTTTAGAATCATGAAATTGCAAAATAGAATAATTTTAGAAATCATTGCAGGTTATTCGTTGGTCACATCTGCTTTTCTAGCTCTGCCAAGAAGCATCTGGTTTTGACAGAATGTCACAAATATATCCTCCCCATTTGCCCAAACCTTACACCCTTGCCCTCCAGAAATCCTGGTTTGCATACCTATGTCATGTGATATTCAAGAGCTGGTCTTCCAATGGTCGAATGAGCTGCACCAGAACTCCACTCAGCAGACAAAATGAGACTGTACAAATTGTACCTTCGAATTTCAACAGAGACCAAAAAAGCTTGTAAACTACATTCATTTAGAAATGTAAAAGTATTTTGTATTCAACAGGTTTATAAGAAACATTGTACTGTACGTATTATTAATTAATGTCCAACTGCATTGCCCAAGATAACTTTTGCCGCTATAAGGCTTTAAAGCTATAGTCCATCATTTGCAGCCATCCGAAAAGTAACTGGCGTAATTACTGTTGAAAAACAAACTTGGTTGAAAGATAGTAAGGGAACTAAACTCCCTGTGAAATTATTCTTTCTGGGAAGCTGTCATTTTGAAGTAATCAACGAAAGAAGGCATTTCCAACGGTGATTCTTAAGAAGCACCGTAGGAAAATTTAAATTAGTAGTTCGTTTTGTTATTCAGCGCAGCGCGCACAAGTATTGGAACGACGCACACGCGCGTGCGGTTGTTATAATTCGTCGGATCAGTGCGCGACGCCGCGTATAGCTGCAATAACAAAACAATTCAAAACATGATTCAGTAACTTTTGATTTAAAATTGAGATCTTGGAATGCTGTTTTTCTCGGAATGTACAGCTGAAGCTTAGCTGAAACTTCATCAGGTTAGTTGCTCAGTATCCTTTATTAGATTTTGAACACTTTTGTTGCTTCAAACGAACAAAATGCACTAATTACAAATGATGGACTATAGCTTTAAAGCTCTATGGGCCCCAAATGTTGCCACAAATGTTTTAATATTGTTATAATACTGCATATTGTTTTATTTCCGCCTCATTAAAGTTATTCACAGTTCTAAATTCTTACTCAAAAGTCAAAATGGTGTGATTTGTTTTGATTCAACAGGCTTGAAGATGATGAAATCACAGACGTGTTGACAGAGAAAGGTGTGAGAAGATCAACAATGCAGTATTCCCACTTTGATTGGTCAAAAGTGCCACAAGCTGAGGAGAGGAGATTGAACAAGACATCCAATGCTGCAGACAAGGCACAGATTATAACAGTCAGGTTTAGATGAGTCTTCACTGCACATCCTGTGTATCATTATATTCATCACTACTTAGGCCCCCCCAAAAAGTCTCAGATTTCTGGTATGCGCACGCATCGCCGTAGCCATGCACGTCGGCAAAATTAAAAAGGGTTTTTTTCAATGTAAGATGACGTCTCAAAACCGCCAAACTCACTGGCTTGACTGGAATCCTGCTGCTGCACAATTTTAACGTGTTGTTTGATGGGGTTATGATCGAGAATAAGCTTTATGTGGCCTCTCTGCGCTCCCATATATTTTGCACTAAATTTAGTTGGGCACCATTTGCAGACAGTGTTATAATTTTGTAATTGTGCGTCTGGAAGCCAGACTGATGGAGCGATGGTCGTGTATCTGGAACCTGTAAACGCTTTTTAATTAGCTCAGTATACTTCTCAAGCCTTATGGCCTTACTGAGGTCACCTCAAGCTGCACTCTGAAGGATATGTTGAGAGTTTTAAGAGGATTGAAGCGTCATCTGCAACATCAGCCGACATGTGAAGAGAAAAAAAGTTGGGTAAAAAAACCCAAAAAAAACAGCGTCGCCACAACACGTTTGGGGCAAGCTCGATCCATACCAGAAACCGGAGACTTTTTTTGGGACTTATGATGCCGTCAGTTTTTATACAATTAAGACAGTGTAAGTACGTGTACTTGATGTGTATTATACTATAGTGAGTTTATAAAGGGAGTTGAAACTATTCAAAAATTTCTCTAACAAATGTTAGAGCAATTATGCTTCAATTACAGGGTTTACTGAAGTTAAAACATGTCAAACGTGAAATCAAATGAACTGTTACAAAGGCACTCCTTTGTCATTGTTAATCCTGTTAGGGGTCATTCAAAATTTTCGATGTTTTAAGTTTCTATTTTTTTCTTCGAAATGTGGGGGGGGGGGGGGGGGGTCAAATTAATTTATTGAAATTTTTGTTAATCGAAATTCACTTTTTTCAATTAAACAGATAGAAAATAAAAGCTCTTAGTACTTGCCAATTCAACTCTCTGCATTCCGATTCGTAAACCCTTTGCCCGTACCATACTACACGGGTACAGTATGCATCCGGTACATGTACAATGTACCGTGTATTGTGTATACGTCCATCGGAGCACCATATGCATGGGGACCAGTGAAGTAAAAAGTGCGTAAAATCAGTGCGCCGAGCAAATGGAGTGGGATACCAGGTTCATTTTGTCTTAATACACGCCACTAGTGTCGGTTACGAATCGCAACAGTGAAATAAACCTACTTGTGTTCAAGACTACTTAGGCAACCTGCATATGCATGCGCATGGTATATCTGCATGCAATGAACATGGCAGAGCCCACACGTCTGGAAAGGGCGAGTTGAGAGTTCAAATTTGTTTCTATCAAAAGTGACTGCAATTTGTGAATTAACTTCATGAACAATGGGAGTATTACACCTCTTTTCGCCAAGACAAAAGTTAATTTTTTTTAGAGCGAGCTGATACTAATTATCGTTTAGAATGGACTAGTTTTACACGTTTCCAGGTGGATTCCTTATACGTACGGAAATGCCAGTGGGCCGTGTTGTTGGTAAGGTGCTGTATACGGACTGCAGCTGCATTCTGCCGTCACTGAACTGGACATTTGTTATGTTTTTTTAGTAGAAAATCAATATTTTAAGATTGAAAATTGGGGTGGGTGGGTGGGTGGGTCTAAACAATTTTGAAAAAAAAATTAAAAAATTGAAACTTAAAAACATCGAAAATTTTGAATGGCCCCTTACTTGTGGCCCGAATTTTGATTTGAATTTTGGTTTACTAGATTTTGCACTGGCAACCATTGGTGTCTAATAAACTCCTTCATTGTCGACTTCCAGGCCAAAAGTCTGTAATTCAATATCTTAAAATTTCGAACTCAAAGTCTCAATCCCAGAATTATAACAGATTCACCCAAAAACCTATTCCATAAAAAGCACATTAGTGTTAGCCATTATATTGGCAAAAGCAATGAAAATGGCTGTTGCTTGTACCGAGTAAACAGTCGTTGGTTGATCAAAAGAAAGCTTGGTTTTGCTTTGTTTTCTTTACGCAAGATATTGCAATTTGTATTATAAGCTTTGTAAAATGTGTCAGGAAAAGGTTTTTCTTTTCCACTTTTTTTGTATGGAATATAACATTGGAAAAAGGTCCATTGAAAAATTTCACACGTTTTGCCACCCGCTAGAAAATTTGGTATTTGCAACAATGATATGTCCGATTCATATCAGTAGTGTATACATTTTATCAAGACATTGGCAGAAATCTCGTACATGTATGAACCTATTGCAACAAAAAAGTCAGAGAAGTTAACAAGGGCAGACCCCCTAGTGAAACCCCAATTATGGATGTTAAGTCTTAAACCACCACATAACAAGGCATTGAAATACTGATATGACACTTTCATTGACGGTTTCTTTAATAAAACAGTTGACAAGGCAGTTCATTTCAAAATGCATATATTTTGTTATCGCCAGGTCAAGATATTTTTTAATACATTAATGATGAAATTACAATAGTTATCAATGCAAATATATTTTCAATGTGGTCAACCATTTCATGATTGACAAAATCTCTTGCGTACGTATAGGCGTGATGGCTAATCTGGTCAATGTGGATGATTTTTCCTGAGTCGCACAACTATTTTTTCCTGAAGTAATATCTAGCAATGTTTTTTTTTTTAGAAACTAAAGTTAGCTTCTTCAAACTCTTGCAACACAACCAGTTCATACTTCATGCGAATGCGATGCAAATTTGACGTCACAAAGCATTTGCTGCTCAATTCAGTTTAGTTGAAATGTGTTCAACTTTTGCGAATTTGCAGCGCAAAAACTTGCCCTGACGTCACAAGTTGGCGTTCGCAATGAGTATAAACCGGCCTTCAGACAAATCTTTGTTTTGTGATGCACAATATTGTAAAGAATCATCTCCAAGAGAACCTAAATTGACAAAACAAGTGTAACTTTCACAAAACAAATGCCATCATTGATTAATACACTCAAGGTTATTCACTACACAATACTCTCCGACACCACAAAACACCTGTTTAAAACTGTAGTGTGTACAGCTCCATCAATCTGCATGTAAGCGTATTGCAGTGTGGCATATCCTAGCTACATGTACTCTCAATATCAGTGTCCAGTAATGGTATACCATGTATGTAGTTGCATACCACAAAACACTACAAATAATAACTTGTGTCAAGGCCCTTGACATGAAGTTAAAGTGTAGCAGCATTTTTTTGTGTCTTGGAACAATGTGATGTTTTTGGAGTGTATTTTTGTCAGACAAAATTAGGTTTAGTGATATTTTAAACTTAAAACTTAAATAAACTTAATTTTAAACTATACTGTCCATGCTCTTCAACAAATGTACAAATTTTGACGTTCGAATGTTTCATGTAAATTAATTATTGTTTTGCTATTCTGGGCATCTGCAACCCTTGGAAAAAGGATTTTCTTTTTGGTTGCTTTTGGGTATTATTAAACAAATCAGGTCTGGAAACGGTCCCAACATCATCAATACTAAAAGGGGGCGGGAGCCAGTCTACCTTGCAAAATTTGTAGAGTACTTATTCCATAACTAAACAATTGGTCTGATTTCTTCAGTCGATGTCTCATGCAAAACGGAATCACTTTTGTATTGCTACAAAAAACAGCAATTTAAAATCAAAATCTAGTTTTCTTCGGAGTGAAACTTGAAATACCATACACTAAGATACATGTTCATGTAGTTGAAGTTTATTTATCCACATCACATGCTAAATCCTCCACCCTTGGTTTTTTTCTTCTGTTCATTGTAATATTGTGCAATGCTGTACGACTGTTTTGCAATGGAATTTGTAATTCAAATCGACTTCACACAAGTACTGATGTATTGAAATCAATGAGTTACAGTTGTCAATCAAATACACAAAACTTGTCAAAATTCTGCCAACATCCTAACTGACCCAAATTGTAAAGAAAATAAAATATGACAAAATCATTTTGGCAAATAAAGTATGAGCTTAAGACATTTAATTTTGATTTACGTTGTTATGTTACAGAGTATTGCAAAAGTACCATCCTTACTGGTTAGTTTATTGGGATGTAAAATGCTGTGCTTTATCGATGCAGTGTCAATTTAATGTGAAGGCAGCCAGAGAATCTGAAGGTCAGTTCATTATGTACTTCATCTTAATGTGCAACAGTTTCAGTTCACACAGCGAAAGAAGTGACTTGACCAATTCATCTCTTGCAGACACCAAATATGAACAGACCTCCACATTGCAGACACAGTCAGATGTCTGTAAGCATTACATCAGATCAAAGTGTTCAATGACTTGTTGTTTTACCATACATGTACTGTGTATAAAAGCATTTTTTTGATTTGGAAAACTTAAAATGAGCAAACTGAAAATGAGTTATTGGAGACGCAAACTTGAAAGCGTTGGATCCTGGCAATGTGGAATGTTGACACTCACTTCATCCCCTGAGCTGATTTAGGCCACAACACTCTGTGAAAAAAAGGAAAACCAAGGAAATCCTTATAATTTAATACCTTTTGGTTCTATGTATTGAATAAGATGAATGAAACCTTTTACAAGCCACACTTGTGTGTAACGTGGCATACATGTATCCAATGAATGATGGATGGAGAGTAGGTTGTAACGTGTCCTTACCTCCCTAACCTTTCCAGAGCCTCCAACTCTAGCAAAAGCTAGACGGCAAGGAGATAACTTACTGCTACAATTAGCAACTCAACATGGAGTTTCATAAGTCAGCTCATACGTTGTACATTTCAGCTCTACAGCGCGTTCCCAAATACCCGCACTTTTTTTTTGTGAGGCTCTAGCGTCGGCGCGGAAACACGTACTGCCATAATTGATATCATTTTAAACCTGCGAATCTGAACTTTATCCCTGGTGAGTAACAAAAATAATAGAAAACACAAAGTAAAAGGCAACGAGATCATCACATCATGAACATGAACCATTTCCACAAAAATGTGCATGATTCATTTTCCTTGAAATCGGTTGAGTATGTTTTTGACATGTCTTTATTTGAACACAAATCATTTCAAAACCCTTTTTAAAATCAAACCAATACTTAGCATGAATAAAGTTAAGATTCAAAGCTTTAAAATGATATAAAAATGATGGCGGTACATGTTTCCACGGCGACGCTAGAGCCTCGTAAACGAAACAAAATGTTGCGGGTATTTTGGGATGCACTGCATATAGGCACTATTTTAGCAATTACCATGACAACTATTTCCATGATTTCTGAAGCCTTTCCACACTAGAGACTCTCGACCCTAGTTGAACTCAACCCGGGCGCACCCAGTGCCGCCCTGGGTTGAGATTTATTAGTTTACCCCATGTTCAACCCTGTGTCGTTTCACACTTTTTCCATGCAAACCAAACTTATTTTACTCGGTTACTACATGTACTTCTGTTTTGAACCCTGGTGAAAGTTTCAACCTGGGTTGCAAATCTCCACCCTTGTCTGGAGCAGGGTTGAGTTCAACCAGGAGTGAAATCATTCTCAATGTTGACACAGGTTTGGGGCAGGGTTAACATTTTCAAGTGTGAAACATCACGTTTTCAACCCTGCGTCAACCACTAGATTTGTCTACTGTGAAAGCTCTTATGGGACTAATTAATGACCCCTCGGCTGTGCTATTTAAGAAGTGTCAACAATCAATGCAACAAAGTGTACAGTAAACAAGTAACACCTGCACTCTTTTAAGCTTAAAAAAAAAAGTAATGTAACATCCAATAGGCACCAAAAGTATTTAAGTTAGATGAAGTATACTTTTGAACTTCATAGAATATCTTGTTCCTTTATTGTGAGATGGTAGACAGTGCCTTGTACAACATTTCTTATTCCCATGCACAAAACCACTTGATCTTCACTTCTGGTGTTACCAGAAGTGCAATAAAACTTGAATATTTGGATTATGGAAGTGTTTACTAAGGAATGCCAAACACAAAAAATTACGGCATAATGACGTCATCACCTGAAAGGGCGCCATCTAGCGACACATTGAAAAGAGTTTGACTTTTTAAATTTAAAAATCATTTGTCAACTTGACCAAATTGCCCCTAGACATTCTTTGGAGGACGGGAAATGAATTTGCACCATTTCAGAATCGTGATGTCATCGGACCAGAAGTGACTGTTGATGTTGACCATGGACGCCATTTGATGGCATCTGTGTGGTTTTCACAACTGAGCCCTAATTGCCGATAAACTGTAGATTTCACTTTCCATCCCAATTGAATTGTAAGTAAACTTTGGTACAGGTCTCAATCTGAATCATCGATCTCTACTTGTAAATCTTGTATCTCAGGTGGCATATTTAGTAATTCTGTGGTCGTTTTGAGGGCAAGCTCTGATTTTTTTGTTGGCAAATGGTTCTGATCCTGGTTGAGTTGGTAAAAATTCACTCAAGAAATGGTTGGGTTTTTAGTTATCCCCAAAGCGATGGCGGTCATTACACTTGGACCCTACTATCGCCAGACCATATGTCCAGATGTTAAAAAAAGGCCATTTGTAGGGTCCAAGTTAAGTTATCCCACGAGCGCGAGTGGAACACGCAAGTGGTATGTGGGACACAGACGCACTACATTTTCCATGTTCCAAGAGCGCAGCGCGATAACGAATTTATCTTCAAGCAAACTTGACGCACAGTGAAGTTAGAATTAGCACACTTTACGCGACTTTTTAGCGGTATAGTGCATGCAGCTGAATTGGCACACTTTACGCGACCTTTTTAGCGGTATAGCGCATGCAGCTGGAATGCTACTCACATCTTGGAATTGCGCAGTACGCAGGGTGCGATATGGACCGTGTGATACAGTATATCACACTGATGTTGCCATGGATCAACCAATCAGGATTGAGTTTACAAGTTTGCTTGAAGATAAAGTATTTTGTTGGCCTAGCTTGAAATTTCCAGCTTCCTAGGCTCATGACATGGGGAAATTTGCCAGGAAAGCTGAAACTACTCACCATACTTAGAATGCGGATCAGGTGATGGTCACGTTTTTTTTGGCGGATATTTTCCATTTCTGTTAAAATTACAAGCAAAAACTCGCCTATCACAGCATATAGTATAATCCTTTATACAGCAAGGATCCTCTCTAAATGACAACACGATCAAGCTGAAACCCCCCCCCCAAAGTTTTTTTTTAGTGCGACTCCCGGAGTGCAGAAAATCTGTTTTTGTAACGTAATCTGATTTGTGTAAGAAATTATAAGATGGTATAGCCCTGCGCCAGGTTATATTTTTTGTATACGTTAGCAGGCAAAACCGCCCAGTGGTTGACAAATAGTCACTGCCCGAACATGGCGTTTTGGTCTAGTCTGGCAACTTGCTGGCTAAAGATAGTATAGCGCCGTGTAGCGGCGTGGCACTGTGTACCATCTTACACAAATCGGATGACGCGAGGAAAAAGATTTTGTGCACTCCAGGTGTTGTACTTTATCTGGTTCAGCTGGATTGTATTGTCATTTTGAGAGGATCCTTTGCTGCATAAAGGATTATACTTTATAGGCTGTGATATGTGAGTTAACTTGCTTGTCATTTTACAGGAAATGGAAAATAAAAGGCGACAAACGTGACCATCACCTGATGCGCTTTCTAATTATTGTAAGTATTTCCGGATAACAGTCAACTCGACCGAACCAACTTGACCATTTACAAACTCGACCGTCGTACCAACTCTACTGTTGAACCAACTCGTCCGTTGACCAACTCGACTTCACTTTCGAGTCAACTCTACTGTTTGCCAACTCAACCGTTGTATGTACAACATCGACATAAACCTTGGGTTGCGTGATTTGATTTTTGGTGTGCATACTACTCTTTCATATAGCACGAGTTCGTCCCGGCTCTTCGGCATGGTTTTGCATCATTTGATTTCGCATCAAATCTTTTCCATCTACCGGTACATGTATTAAGCACTTGTCTTTTCATTTTCCTTTTCTCTAACAAACAAATTAGTAAATAATTAGATACAAGTCTGGCATGCTGAAACAGCGATTACGCATACGTATGTCCCGGCCATGTTGCCGCGTTGTGCGAAGCGGGATTGGAACTGTATGATGCCCGTGTGTCACGGCGGGCCGTCTGACTTTGTCTGGTCGCGATCATGTGGCCAGGACACGGCTGTGACCTCGTGCGGTGAACCGGAAAAGAAAACCATAACTTTTTTTGGTAATAAGAGATAGAAATCTGATTCAAAAATCAAATCGATGTTTTAATAGGATTCCAATGATTGTTTGGTTTTGAGAACTTACTTTATGAAAAATAAACATAATTTGACACTTAAAATTACTGAATGTTTCACTGCATGGATTTTGCCAATTAAATATATTGTTATATAGTGGTGTTCCCTTACGTGGCGCACTTCCGACGTTTACCCCGACTTTCCTCATGTAGTGTTGCCAAACTTCAAATTCATGCAGTGAAATACTGGTACTTTTATCTTATTAATGCTTGCTATTTAACCTCTGTGAACAATTTCGGTGTCATGAAATTTAATCTGAATTTCAAAAACGGTGGCGTCCGGAAATTGGGCACAAAATCGGCTAAGTGTTCCCTAACGTGGCGCACTTGAATAAATCTCGGAAATTTCCAAATTAACATTTAAGAATATGTAGATAACTTTTGATAAACCATTATTATCTCTACTTACAGTTACAGACCGAACTAGAAGTTTGTCAGAAAATGATTTTATTTGGGGGGGGGGGGGGGGGGGCATTTTCAAAGGGTTTGCTGCGCACTTCAAAATAAAATCGGGAAATCACGCCGAAATTAATTTTTCTTCTAGCTTTGTAATGGGTAGATAAACTCGCGACTTATGAACGGGAATGTTTAGAACTTGATGAAATTTCAGCTTAAACTTTTGCTCTAGCTAGGCGCTATAAAATTCAAAGTGCGCCACATTAGGGGCCGTGCCACGTTAGGGTACATCAACAATATTTGCATAACGCAAGCTCGTATAAAACTGATGTAACATTTATTTATTAGTTGGACAACGGTAGAGTTGCCTTTCCAGTTGAACGCACAACAGTCGAGTTGGACAATGGACGAGTTGGCAAACGGTCGAGTTGACCCGACACCTTATTTCAAGCTTTACTGGCGAACCTCCCCATGTCATGAGCCCAGAATTCAGAAAGCTGGAAATTTCAAGCTAGTCAATCTATAGTACTATAGTGCGCCTTGGCCCCTACCTGTTTTTCACAAAGAACTCCCATATTCTTTATTCCTTGCTGTTTTGTTTCTTCATCTTCTCCTTCTGTTTCGTCTCTGCATTTGTGATCTGTTGTTCTACCTTCCTGGCATCTTTAGTTCCATGCTGTTTGTTTTCGTTGGACAGTTGCTTATCCACTGCTTCACGTTTCGTCCGCCCTTTTCCGCCCGCGCCTCCACCCCGCATTGGAGGGTCATAATTGTAATGTTCGTATTCATCAGCTTGTTCTGACATACTGAATAGAAAGTCACTTTGAGGACTAACCTATTTTCAGTTACATTTAAGGGGCAGCAGTTTCTTGTATTACTTCAGGAGCTGAAATCCGGATATTTGCCACGTGTTCACCTTCGCGAGCAAAACAGCTGTTTCAACAACAATCTTGCGTGCTACGTACGGTGCTAGTCTTGACCCAAGACGTCAGTCAATATGGCTGCAGCAGCTAATCGTAGTGCGCCCTCCTTCGACTGGTTAATTCTTCTGTCCAATTTTGTGCGCGGGTCGTCCGGTCGCCGACGCGTGCTGCGCTTCAACTTCAAGTTCAAGCCAGGAAGGAAGGTATAATGACGCACATAAGAGTTTCTGCTGAATTGTTGGACAACTAATGAATATATAGATACCTTTCACATTACATTTCTTTGCAGTGATGTATCAACTTATTTATCAATGATCTCCCATTCCCAAGCTCACCTGGTTTGTTTTGCACAAGCCACAACCTCGTTCCCATGGGTGCATACCTGCAAATAAACTCCCATAGATACTAGTGCTAAATGCCCATACTTCAAAATTATTTTAAAAATACTCAAAACTCTCACAGGTATTCAAGCTGCACAGAAAAATGATGATCAATGTGTCATCTTTCATTTTCTTTTCGATTTTTGGTGGGTTGACAATTGACTTATCGAGATATTTTCACGCAAAGAAGACGACCCCTATTTCCCCCAAAGCGGAAAAGTAGCCATCTTGAAAAACGATCCCTCCACAACATGGCAAAATAGCGCCACTTTCGAGCCCAATAGCATCCAAAATGCTCAGAATTGGAAGCCCCAAGTCCGGACCAGAGGTTCATTACCATATCTCTTCAATTTCCCAATTTTACGGCGCTCAGAACTCTCTAATAGAATATTTTGAGGGTATAACTTTTATTCATGAGCTTGGCGGATCGATTTACCGGTGTGCACCCCCATGGGACAAGATCTTGCTGCGCCATGTCGTTTTCCATCATGCCTTGCGCGATCTCAACCCTGGAATTGTGTAATTTAAATGTGTCAAAATATGGCACATTATAATTAGGCTGCATTATAATTAGGCTGCATCTTTAAAATGTTTTAAGTTGTGATTTTGTAGAATCAATCCTTTCAAACATAAGGTTTGGACGTTGCGTTATTTAGCAAAGATTTGTATTAAATGTACGGAGTAATTGCAGAATACCCCGCCACGCGAAAATTACCCCCTAAAAATAAATGGCTACGCAGTCGGAAAATGTTGCAGAAATGTCCAAAGTACATGTAGATGTCGGGAAGTGGATACGCGGATACAATATACGGGGTGGATTTGAGCGCTGGAGGGTCTAAAGAGGGCGCTCTTTCCCTGTATTAAGAAATGCAGCCAGCAGGGACAACGTGAATTGAATGGGGAGCAGGGGTTAAATAAATCTAAGTCCAAAGTAGGTGCCAGGAAGTGGATACGCGGATACGGGGATACGGGGTGGACTTTATTTTTAGCGGATGAAAACATTTTTGAGAACGAAGCATCCATATTCATGAAAATAACGAAGGCAGAGACAACGTGAGTTGAATGGGGAGCAGGGGAAAAACGTCCAAGTCCAAAGTAGGTGCCGGGAAGTGGATACGCGGATACGGGGATACGGAGTGGCACACGCGTGTGGTTTTGGTTGAGCATCCAAGCGTGACTCCGTATCCGCGTATCCGGATACGAGGTGGGATAGGTGAGTGGCGGGGTATTCTGCAATTGTGCCAAATGTACGTACCGCTTTCATCCCTTTACAACCGAAGATACAGGGGTCTTTTTAGCGAAAAGTGAGGCTGCCATAATCCATATCATACAGGCATCGCGAGTTTTTAATAACAAAAAAATTTTGTACGTGACTTGACATGCAAAAGCACGTGAGCGCATTATTGGCGCGCCCGGCATGCAATCTTCGAAATGCGCACGCAGTACGCTCTAAATAGCCAGTCAGCATCATTTACGTGTACATCACGGCCAGGGGTTAGTGAAGGAACGCGCACGCGCCCCTGGAGTCGAGGCTGCACAAGCCAAGTTAAGAATAACATCGCACCCGTTCAGAAGTCACATGGACATGATGGAAGTTGGGAATGTATAATGACGCACCATGCCAAACGCTGAAAACTACGGTGGCCATAACATGCCACCTTTATTAAAGTAGCCATTTTGATAAATACAAAGTCCTTCGTGAATAAAACAAGAAATTTCTGTGTAGTTTATAAATTATGAAAATGTATGTGTCAATTTGTAGAAAGTAGACAAAAGCCTTATTAAGTTAAATAATCTCTGAAAAGTTAGCCTTGTTCAATGCGGTCTCTCGGCTTTTTGTCGAAGGGAGATAATCGGGCCCTGCACCCACAATCAACCCGGCTACGTGCGTGTACCACCGACCCTTGTCCGTACGAACGGTTCGGTACTAACACAACCAGCAAGCACACACACGTGAGTACGGACTGTACGCATGGTGTAATAAGGCAGTAAATGTAGGCCTACTATGTTCTGCGTGTGGGTGTAAATACGTACGTGTGGGGGATATACGCGCCGCGTGGCCTGTCGAACGACCGCCTTGTTGGGTCTGCAACTTCCGGGTTTAATGTCTTTCTTTACTTTTTCGTCCAGTTTTGGACGAAAATGGGCGGGCTTCAGGATATGCGGGTATGCCGTGATGATTATGTAGGTTCGTCTTGGACCAATCACATGAAACAACCTTCCCAATAGTATGATTAATTCATTTTTAAGCTGACCAATCGTAAGCTTCACAAGAATCATGTGACGTCGCGCAGCATGCATAATGCATTAGTCATCATGGCGTCTTCCATGTCTTTTTAGCGAGAGCGAAATGTTCGTCACTTTTTCAACAATTTGACATTGATTCGAGTTTTTCGGCTCGTGTAATGAATCCATTTGAGTGGGCAACGATCGTCTAATGACAGCATTGGAGCAACTATAGAATGCAGGGCCACGCCGGAGCAAGGTTTTTTAATTTGCTTGGAGGCGTGGATGGATAGGAGTAATAGATATGCAAACCTGCAAAAAGTGCTAAGTACAGCGAATGCACCTGTCTTCTAAGCTTCTCATGAAGGATCGGACGGGAGGGCGTGCTTGTAAATGTGTTGGGGCACGGTACGGATCGGAGTCGCGGAGTGGCGGAGGCGCGGAGTCAGGGAGTCGCGGAGATGCGGGGCACTGAAGTGGCGGAGGCGAGGAGTCGCGGAGACTCGCGCCGATAGAGGGCGAAATTCTCGGCGGAATTTTTTTGAGAACGAAGCATCCGTATCCATTTTAAATGGGCTCGCAAATTAGGAAGGGAGGAGGGCGACGGGGCACTGTCTGGAGTGGCGGAGGCGCGGAGTCGGGGAGTCGCAGAGTCGCGGAGACGCGGGGCACTGGAGTGGCGGAGGCGCGGAGTCGCGGAGACGCGCGCCGATAGAGGGCGCAATTCTCGGAGATATCGACTGCGGCTCCACGACTCCACGATCGATTTTCGGAGGTACTAGAAGGTCGACTGCGGCTCCACGCCTCCACGCAGCCGTACGGAGGCGCGGATGTAGAGTAAACTGGCCCTGCATTCTATAGTTGTACCATTACCTGCAGAATTCGTTGGAGCCTTCAATACTGCTTCGGACAGACCGGGACTGAACGACTTTCACCCACAGCAACGGGCCGCCATTGCAGCGTTTCTTCGCAGATGCGACGTGTTTGTTAGCCTATCGCGGGCTGACCAATGAGAATTCAGTATACGCGGGGGTGGTACCTCATTACCGTAATAGGTTTTGCTGGGTCAACTCAAAACCATCAAGGCGTTGGGTTACGCGGACTAGCTCATGCGTGCATGGCTGTTGTACGAGTACGTGTGTGTACGTGCGTACGTACAAGCATAGCCTTGCTGTATGGTACAAGTTACTTTCTCACTAGCAGCGTACGGGCATCGATATGTGCACGCAATTATGCCTTGCCAAGTTGATTAGGGATTTTCTTATCGGCGATTTTTTTTTATCGGCGAATCGATAAGCCCAACGCCTTGGGGTTACGCGGACTAGCTCATGCATGTACTGTGTGTGCATGGCTGTTGTACGAGTACGTGTGTGTACGTGCGTACGTAGAAGCATAGCCTTGCTGTATGGTACAAGTTACTTTCTCACTAGCAGCGTACGGGCATCGATATGTGCACGCAATTATGCCTTGCCAAGTTGATTAGGGATTTTCTTATCGGCAATTTTTTTTTATCGGCGAATCGATAAGCCCAACGCCTTGGTCAAGGCTACTGAAAAGTCAAATATTTTATCACCCATATCACACGGCCAAAGGCCACTTGATTGTGCGGCCCTACTGCGGATAGCCCCACTAGTGTGGCCGTGATATTGCTGCGCTGTATCTCTGGATACAGCGCAGCAATATCACGGCCACACTAGTGGGGCTATACAGAGGAAAGTGTGGAACTGGAAGAACCAGCCCCTCACACAATGGCTCCATGGGGTAACTAAGTCCACTGCAAGGCATTAATAAAATAATGCTTCTGCCCACATCGGGCGTAGAAGTGTCGTAGCCGGCCCATCAGGCTGGGCTCGAACCCACAACCTGCAGAAGGACCGGCAGACCACGCGTGCAAGTTGGCACTCCACTCTTGATGACACTCTTGATGAAGAATATTGTATTATTGTAGAGTGCTGGAGGGGTACTAGCATTCATACATTATTCATTCATTCATATCATTCAGGCGTGGAGAGTCACTTGAGTCAACGTGGAGAGTCACTCAAGTCAACGTCGGTAAAATTCACTGAAGAATATCACACCAACTTTGACCTTATGACTCGCATGGAGTGGATGTGGAGATGACCTTAGCAAATTGCCTTAGATGTCCATGAAGTGCTTGGATGCACTATCCTTGAATGCAAGTAGTGTTCTAGAGTTGACGACGTTGGCTGGCAACTTGCTCCATTCTGTAATGGTTTTCGAGAAGAAAGAGTTCTTCCTTGGTTGCATGTCATTTGTAGAATTTGTGTTGGTGCCCCCTGGTATTTCTTGTGTTTAAGGTGAGGTGCTCTCTTCGTGAGATGGCAACCAGCTCATGTTTGATTTTGTAGAGCATTGATAGTCCTTGTATCTTTCTACGTTCTTTCAGGTCTCTCCACTTGAGGTGGTCCAGGATTCCAGTGACTGTTCCCTCCTGCCTACTGTAATTCTTTGTGCAGAATCTTGCTGCCTGTCTTTGGACTCTGTCCAGTGTTTTTGGCATTACACTCGGTGTGGGTCCCACGCAGTTACAGCATATGCCAGGTGCGGACGCACTAAAGATGGGTATGTCGTGGATTTCATATCTTCTGGGCAGCTCCACATATTCCTCCTGATGACTCCGAGGACTTTCCGGGCTTTGGCTGCAGCAAGCTGTGTTTTGGAGCTCCACGCCTAAGTAAGGACTGGAGTCTTTCGATGTGAGTTGCTCTCCACAGAAGGTGTAGGATCTCTTTGGAGGATTCCGGTTAGCAAATGTGATGGTACAGCACTTGGATGGATTAAAGTTCATGAACCATTTATTCTGCCATATGATTTCAGCAACTTGAGATCATTTTGGAGAGTTGAGGTGTCCTTGTTTATGATATTTGTTGGTAAACTACATGTAGGCAATCGTCAGCGAATAGTCTCACTTGTGAAGTCAGCTTGTTCGGCAGGTCATTGATGTAAGTCAGGAACAGTAGTGGTCCGAGCACAGTTCCTTGCAGAACTCCTGATGTGACAAGTGCTGGAGAAGATGACTCCCCGTCGATGACAACTCGCTGATGGCATTCTGGCAGAAAGCCTGAGATCCATTAGTGTAAAGGACCCCTGATTCCTAGGTGATGAAGTTTGTGCATGGGACGTTTGTGAGGAACCTTGTCGAATGCCTTCGTGAAGTCCAGCATGGCAACGTCAACAGTCTTTTTGTCTACCAGAGCAGATGCTAAATCATTGATGGTGAGGTTTAGCAGGGTCTCTGTTAAACGCGAGATCTGAAGCCATGTTGGTTGTCTGACAAGATTTCATTTTGCTCAAAGAATTTCATTGTGTGATTGTGTATGATGTGCTTGAGAATGTTGCATATATGACGACATGTTAAGGACACTGGACAGTAGTTGGCAGGATCAGCATGGTCTCCCTTCTTGAAAATTGGTGCGCTGTTTCCCTCTTTCCAATCTTCAGGCACTTCACCGTTGTCAACAGAAGTCTGGAACATGTCACAAAGTATTGGAGCAAGGTCTTTTGCAGCCATTTTCAAGAACCAGGGTGGAATCCCATCTGGACCTGTGGCTTTAGATGCATCGATGTCATTCAGCAGCTTTTTAACTCCCGCAGTATTGACATTCAGGTGTGGTATTCCCTAAGGCAGGGTGCCGGGCAGGTGTGGAAGTGGGCTGTCGCCCTCTTTGGTGAATACACTTTGGAACTGTTGATTGAGAATTTCCGACTGTCACTAACAGTCTTCTTGTCCTTTTTCAGGTCACCGACGCCAATGTTTTCTTGTCTTAGGTTCTTTATGTAAGACCAGAATGCCTTAGGCTTCTCTTTGATGGTAAACCCCAGGAATTCATTTACAAACAAAGCAAGGCACTTAACCATTATTGCTTCGTCCTTCGGATGGGACGTAAAGCCGGAGATCGTGTGTTGTGTAATGCAATATGCACGTAAAAGAACCCAGTAACGCTTATCGCCAAGAGAAGGGGTTTGCCCCGATGTTTCTGGCCTCCTGGTAATACTCCCCTTTGGAGTCCTTAAGAGAAGCGTCAACCAAGAACCAACGTAAACAAAACTTCAGTAATTCCCTTAGCCTTAGTCAAGGCGTTCGTCATTAGGCCCATTTCGTCCGTACGCGGTAACGATCGGCAGTGTGGACGGTAATTCTGTCCCCCAGTAAAACTGTCTGGGGGACAGAATAACCTAGGTAAAAGTGTCCTCCCCGGCCCATTAATTCTGTCCCCCTCCAGGTTATTCTGTCCCCTCCAGGTTTGTTTGTGCCCCTCGTTTTGCAACGCAAAAGGCCAGTTCTCTATATATTGTTTTTATGAATTCACTCTACAAGGTATACATTTTGGACTTTTAGTCTGCCCTTCACGAAGATGGAAATATTTAACTTGGTCTCTTTCTTAGTGAACACAATCAAGCTCAGCATTTCTGTGCAACTCATTTTTGTACTCAGCCATATAGACATGGAGGGAGAACACTCTCCGTGTTCTCATAAGCCTGATGTGCTAGGCCCAAACGTAACTGATATTTAAGGAGATCATATAGTGTGCTCTCCATTGAAGATATATTCTGCAACAAACCAGTTACATGTATCGGTATTTGTGTTTGCATGTGTGTGTGTGTATGAGTATGTAAACACCGGCAATCGTGGACGTAGGACAAAAGAATGTGGGCGCAAACAATACGTCCACGATTGACCGAACGTCCACGATCTCAAATCGTGTACAAAACCAATGAAAGCTGTCGCTAAAAAGTTAGAGTACAAACAAAGGAAAGAGGATTAGGGACAATGGGGCGTCCACGATTGCCGGCATTTACACACGTGTGTGTGTTCCTGCATGGCATTACGCCTGAGGACAGACAACAAAAGGAGCACAAAGGGGCCATTGATCCTCGAAGGAAGGTGCCTATTGTCCTCGAACGCAGGTTTGTGTGCTTAGTCTATGGGAGAGTGTTATATTACAGGGACAAAGGAAAACACAAAGCCAATCCTCGGAAGCATAGCAAAAAACGACTGGGTGTGTGTGTGTGTGTTTTACTGTATCTTCCTTGTCCAGATGACTTTTATTTGATAACAACTCCACACAAGAGAGACATTACTATACAAACAAGTTATACACATGAACGTGCATTGTATGGATCAAACCCTGTTGTGCTGGCACACTATCTTCGACCACGTTGACCTATAGATGTACACTTACATACATATCTGCATTGTTTGCATCCATTTCCAAGCAGAAGTAAGTACTACTAATGTGGCTGTGTATTTGTTATTGTCTTGTACATGTAGGATGCGTCGGTCATTGAGAATAAGTAAGGAACTGAGTCAGCTGGAGCGAGAACCACCTCCTGGTGTTTCCTGCTGGATGAAGAATGAAAGCACAAACCAGCTGCAAGCACGTAGGTACCGGTAGTGTGCAGTGTTGTAGGACTCAAATCCAAGACTTGGACTCGAGTCACATTTTTCTTGACTCGGACTCGTCTTGAGTAACATTGTAAAATGACTCGGACTCGACCATGATGACTCCGACTCCAGCTTGGTGACTCGTGACTTGAGTCACATATTTTCATCAAAAGGAAAAAACATAACGTTATGCATACATTGTGCGACGAACGTAGCATTCTTTTGTACACCATAGACAAAACACGGCGCCGATATCAACGATTTTTTGTTCTATCATTTTACTCCATGTTTGGAAAATCATATCAGTACATGCAGCTCTCAAGCCAGTGGAACATGGGGTGCATACACGTACTGCGTGCATGTGGCGCGTATCACAGGGGCTCACGACTGCTTTTAAACATTGCTGAGCTGTGTTTAAAACCACCCATATGACAAGCTCTTGACCAATAGGAATAGGTAAACTGTCACAGGTATTTATGAATAAGGGAATTATTGTGTGATGGAGCAATTAATAACTATTTAGTTTAAAACCATTTAAGGGTAGTCTCTGATAATGACCTTATATATTTAAACTTATCGGCAACCAGAATCAAATAGAAAACGATGCAGGGAGCTTTGTTGACTGTTGTGAAGACATAGACATTTTTAACACCCATGTGCCACTCTAGTATTAAAAAATGCCATGTCCCATATTTTAACAGTCACTTGAATACATATAATGTAGTATGCAATTTAAGTTAATTAACATTTAGTTCAAATTTTCTATTTGACAGAGATAATTGGTGATGAGAAGACGCCTTATTCAGATGGGGTATTTGACTTGGAAATCCAGGTACCTGAGAGGTAACTAATGATCATGTTCCAGTCTGAGTTCTGCATATGTACATGGTATGGATTGCATTTGAATGATTAATCAGGTGGGGGTACAACAGGAAATCTGAGTAACCTTGGTAGCCAATACTCAAAATGGTGTTTGCTGGATATTTTGAGCCAATAAATTGGCTCCAATGTCACAGTATGTTGTTTTGATTCAGCCTACATTGTAAATAAATCAAACAGTTGTTGCTAGGAGGCTGAAGCACACACATGACATCTGACCGTGTGATTAGGTTGTGCTGTACAGCATGGCACTGGACGTGATCGTCTTGGTCCAGTACTAGTGTTGTACATGTCGTAGCATTGCAGGTCCAGGCTAAATCTCTATGTGCCACAAAAAAGTAGACCTTTCCTCCTCATCTTAAGTTGAACAAACTTTGACTTTGTTGTCAGTTAAGACTGCTCCAGTAAGCGCAACTTAATTGTGAGAATTGCTGTGGTTCTGGACATTGCTGAAGCATGTCTGATATAATAGCGATCATGCTTCATGTTTATGTATTGAGGTTGCTTGGGGCAGCAGCATCATGCACAGTAGGATCAGGGTCCTGGCAGGACATTGGTCAGTAACAGTGTGGTACACGCACTAGGCTGGCACTGTGATCGGTAACAGCTCACACAGAGGAAAGAATCGTGCAGTTGTTTGGGAAAAAGTCATAATTTTTGTTTTGTTATGAAACAAAAAATCTAATAAAAATGTAAGGTTGCTGCTCGTTTAGTACTTCTTTAGTACATTAGAATATAGTAAATTATATTTGGAATGTACAGAGAACGCACAATATAACCTATAGTACCTACAGGTACAGTACATGTTGAATGCATTACATCTGTGTGTCTATGTGTGTGCATGTTTATGGTGTAAACCGAGGACACACACATGCAATATCATCTATGAATTGAGGACAGGAACTAAATCGAGGACGACTTCGATTAAAAAACGCGTATAAAACGAATGAGAGCTGTTGCAAAAAAGTTGTTGTATAAACAAAGGAAAAGGGAAGAGGAACAATAGAAAATCCTCGATTTACACCAGTAACAAACCTGCTTATATGAGCATGTAAACTCCGGCAATCATGGACCTAGGGCAAAAGGGTTAGGGCACAAACACTACGTCCACGATTGACCGATAGTCCACGATTGAAATTCGTGTACAAAACCATGAGAGCTGTTGCTAGTACAAACAAAGGAATGAGGATTAGGGACAATAGGGGGTCCGCGATTGCCAGTGTTTACAAAGATGCCTTCGTTCATGGTGTAAATCGAGGACACACACGTGCAACATCATCGGTGAATCGAGGTCAGAAACCGAATTGAGGACTTCTCGGTTGGAAAACGTGTACAAACCAATGAGAAATGTACAAACAAAGGAAAAGGGAAGAGGAACAAAAGAAATCCTTGATTTACTCCATAAACAAACGTGCGTGCGTGTGAGCTTGTCTTACATACGCAGTGTGGACTTCCGAACAAAAGACGTCCACATAATGTAGGTAGCAGCGACGAAGTGTGGACTTGCCCACGTCCACACAGTGTTTCCCCATTTCTGGAAAACAGGTTTAGAGGCATTTTTGGGTTAGGTTTATCTGTAGCAGAATGAAGAGAAACACTAAAGGGAATCATTGAAAAAAAATTGGGTTGTAAGAGTTTTCACAGTTTGAGAAAAATGAGTTTTTCCACTGGTGTTCCTTAACTACACGAAAAGAAAGGAAAGTCCACACTAGGTGTGTGAAACAAGTCTGGGTGTGTCTGTGTGTGTATTAAGTCACGCAGAGAGTTTGGCCTGTATTACATGTTTGTTGCTGCAGCATAAGAGACTCATACCGGTACTTGTGATGTCATTCTTTTACAAAAATTTGCTGCAAGCATTGAGGACTTTTAGGCAAATTACAGCCGGAGCCCTAAAAACAGGACCTGAAAAATAGCTCTCAAAAGTAATTATAAAAACTCTTCTCATCACAGGAATAGCTAATTTTGTTAAAAATATCTCAAGCAACATATATCTGCAAAATGACGCAGATACATGTATCTTCCAGCAATCAACATCATCTTTACGACTTCAAATTGAAGTGTTGCTTGAGCATATACTGAAGGAATACTGGTGCTGTTTTTGTTGTTTACAGATATCCTATGGAGCCTCCCAAGGTTCAATTTCTGACTCCTATATATCATCCAAATATTGACTCAGTTGGTAGAATCTGTCTGGACCTACTCAAGATGCCACCTTCGGTAAGTTGTCAGATATATATAACTATTTATCTTCAAGCAAGCTTGAATCCTTGATTCTGATTGGTCGATCCACGGCAACAACAGTGTGATATTATACCTAATAACACGGTCGATATCGCACTCTGTGTATCACGCTATTCCAAGATGCATGCACCGTTCCTTCTGCATGCACATATAATTAATGGGTTAACCACTGAAAAGTTTGTGTACCGCGTGTACACAAACATGTTGCCGTGTTCCATCTTTACTGTGCATCAAGTTTGCTTGAAGATAAATTGGTTATCCCACTCGCACTCGTGGAACATGGAAAATGTAGTGTATCTTGCGTCCCACATACCATGAGGCTGAAATATACGGGACACAGAAGCATTACATTATTACGTGTTCTACTTGTGTTCACTAATAAAACATTGTAGCCATTTCCCTGCCTCAGCTTTGTCTGTGGTTTCAGCTTCATCTGTAGCTAGGATCATCAGGAAGCCTTAATGGCCAGGAAAAATGGACATGTACTGTAATAGGACTAAGCAGAACAAGGATGAGGCTGAGTTATGGGCCTCGAAATCGGAACTAGAGACAAAGATTGGAGAATCCCCCATAGTGAACATAGAGCGCATCATAGGACAGACTTGTTATCAAGTCATCACAAGTCAGCAGTAAGGTCACAATTAGAACACGTATGGTGACAATAGAACGTCTTTTTCCGCATTCACTCATAGCTTGTCTCTTGGGTTGAGACTGTAATGGACCTGTGATTGTCATTCATGTGCAATCTAGTGTATGTGATTTAATTATTGTACAAAAAGATAAAGGCTATGTCTTGCTGCAGATAGTCATTCTTAAGTCAGGTTTGCACCAGAATTGGAGTTAAGTTTACTCTGACAATGAACAAAAAGCCATTAGGCAAAATCTTACCAGCGTTTGCATTGGAATTTTGACCCAGGAAAATGTTAACAAAATTGTGGTTTAAGATACCGATTGATACATGTTTTTTTTAATCCTCGTTCGTCTTAATCATTCTATGTGCCCCTCGGGTGTTAAAAACATCATATCCCACATCACAGCAGTCAACTGTTGTTTTGTTACGAGTGCGAATAAGTCAAACAAATAAATGGTTGTAACCTACTGTGTGAGAAATAAATGACACCACTGCGATGTAACCATGATAAGTGAAAGGTTTGATGTCCCGCTGGCAGTTAATTGAACGCAGTGCGTTATCACTGATCTCCACGTCAAAATGGATATAAGTGTGTTCCACACAAACCTGGCCTGATGTAGTGATAGAACGGTGCCCACTTTTTCCATCAATTATGTATCTGTTGGAAAATTAAAACAACGTTCTGATTGTTGAATACAGTCAGCTACGAAGCACTGTCCCATTTTCCAGTCTTATTTATTCTTAGTGTCTGAGGAATCTCAATTAGAAAATTTTCAACTAAGTGGCCTGTGCAAAATATAGGATAAAATGGTAGACAAGACATTGTGTGGAATGGTTGCTATAGGAGACGACCCTGCATGACGTCACACTTCTGGCGTATAAGAATAGCCGCCATTAAATACAGGCATTGTGACCAAGAGGAAAGTTTCCTTACCTAATACCAAAAAGATAAAGAAACATTTCCATGAATAGGGTTTTAGAGACTTTAATATTCAACCGATCTGGATCAGTGAAATTACAGCACCATGAAATAGCACTCTTCCAATATTCATCACTTGGTACGTATGCATTTCTGGTTAATTGTTATTTTTCTTTTAGGGTAATTGGAAGCCTAGTCTGAGCATTGGTACATTACTGACGTCCATCAAACTCTTGATGTCTCAGCCCAATCCTGATGACCCACTCATGGCGGATATTGTAAGTCTCAGTACAAACATAATTGTGACCTGCCATTCTATTACAGAAAATACCTCACCTCCGATGCCTACAAGTGCACTTCCAATTCTGCTGACAATAACAAAAGAACATAGCATCACCAGGCATGCCCACACACTGCATGTCCCAGAATCCCATTGATAATTCGCACTTTTTTCCAGTGCGATTGCCTATGTACACGCGAATTCGTTGGCTGTCTTAAAGCTACAGTCCATCATTTGTAATTTGTGCATTTTGTTCGTTTGAAGCAACAAAAGAGTTCAAAATCTAATGAAGGATACTGAGCAACTAACCTGATGAAGTTTCAGCTAAGCTTCAGCTGTACATTCCGAGAAAAACAGCAATCTAAGATCTCAATTTCAAATCATAAGATCTCAATTTCAAATCAAAAGCTACTGAATCATGTTTTGAATTGTTTTGAATTGCAGCTATACGCGACGTCGCGCACTGATCCGACGAATTATAACAACCGCGCGCGCGTGTGCGTCGTTCCAATACTTGTGCGCGCTGCGCTGAATAACAAAACGAACTACTAATTTAAATTTTCCTACGGTGCTTCTTAAGAATCACCGTTGGAAATGCCTTCTTTTGTTGATTACTTCAAAATGAAAGCTTCCCAGAAAGAATAATTTCACAGGGAGTTTAGTTCCCTTACTATCTTTCAACCAAGTTTGTTTTTCAACAATAATTACGCCAGTTACTTTTCGGCTGGCTGCAAATGATGGACTATAGCTTTAAGCATTGCACATTACAGCACATTATCAGACTCTATTTCCGACAGTTCCGCAGAGACAATGTCAGAGTCTACTAAAACTAAGAAAAGGACATTTAGGTAGATCAAATGTAGATCTTGTGGAGGATCTCCATCCCTTTTGGAGTTTGACGTTCATACATCATGCTCCAGATGCCATCTCTGATCGTGGAAAAACTCGTGTGGAATCTGTTCTGACTGGTTTGACATGCTTTATTTCTTTTTGTGGCTTTAGTCTACAGAATTCCTGACCAATCGTGTCGTGTTTGAACAGAAGGCCAGAGAGCACACTCATAAACATGCTGTGCAGAAGACTACAGTAAGTCTTAAACCATAACTTCCTGAGTCTTTGTAATAAGATCCATTCTGCATTGTTCCATTGATCTGAAACATCGTTCTTACTTGTACTTTACTTCTTAGGGGCCTAATTAATTCATGGCATACAGCAAGTCAATATATTGGCAGCAAAAGGAGCCCACTAGAGTCGATGAGCCAATTCTTTGGCTCAAAAAACATTGCCAATTTGAAGGCAGTTGATGTTGTATTCATCAGTCTGTACCTTCCTTCATTCATCAAATTCTCCAAAAGTCATGTGGGTGATTTGGAAGGATCTGGAAAGTTAGTTTGAAGTATTTTTTCCCTTTTGTGCAGAAGCAGGTGAAACATACAAACATAGTTATCTTCAAGTACACTTGAATTCTTGATCCTGATTGGCCGATCCATGGCAACAAGCGGTGCTACATATAACCATGTAGCACGGCCAGGGTCCATACCGCACTCCATGTATTGCACTAATCTAAGATGTGCGCACCATTGAGCATAACACGCACGTGTAATAAGATAACCACAGAAAAGTTTGTGTACTGCGTGCGCCTTCCATTTTTACTGTGTGTCAAGTTTGCTTGGAGATAAATTCGGCCTTGTTGTATGTGGGACGCAGACGTACTACATTATTCTGTGTTCCCTTGTGGGGTAACTAATATCATGTATACACATCACAGTTAATTGCAATCTTACTTAAATAAAAGCTGGTACATACGTGCTTTTTCAAAAGTTCAGAATTTCTTTTCTGAACGACTTTTATAGGAATATATGATGTCATGTAGCAAATAAATTTCCATGTTTGCATTTGCAGGCCTTTTTACAGGTTTAAAAAGTGGTTTTGACAGCATGTTCCAGTTCAGAAAGTTTTGAGCAAAATGCTTTAAATATTCTTATCTAGTGACATATCCATGTAACACATGTTAATTTTGGCCGGGTTGGTATTCGCCCGATCCTAGCTATGCGATGATCGAAGAGCACAGATCCCAAGTTTCATCAGAATCTCTGCTAATTTTGTGTCTTTTCCTCTCAGAGGATTGCAAAACAGTGTTTCCAAGTTTTGATCGCACTGTATACGATGTATACACATAATGTGCATGTACACGTCTTCATCCACATAAGGTACAGTTAGTCTGGACATGCATGCCGGTATATGTACGTATATACTTGAAATGTGTGGTGTTGATTACTATTCATAAACTGCACCGTCGCAAAAGTGCGTGTGTAGGTCCCGCTGGCTTCAAAACTGAATTAGGAGCACAATTTGTTACTTATTGTGGGCAGATTTTTTTTTTTCCGTTTGATGTCTCATTGCAAAGCTCATAACTAGTGTAATGCTAGAAAATTATCAATTCAATTTGAAAATCTATTTTTCAAGGTGCCACACCCAAAAAGCACGTATATACCAACTTTAAATGTTTAGGAGTAGCTACTTTTTCACAGTCTGATACTTCATCTGTTTTCTGTTTTAGGCCAAGTTTTTTTGTTTGATGTCTCATTATTTGTTAGTAATTTAATAAATGAGTATGAATTTTCTGTTGGAACAGATAAGGCCAAAAAAATCTTTGATAAGGTCTTTGGTTTCTGGTATGGAGCTTGCCCCAAAAGTGGTGCGGCGATGTGGCTTTTTTTCCCATTACTTTTTTTTCCTTCAAATGTCTGCTGATGTTGCAGATGACGCTTCAATCCCCTTAAAACTTTCAAAAATATCCTTCAGGTTGGAGCTTGAGGTGACCTCAGTAAGGCCATAAGGCTTGAAAATTCCGCACCCACTGACGATCTCGACCCACACGAACATTCTTCGGGGAATTTGGATAGTCAAGACAAAAATCAGAGAAAACGGTAACGCCAGACCATACAGCGACATTGACATCGTGCATGTGCTGCCAGGCTGGTCATTACATATTGCTTTAATTCCAAAGCGTTTACAGGTGGCCAGATACACGACCATCACTCCCTCAGTCTGGCTTCCAGACCCACAATTACAAAACTACAACACCGTCTGCAAAAGGTGCCCAACTAACTTTAATGCAAAATGTATGGGAGTCCAGAGAAGTCACATAAAGCTTATACTTGATCGTAACCCCATCTAAAACCATGTAAAATTGTGCAGCAGCAGGATTCCAGTCAAACCAGTGAGTCTGGCGGTTTTGAGACGTCATCTTACATTGAAAAAAAAACCTTTTTAGCTTTGCCAAAGCACATGGCTACGGTAAAAAATAAATGTACACGCAGACCAGAAACCAGAGACTGTTTTTTTTTGGCCTAAAGACACACCTTAAAAAAAAATTATCATTGGGTTCCGCAAATCCAAAGTGAAACTCTACATGTATGTAATTTTTAGTTTTTTTATTTAACTGATTGCTGTTTTTGTTTATTTGATTTGATTTGTAGGCTGTTACGTCTCCAAAACAAGTCAAAGACCAATCGGATTCAAATGATAGTGACCAATCAGAGTCATCCTCTGATGAAAGTGACCAATCAGGTTCATCTTCAGATGAAAGTCATTCCCCTGCAGACCAGCTTGCCATCCAGGAAGGAATCCCTGTCAGTCAAGCGGGGAAACGACTGTCTGTGGAAGACTTGAATGCACAACCACATGCCAAAAAACACAAGGCCCACCAACAATAAGAAACTTGAAACAACGATCAGCTCTCTTCTGCATTGAACCTGCAGTGCATCTCCGAGGTCATAAACGACACATTGGTGTACATGTATATGGCAAGTGGCTCATAGTGTTTGTCAAGGCTGGTGGGTGATATTCAAATTTGAATGTGACGCAATCTGACAGGAAACATTTGCAGCCAAATCAACCAATTGTGAGATTTGTTCAATAAGTGCAAGTTTTTGCAGAGGTTATACATGTATAAACTATTTTACAAAGTTGCACTAACTGAACTTGAATATTCAAGTTCGTGGAATGACACCATGCAAATTATGGACACTATCATTTGATGCATTTTTCCACAACCACATCTAGCATTACAGATTCAAAGGGCACCCTCATAAGATTCTGAGAGAGCACAGTACACTTAACTTTATGCAACAAATGACTTGCCGCTGTGCCAAAATTAATCCAAGCACTGACGCATGGTAGAATAACCACAGTGCAATGTCAACAATAACTCGCAGTCCAATGCAACCACAACAAAAGTCATGCATCTTGTCATTCATTGATTTGTGCTTTTTATAACAGCATGACATTGTTTTACAACAAAGTTACATATGTATGAATTGTCCTTAAGAATCAGAAGTGTTACTTGTAGACATACCAGAATATTGAAGGTCTTGAACTTGAAGTATTAAGTGTTTGGACCATTTGTATAAAAATGTGTGTATTTACAAAACCTTGCATGTTGTATAAAAATGTGTGTATTTACAAAACCTTGCATGTTCTACAGTAAACTCCGGCTAAGACGGCACTCTCGGGACCAGAGAATTTGTGACAACTTACGCGAATGTCGGCTTCTGCTGCAAGTCGTCATTTTGCCGACTTACACAAATACACAATTTGAATCACGGAGCGAAAAAAATAGATTGAATTAATGGCCTATGCACATCTGTATCTGGATCATGCAAACAAGATTCATGGCTAAAATTCAAAGGCTTTGATTTACCCTGGTTTATTTCTACATCCATGGTTGATTCCAGCAAAAATATCCTCAATGTTGATCATCACAAACAGGCTGTGGTATTGATCACAGAAAGTCATGCATGTACATGTACGAACGTACGAAGCAAGGACAGTTTAGCCGGAGTTTACTGTATTATTATTACATAAAGAAAAGTGTAGCCAAAAAAAAGTTTCCTTTATTTGGTGTATATATATTTTTACCTTGACTTTTGTACGACTCTTTTTGCACTAGCTCTTGCCTGTTGTATTTGTGTAGTGCAAATCAGCTCTGAAGCAATGTATTGCATCTCCTTGTGCTACAAAATCAGTTCTGAGAGACAACATTTCTTTTTTAAACAAACTTTTATTCATCTTCTAACTAAAGTAATTATCCTATAAATTTGGAGTAAAAACGAGTGGAAGTGTTTCAACTCTACATGTAAATGGCAGCCATAAAATGTCCATGTGAAATTTGACAATTGCTGAGTTACTTGAGTATCTTACAAAATACCACACGAAAAGTGCAGGGACAAAACGACCCAGCACAAGCAATTTTGAGTGTCACAAGCACTTAAAATTGCACTTACATTATAAACTATGGCTGGATAACTTCCAAAGTCTGACCGTAATCTAACAGCGTAATACAAGTAACCCCACAGCAGTGACAAGGGATCTCGGGTATGATCCTCCAGTAATTTGAGCACAGGCGACAAAGGTCATCTACTGTCCTTTACAGGAGTCCATCATTGTTGCCACTTGCCCTTGGTTATTCACACAGTAGTTACATTGTGCGACAATGAAGCCTAAAAGTTAAGTTGCTAAACATACTTGGTCAAATTAAGTGTAAATTTATTTTTTAAAAAAAATGAAATTGTAAAGGTAATCATGTTTTAGAAAACGACAGTACTACAATATGTACATGTACCTTGTTTTGTATATATACAAATTAAAGGATATATACTCGGAAGAAACTTTAAATGTATGTTGACTTGCTGGTCATTTCCTTTTTTTTTCAGGTGCACATCACAGCATATCAATTGTGTCGTCATCCCTCCCCCTCACAGTGAACATCTTAACCCTTACTTAATCCTGAAAGTATCATTTTGCCATGAATACATCTTAATTAACCCTACCTTCCTGAACATTATTGCTAAGAATCCTTCCAAATCCCCCATGCAGGAAATTAATGACAATACATTTTTGTGTACGTAAACTATCGTGTGGCATCAATATGCTAATGCTTTGCTCTACCTCCTCTTGAATCAAGTGGATTTGGGAGGCTGTGGGAAGGTTAGTGCTGGCTGTAACATGGATATTTACTTGGGTTGGCAAGAGTCTTTCGGTTGGGCATTTTCCAACATTTTTATTAATGACCCAAGTTCTTATTCAGCTTGGAATTTGCTATTACAGCTACCTAGAATCCAAGCAAAGGAGCATTATAAGGACTACTGCTGTTTAAATTGCCAGTTTTTCACAGATGTTTGGACCAGAGACTGACACCTCAGTGGCTAGATGATGGTTAGTGGATTTGCCCAGATTCCTCACAGATGATGGTGGGAAGTCACTGCAATGAGGACATTCAAGCTGAATAAGAACTTTTTGCACTCTTTTCCTCTCAATTTGTGTGGTATGCACGGGAATTCAAGATGAAGAATTCAGCTGGTCTGTGGAAAATTGCATGTTTTAAAGGGCACATTATTAATGTTAAAAATCTGTGAAAATGCTAACTCAGTGAACTCGTTCAAATAAGGACTTTCTTGATACATGTACAGTTGTATTTAAAGGGTTAAAATGTTCACATTATTCAAACAATCCATTTGATTGGTGTCACACATATCCATTGACAATCCTAAAGTAACAAGGTAGTAAAACTGTGTCTAGAAAAAGCATGATCTATGAATAAAAAAATTAGATGAAAAATTATTGTGATAAAATATACACACATATAATACTTTAACATATCTTACATTAAACACCCACAAGTTAAGCCCAACTTCAGTTTCTAAGGCCATTTCCCAAACCTTGACTTCCTCCCCAGCTTTGGCTTCATCCCTAACTTCCGAACTACTTTTTAAGCCTTTAATGTCTGAACCAAATGGAAATATTATAAACGTTGACTTCATAGTAAAGGATTGGATGTCCCTGATGCAGAACATGGTCTTGATATTGACCTGGAGTCTCCAAAGTCAGGGCCCTGAAAACTCCTGAAGACAAAGTCAAGGTTCTGGATGGAATTTATACACACAACGCCTCAATATCCAAGACAGAGTGCACTGCACATTTAGTAGCAGGTGCACACGCTACAGAATATTACTGGGCTCGAGACCCTCAAGTTGGAGAGTTACAAATCTCCCAAACATGCTGAAGTTGAAGCTGAGGTGTCGTAAACTGAAGAAGAAAGTTCCAGTGCGCTACAATGCATATCCATGATTTTGATGACTTACACTCATTTCTCATCTGCATGTTCTTGTCACATGGGCACGATGATAGACACAACAGCTGGCCTTCATGGAGGGCAAAATTTGAATGTGCGTTAAAGTTAAGGAATATGTCAGCTGAATGCCTTGCAAAGTTTGTGGGAACTCAGGATATGATGGAAACTCGAGATTTTATTTGTTTGAACTCATGCAAACAATTTTCTAAATCCTCCTTAAGATTTGTACATTATTCCCTGTATTGTTGACACGATTGGATATTGTTGGCACGATTTACACACTGGAGTCATTTTTCTCACTACTTTGCCTTCCCTGGACATTCACATTAGGCCCATATGCTAGAACCCAAACCTAAAGGGTTCCCTGGACATTCACATTAGGCCTGTATGCTAGAACCCAAACCTGAAGGGTTGACCATGGCATGTACCTGCTCTCATTTTGTCTCTTTTTTTTAATGTGAAACTAAAATTGAACATACCGGACGGTCATATATAAATATGTAATATATAAATCAACAGACATCCCTGATATTTTCAGACTTTTAGCTGCCTGTCACTCCTTTGACAAGTATCAGTGTGCAATAAAATGACTTCAGTAGTGTGAGTTCATTGTTTTCCACCAGCAGCCAAGTATACCACTCTGGTGAGCTGTTACTGGTATTTTTGGAACTGGGTACCGATTGCCATAATGCTCAGTTAGCTTCAGAACCATCTAGTGCCCGGTATTTTCGGTTGGGATAGGTACACCTACCATCCTGGCCTTCATATCCGTTAAAGCCACATTTATAACTTGCACAAACCTCTAGCATGTCCTTTTTTTATACGCACAAACACCATTGGATATCACAGGACATATTTATTTTATTTCATTTTTGTTTAGTTGAACGGACTATATAACAGGATCAAATGTCTGCTGTCCTTTTGCTACAGATACGATGTTATGATTAAAGGATATGAGGTGAAATCCAGCTGCTGTCTTAGCACACCAGTCAATATAAACTCAGCATTGTGCACATCTGAAACAAAATAACATTTGATGACATGACACTGAAGATAAAAAACTGAAGAGATTTTTGACCGAGATCACCTAAATTTTAGAGGTTTTATTGTTGACTTACCATATGTTGAAGGTCTGGGTGACAGAACCCCCCCCACATATTTACATGTAAATTATTGTAATTGATGTGACATGTGAAAACACTTCACATAGTGCCAATCATACTTTAGTTTTGTACCAAATAAAAGCTGAGATGAGCACTTTCCATTCTTGGGTTTCACTAAATAAAGATTGTTTGCTCTGATGCACAGACACCAGATTTAGTGGTAATGTATGTGTAGGTTTCACATATCACATCACATATTCCGTTGGCCATACCAATGACATCTACCAGACCACTTCAAAAATATGTCAAGAGAAAATACTTTATGCTCAGTGCCTGGGCATCAGTCCAGCTGCTAGCCAGATGCTCCAAGGAATGTCAAGCTTATCCGCATGGCAAGTATTTGCACTGCTCCTTTTTTTTTTAAATTTGAATATAATTCAACTCCAGCAACATTTTACAAATAATGTTTTGAGATGTAAAATTTAGTCCAGACAACGATCACTTTAAGTACCAATTGTTATAAATACAAAATAATTGAAAAAGTACTTTTAACATTTGTGTTTACCTATTTTATGCCGGAAGAAATCCCGGCACCACGGCAGATCATTCTCACAGCTAATGACAACAAACGCTGAGGCTCCCATGGTGCTTTGCATGGCACTAATCTTAGCCAATGATGGACGTGTCGTCAGTAAGCGACCTCCAGCCATCTCAATGATTTCATGAATGAGTCCTGGACCTGGTTGCACACCCGGCGTCAGATACAGTGTCACATCCTGTCCACAGAGAACAAAATACTGTTATATGCAAATCTACCATTACATGTATAATGACTCACTTATATTCTAGAAGCTTCAGGGATATTGACATAAGAATCTTCAAGGAAGACATTACAATAAATAATCATTACCCCCCAAAATCCATAAAAACTTCTGAAAAAAAAAGATGGGCACAATATCACATTTTGTAATCCCTTAGAAACTTGAAACTTAAATATCTTTGGAAAATAAATTTATAGAAATGACCACACAAAGGTCTGGGGTTTATATGAATGCTTTACTACCAAAATTTAAAATAGTCAGGGTTCTCATCAATTCTTTTTGGACAAAAAGACGGTCTGTGGCCAGAGATTCGGATCAAAAGTTCTTTTTTGTTTTAATCTAATATCACGCACAAGTTTACGAGTATAGGAGGCTTGGCCCCACACGCCTGCGGGGAACGAGGCTTTGTCGCCTGTCACCCGCTCATGAATAACTCGTTAACACACGCACACATGCACACAGTCATGTTTTTCTCTACATGTAGTCATGTACTTATCAGGACCCCTTCTTGTTCCCTTCTTCTGTTCCTATTGTTTGTACTTCAACTTTTTCTTCTCATGTACAATTAGGTTTGTACAAGAAAACCTCCTGGTGACTTGGCTCAGGTGACTTGGCTCAGGTCCTCGGGTTATTGTTATCTCAAGAAACCCATTGTCCCAAGTCCTCAGACATAAAGGATAACAAACTCACACTCGTACTTTACCATTACCGTCTGAGGACATTAACAACAACATTAACTTTGCCATAATCTAAAGAGCCTCATCCTCCTCTGTCACTAGTGTCAGTGACTTTCTTGAGCAATTTGAGAAGTTCGCTTGGGCTTTGGAAAATCTTCCAGGAAGGAAATTGGTTCTCGGTGACTTCAATCGTCACTATGACTGTCCATCCAAGCCCGAGGTCAGAACCTTCGCTACCACCATCTCTTCGTTAAACTCTTGTCAGAAAATTCAAGGCCCAACTCACACAGCTGGTCATAGTCTTGACTTGGTTCTTCTCAAGGATAGTGATACCCTGATGAAGTCACACACTCTAGAACGACCTCACATTTCAGATCATCTTGACGTTAACTGTATCCTGAACCTCAACAAACCCTGAGACATGAAAACGACGTACACATCAGGTAGATTCAGATCTATTGACTCTGATGCAGTATGATCTTGAGGGCAAAACGGAGAGTTTTCTCTTAGGTGATGATGATGACATCAATGATCTTGTCAAATGCCACAACTGCGCCTGCCGGGAAGTTCTTGATGATCACGCTCCGGCAACCCACCGTTCCCATTCCATCCATCGCAGACAATGTGGTTCAACAAGTCTGTGCAAGCTGGTCGTCCTGCATGGCGTCGCACTGAATGGAAATGGAGGAAGACCCACGCAGAGGCTGATCATCAAGCCTATGCAGTCACGAGATGTATCCGATGTCATCACTCAAGCCTAAACTGAATACAGTAAACTCCGGCTAAACCGACATCGTACAACTCGTCAAATCGCTCAAGTCGGCCGTCTGATTAAAGTCCAGATTGTCCGTAATGCATTTCCATTGAATTTTTTATTTCTAAATCGGCTTTTATAAGTCGCCATTTCGCTCAAGTCGTCAAGTTACTCTCGGTCCCCTTTCCATAAAAAGTATTACAAATTCCTTTGTGTAAGTCGGCATTCAAAACATCGACTTACTGTACTGCTGTTGGCAAGAAGTGTCGAGTGAAAAGTGGTTTGGCACGGCCTGTGATCGCTGCATGCATCGGTGTCGCGAAAGGGTGTCCTACTGCATACATTGCATATGCATTGTGAGCATATCAATACCAGTACCCCCTCTCGTCTGTACGCATGCGCTCTGTCCATTTTGGGGGTAGTCTTATTGAATGACTAGTGCTGCACTCAATGCGTGCGTGGTATATACCGGACCACGCACGCATTTAATTTGTTACTGTGCATATACATAATACATGTATTACTATTTTGTACACGTGGTCTCCACTTTCAATATCCCAAACGTGATGATACAATTCGAGGATTAATTTGCTGGATTCAACTCGAGCATTAAGGAGATCAACCAGGGTAAATCGAAGCCAATTAATGCAATGAATCAAGTGTGCAAAAAGACCATTCATGTAAGTTGGCAAAATGACGATTTACAGCAGATATTCGCGTAAGTCGTTGCAAATTCTCGGGTCCCGAGAGTGCCGACTTAGCCCGAGTTTACTGTACTTCAATGAACAATTTTCTAATTGTAACTTTCAAAGACATGTTTAAGACTGTTCATGAGGCTGTTTCTTTTGTCCATACCAATAACTTGTCTGAACCTCTGCAGTCTGCAGTCCGTTCTGCCCATAGCACTGAAACTGCTCTTCTTACAGTTCAAGATGCTTTCCTCAAAGCTATTGACACACAGCAGGGTGTCTTCCTCATGATGATTGACTCGTTGGCTACATTCGATACAGTAGACCATAATATCCTCTTACAGCGTCTCACTTATGACTTTGGCCTTGATGGTGCTGTCCATAGCTGGTTCCGCTCATACTTGAGTGGTAGAATGAGTCAAGGTTGTGTGAAGGAAGCTCTCTCTGCTGAAGCCAAGCTCAAATGTGGTGTTCCCACAGGGATCTGTCATTGGTCCATATCTTTTCACTTATTACTCCCACATCATTGGTCAAATAGTTTGTTCACTCTATTCAATACCACATTTATGCTGATGATGTCCTGCCATTCTTGACCTTTGACTCAACTCAACCAGGAGATGCTGTCTGTGCTCTGTTTCGGTTGTCTCAGTGTGTCAAAGAATTTAAATCGTGGATGATCTCTAACAACCTCCGGATGAATCCAAATGAGGCAAGAGTTCTTCAATGCGTCTTCTCCCGCTCACTTCTAATATCTCCAATACTACACCTTTTAATCTTGATGGTATTGAAATTCACCCTTCCCCCTCAGTCCGAAACTTGGTGTTGTTTCTGATCCTGACATGAAAATGTTTGATCACATCCCACAACTTTGTCACTCTCTAAATTGGCCTATCCACAACCTTAGTCGGATCAGGAAATTTCTTGACTGTAATGCCTGCAACAATGTCGTCAGTGCCCTGATTCTGTCGAAGCTGGACTATTGCTGCTGTTTGCTACATTGTGTTTCTAACGACAGACATATCTCGTCTTCAGAGACTTTAAAATAGATGTGCCAGGCTTATCTTTCAGACGCCCAAACACACCCATACCTCGCCTCTGCTCAAACAAGTACAGTGGCTCTCAGTCACCCAACACACCAGTCATCCACCTGCACCAGATAATCTCTCCTCTCTTCTCACAGTCCAGAACTGTTCTTACTCCTTTCGTTGCTGGAGAGTCCCTTGTTATCCACAAGTCACGTATTAAAACAGGCTTGTGACAGGGCCTTCTCCATTGCCGCCCGCCGGTTATGGAGATAATAGCCTACCCATCCATCAGAAATTCAGGCAGCGTTTTTTTTTTTTGAAAAAGGCTCTAAAGACCCATCTTTGTCCTAAATCGTAGCTAGCTGTCCTCTTTTCTTTGTCTTCTTTTCCTTTTTCACATCTTTGCTATAGCGCCATGTATCCTTTGGCAATTTGGCGCTCAATGAATCATTATTATCATCAGCATGTTTCCCTTTGTTCCTATAATTGAACACTCTCCCATAAAGCACACAGACCTACGTTTGTGGTCCCTTCTCAACAAAAGATGTATATTTGATGACAACAAAGAACGTGTTGTTCTCTGTTTGTTTTGCAGTCCTTGGGATGTAATACACACACACACCGTCGTGTTCACACCATCCATCATAGACGTCCTATTGTCCCTCTTTTGTTTGCACTCTAACTTTTTAAGAAGACTCCCATATATTTTTGTACACGACCCCAATCAAGGACGTATGCTGGGAATCGTGGACGATATTGTTCTCTTTAGCTTTCTGGTATTTTTCATCAACGGTTTGAATAGATGAACACCCCCACAGATTCTTGTTCCACAATTGTGGGGACCACACACCTGTTGAGCGATAGCTATTATGGGGACCGAAAACACTGGGGACAGCAGCAAGTCCCCATAACTTGGTCCTAAATGTAATGTCCCTAATAAAAAACTTCCCCACAACACCTCGTCAGCTAGGGCACACACAAACACACCCACGTTTGTTTATGGTGTAAATCGAGGATTTTCGTTTGTTCCTCTTCCCTTTTCCTTTGCTTATACTCAAACTTTTTTACAACAGCTCTCCTTGGTTTTGTACACGTTTTCTAATCGAGAACATCCTGGATCTGACTCCTGTCCTCAATTACAAAAGGATGTTTCACCCGTGTGTCCTCGATTCACACCATAAACAAACCCACATACACTCTTTGCACTTTATAGTATAGCGGTGATATGACTTTAATTGAAGTAAGCGATATTATGCTGTATACCCTTATTTTCTTATCTTATTTCTTGTCTCATTGGAGTTGGGTTTTCAATTCCTATCACACCTGATAACAAAGTGGTTGACTTACCTTGAGCAGTTTTCTCTGACTAGCTCTGGCCATAGACTCCTTCAGGTTGAACAAGAGTGCAGTCTCCGCTTCCACATCGTTCAATAAGAAACTGTTCTCATCTGAGCAAACCAAGATAAGCCATTAATCAGAAATGAAATCAAGTCAATGGTAAGTCAGGTCACAAGTCAATCACGAGTAAAATGTCTAGTCAGGTCATAAGTAACAAGGCTGAACAATGACAACAGAATGCTGGTGTGCTGTCTCCGAGTACTTCTATTGAGTATATATATACGACACACCATTGACTCATATACCAGATATTTACAGATATTTCCAAAAGAAATTCTTGTGAACTTTCAGCTCATCTATTTGTCCAAATAGATTTCTACCCACAATTAAAAGCCCACAAATCCGCACTTTTAAGACTACATCACAATACCCATGATCACCTGCTACTAGAGTGCGTTGGAATAATACATGACGTCACTCGTCAGATTTTTAAAAAGCTACCCTTTGCACAGACTAACATCGTTGAAAGCAAGTTCACATTTTTTACCAATTACAAAAATTATGGCACTTCCGGTTTGAACCGGAAAGAAGGGTCACGCAATTGTGCACATTTTATTAAAAATTAAGACCCTGGATTATTCTATCAATTCCCGTAAAAAGCAAAATCAGATCTCTGTTCCTTTATTATGTTCAGGTCTGACAGATGATGTTTCCATTATTTCACAAATCCCCTGTTGTTAAAAAAATGAGAAGAAACAAAGAAAACTAGAGTTTCGCGTTTGTTGAGTTACAAACGCAGAGTGGTCGGGCGGACAGCCTTTTCATTATACACTGCCCAGTTAAGTTAGGAATATATGTTTATGTAGAAAAAAGGATCACGAAATTAAATCCCTTCAAGTACAATCAATGTTTCAAAAAGGTATCTTTAGGCCCCCCCAAAAAAGTCTCCGGTTTCTGGTATGGAGCTTGCCCAAAAAGTGGTGCGGCGACGCGGCTTTTTTTTTTTTTACCTGACTTTTTTGCTTCAAATGTCGGCTGCTGACTGCAAATGGTGCCCGACTAAACTTAGTACAAATATGCCTATATGGGATTGGGAGTCCAGAGAGGCCACATAAAGCTTATTCTCGACCATAACTCCATCTAAAAACACGTTAAAAATGTGCAGCAGCAGGATTCCAGTCAAACCAGTGAGTTTGGCGGTTTTGAGACATCATCTTTCATTGAAAAAAAAACGTTTTCATTTTGCCGACGCGCATGGCTACAGCGACGCGCGCGCATACCAGAAACTGGACTTTTTTTTTTTGGCCTTAACGGTGTGATAAATTTCAGTAAAAATTCTATGTCCACAAAGAAAAGTTATTACTGGTTTGATGACGTCATCAGTCAAAAACGGTTAGTGAATACTGATAAAGTCCGGAGAGGCTAATTTTTCATTGTAAAGTTAAAATAACGTATGAAAATATGTGAAATATAATTGTTTGTATTAATAACACCTAACTTCCGGTTTGATGACGTATTAATAACACCTAACTTCCGGTTTAATGACGTCACAGCATTAGAGATCCAAAGGTGAACACTGTAATAGATATCATTATTTGGACTTCGAAGATATGACAGGGATCAAATGATAGAATTAAATCAAAACTATGATCCTTTTCAAATTCTCCTTAAAGTAACTTCCGGTCTGATGACGTCATGAATTTGAAACCTTGCCAAAGTATCTGTGATTAATCATAGAATATCAAGGGGCCATTTGGTAAAATTTGGACGAATGGTTTTAAAATTAAAGAAGGGAAACTCTATTTTATGTGCCGATAGAGGGCGCCCTTTCGGATAGATCACACTGTTTTTTTTGCGTCTTGCATTCCTCACTAAACACTTTCATAATATATGTCTGTAGTAAAATGCTTCCGCTTTTGAGTTATATTCAGTTTTTATTGCACTTCCGGTAACACCGGAAGTAAAGGTCAAGCGGTTTTGCGTCCGGGAACACGAAATATTTATCACGGCATAGTCTACAACCTCACGAAAAAACGAACACGATACTCTATTTAGTTCGAAAGATAAAACGCAAACTATTTTGTCAAAATTTGCCCTTAAATCGCTTGTAATTTGATACCTGATAACGTCATGATGACGTAAAAAAAATGTATAACATCTTCGTAACCTGGTACAAGTTCACACAAGGTTTTGTGATCATACCGTGAACCGTTCGGAAGAAATGTTGCTTTGTTTTGATGTCAGGCAAACGTCTTCATTTTGAATTCACCTAACTTTGACCTTCCGGTTGACCCGGAAGTAAAGGTCAAGCGAGTTCACGTACACGACAAAATTTTTTTAGCGATTAATGGTCTATCTGATTACAGAATACAAACATCATTGAATGTTTAGTTCAAGAGTTATAGGTGAAAGTAATTGATCACTTTTTCAGATAAAATCACTTGTAATTTGATACCTGATGACGTAATCGTGACGTCAGAGTAATATGCACCACTTCGGATGAGGGTCGATATATATTGAAAGTTACAAGTTCATACCATATACCGTTTAAGAAAAAAACCGCGGAGAAGTATTGTCCGGAAAAAAGAAAGAAGATTTACCAGAACAACTAGAAATGTGTTTGTGGACAAACACTGAGCTGTTTCGACCGTTTTGTTAATGACTGCCGTAAAAGGAGTTTCATCCAGGTCGAATGAACATGTACATGCGTATTCTATACAAAAAGTGTCTATCCTACGTCCCTGACTATGCATGAACATAAAATCTGTCAAAGTTAGCCGGAAATCGGCTAAAACGGTCACTGTGGACAGGATTTGACCTCAGCAACACGTGCGCTGCGCGCAGGCTGACTGACATACGATATGTACAACGTACGTGCATGTACATGTACATTGTGGACTGTGCATGTTTTAAAGCAGAGTTATTGTCAACCTGAAGTTTTAAGCGTGCGCAGGGCATGTCCGAGTTTGCTTATTGCCTCGAAACTTTGAAATATTTTAGACCTACCCTTAAATAGACAATTAAAGTAAAAACTAATATAAAAACTGCCATGGTTGATTTTTCAGGATTTTTTTAAGGAAAAAGGGTCTTTTCATTATAACTTCCGGTCTGATGACGTCATACACCTTAAACTTCACACACGTCTTAAGTGGGTCAAGGTCATCCATATACACCAATATTTAGGCGATTCCAACAAACTTCGCCACAGACATCTATTCAAAATACATTTTTGAAAATTTTCAACCTGTCGCTAGAGGGCGCTCGGAAGATTGCATGACGTCATCGGTAGATGATTTGAAGAATACTATCAGCCAAGAGACTAACACAGTTAAAAGCAAGTTCATATCTATTACCACTTTTAAATAATAATCCACTTCCGGTTTTGGCCTTTTTCGACTGAAAACAAGGGTCACGTGATTTTACGCACACTGAATGAAATAAAGACCTCAACCTACTCTACCACTTGCCGGCAACAGAATGCTGCGGACGCGTACGGTTGATTTCTTATGCATTTTTAAATATTAAAATTGTCACAATTTAATTGCCTATAAATAAACACCGGATGACGTCATCATGACGTCATCATTACACAATGTTGTTTGAATTAGAGTCTTTGCTTGGACAAAGATTGGTGTAAATGAATTAATGGCAAAGTGTCGAAAATGCCCTCTGAAAATTGACATTTTTTAAAAAAATTTCTGTGTACAAAGTCTATGGGAAAAATTTAATATTCAAAATTCTATAATAAATCACGTGATGACGTCAGCACGACGAAAAATTTCGGCACACATCTTCAGATGGTGGTCTAAGTGTGTGCCAGGTTTGAAGTCGATCGGATTTGAAAAAAAGCCAAAAGTGACTTGTAGAACGAAAACACGTGTTATCCTATGAGAAAAAAGTCTGAAAAATAAAAGAGAAAAAAAAAAATAACAGAAACAAGAGCTGTTTCGGTGTGTACACCGAAACAGCTAATAACAGAGAGTGGTCGGGTTGTGCACGACCACTCAACTACGGATTTCTGACCGAAATCAAGCAGCAGTCTTCACCACAAAGATCGACATGGAATGGTTACGAATATGGACTTTGTTTTTAATTTAAATCTTATATAAAATTACATTGATGGTGTTTATCATGCCTCTCGGTAAATTTGCCTATATGACACATGTAGACTATGTTCCTATACTGAATATTGACCCAATGGGACCGACAGTTTTCTCAATACGAGACTTAAATAATGTACTTTTGTAATGACGTCACATGCCCCCTGATGAAGTCATCTTAACAACACTTGTCAATGCACACTTTTCATTGTAGTCTTGGTTCGCACCAAGTTTGAAGTCAAATGGATGAATGGAAGTGTAAATTTTTGAAATCAAAATAAACATTTACTTTTTAAAAAATCATAAAAAATCTACCGATGACGTCATTGTGACATCACTGTGGGATTTGCATATTAGTAACAGTACCTACCTACCCACCAAGTTTCAAGACAATCGGACTTACCCTCATATGTGTTTTGAAAAATCGCGTTTTTGATGACGTCATCCTGCTTCACAAATTTTTACAAATTGTGTGCATATACCTATTGCCTAACAAACCTAATGCAAAAAGAATTTTGAATTTAGCATGTTGGGTTCGAGAGATATGGTGATAATCTTCAAAACTTCAAAATCTATATAAAATCACACGATGACGTCATGATGACGTCAACATCCCGGCCTACCTGCATACCGAGTTTCAACCAAATTGGACCTACGGTTTTGTAGATATAGGACTTTAAAATATGAACATTTGTGATGACGTCACGTGACCCATTGTGAAGTCATGATGACGTCACTCTTCGGGACACAACTTTGCTATAGGGACTGACTTTGAGTGATGTATGACAAAGACTATTGCCAAAAGTGGATGTCACAAAAATCATGTACAAAGTCTACGGGATTTGGGATAGAACAAAAAGAAGAGGGAAAAGTAGAAGAAGTAGAAGGAAGAAAAAAATCAGAACAAAAAGAAAGGCTTTTCCGCAACTATGCAGAAAACCAAAAATCAGAACAAAAAGAAAGGCTTTTCCGCAACTTTGCTCAAAAGCCAATAATAATAATATAATGTGCTTAAAAAGCGCTTTATATCAATGGTCTCAAAGCGCTTTAAAATTATTACTTCTATTTATCAGGTCATTAGACCATTTTTTGCAGTTGCTCAAGATCAGCTCATTCTAGTCTCTGCCTTAACAGGTACCCATTTATACACCTGGGTGGAGAGGCAATCGCCTTGTGTCTTGCCCAAGAACACAAGCACCATGTTCCCCGTCAGGGTTCGAACCCACGTACCATGACACGTGAGTCGAACACCGTAACCATTGGACAACAGCGCTCAAATACAATACATCTGCCATTCGTGGTGACCACCATAGTTGTACAGAGAGTCTGTGCCTAGACTAGTCCATAGCTTCACCACACATTCCTGGTCTGGTATGAAGACATCTACAGTACCAAAAATACAAATTACCTAGAAACCATCTGCTCTTGTAACTCTCCTCAATCCACATTGGAGTAACTATGAACCGACACACAGACACTCCAGACAGGAACTTGACAGTGCGAGTCACTTTATTAGTAATGAGATGAGTGCAAGATGCCATGGTGTCTGCCGTACGACCTCCTAACTTTTCCAATTTCTGTAACAAACAAAAATAAAGTATGCATGGATCACATTTATTATTACAACAGCATATTTGTTCTTACTTCAGAGAGAAGTACTCATCCTTCAAAATAAAAAGTGGATTTGAAATATAATCATATTTAGTATTCAAACTCTAAATGTGAAGTTAACTTCACGTGTGAAGCCTACATGGACCTATGTAGATACTGCGAATGTTGCGTTTATCCCAACATGAACAAGTTTAAACTTGATGCTCAATGGCACAATTTGAAGACTGAACTGGCTTAATAAGGGAATAAATAAATGTGTGTTTCGGAGGTATTATAACACTCTGTTTAAAACCGGTGTGAGTCTGGATGGGTAATTATCACCCATCCAGACTCACACCGGTTTTAAACAGAGTGTTTAATACTGACACAACACAAATTTATTCCCATTCATAAATACCTTTTTGGTAAAAAAAACCCCAAATCTTTTCGGTCCAAAAATCAAAACAAGTTAAAAACTAGACGTTGTTAACCATTTTGTTCAACAATTTTACCCCTCTGACTATAATATGGAATGCCCCTCCACAATTGCGTGCGCGTCGCTCATTCCACCTCCATGGTCGTGCGTACTGCGCGATGTCGCGCAAAACGCAGCTGGGCTGGTGTACTGTGAATATCGGACTATGAAATAATGATTCACTGGTAGTATTGCGCAGTGCATACTTGGGGAATTTGAACGTTCAACCAATGAAACGTAAAAGGCACCGGATTTCATGGGAGTCCAAATTTCATGTGACACTGGAAAAGTGTTTAAGACCAGCTAGCCATGTCTTTATCATCTGTTTAAGACCGGCCACGTGACGGGCTCTCGACCAATAGGAATGCGTAAATGGTCTTAGGTATTTATGAATAAGAAATAAAGAAAGTTTATTTTGAGGTTTTTATTACTCTCACAATAGACACTGATTAACCAGTTCGCACCAGGATTATTTAGACAAGAATGGAACGAGGCGCGGGATTACTGTTCACTCAACCTCATGCCAGGCAGGTTGATGAAGCCATCACCCTCGGGCAGCACACTCATATTTCCAGCCTCACTCAATGCAAGCGGGTCGCTGACAGATATTTCCGGCCTCGCTCCCTGTAAGTTATCTGTTCCGATAAATCCAGGGCGAACTGGTTAAGTGTAATTTTCATGGGGTTGGGTCAATTCCAAAGTTATGGATGTTATATTCAGAGGCGACTGACCAATTTGAACATCCTGAAGTAAAAAAAATCCTTGGAGTGAAAGCAAATCACCACTTTACTATAAAGAAGAAAGGGTGTATGTGTACATGTATGTGTTTGTGGTGCGTTCACGAGTTGTTCATACACCGGACCAACCGGGCAATCGAACAAATTCATATGCGGGTCAATCGGGACCAATACGCTGCCAATCGTACCGACATCTAAACTGCCCATACAATACACTGGCAGTAGGTTGATCAGAGCACTAGCTTTTGGTACGCGGTGCAGCATGCATTTATTTTTCCATTCATGAACCTCACTCGGTCCACTTCCACAACAGTCTTGGACATTTCTGATTGCAATGAGGTGTGACTTCATATGCCAAATATGGCGCATCGATGCAAACAAAATAGCTGTGCCGAATTTACCATTAGTCAGGCGACGTGTACATGCAATCGATGAACACAGTATGGCACCGTTCGATCCTGGGTTGACAGGAGCCCCTTAAAAATTGAATTTTGATTTTGGCTATGAAATGATTCCTATTTGAGGGACTAGTAACTCTGAAATGAGAAAAGAGAGGCCAATTCTGACGGCAGATTCTGAAAGCCTGGTGCCAGATCACCCTGGAGTTTGATTCATTTGCAAGATATTAGCCTCCAAAACCCTATAAATCAACGTTCACGACTAGCAAAATCAAAAAGGGGGTGTGGCACCCTATCATTTGAGGGCCGCATCTCAGAAAACCCTAAGAAGTTGATGCCTAAAGTTTTGCATGTGTTTTTAATACATAGGTTTTGAGCCAAATCTGAGTTGGTGGCCGTGGAAGATTTCTATACTTTGGAATGACCCACAATCGATGCAAAAGAAAATATGAACTGTGGAAAGTTTATAAGCATGTCATGTCACACGGTTGTTGAGAAGTGCTAAACTAAAACAAATAGCAATAGTCTGCCAAATAACATGACTTTATTTTTCAGTGGCTGTAAGCAATTACATTCTTGCCCCATTTATATTGTACTTCTCCCATACAACCAAACCCACATGCTGTCCAGGCCTGTCAGGCCCTGGCAGACCACTACTCAGGCAGATATAGTTTTCTTTAGTTGTGCATACTGCAGACTTTTCATTCTTTCAGGTGAGGTAGAGACCAAGTGTAAGATTGTGCTGTTTGGTGTTGAGGTGTTGTACTTTTAGCTGTCCAGCTGGACGCAGGCACATTAGAGGGGACTTTTTTGTGTGTGTTTGCAGGTGAGTCTCTGTAGTTTTGTTTTTTGAAATTGATTTTCCCCTCGTTATTCTTGGCTTCAAGTTGTATTACTGTGTTCACACATGTGCCTTGTATTCCAGCCCAGTATCTATCTCCTATACTGGTCTTTTTCCACATTGATTCATCAAGCATTTAATATTCTTCATTCATAAATATCCGAGGCAGTTTTACCTATTATCCTATCAGTTAACAAACCGTCACAAGGGTGGTTTTAAAGTGCTGTTTAAACACTTCTCGGTATTTAAACAGTGATGTTTAAAACTGGCACCTGTGCTGCGTGCCATATCAGTGCAGTATGCGCCGCGTGCCCCGCTGTGCCCAGCCGGCTTTTCCGTTTGTAAGTGACTGCATTAAACACGTGCACACACAACTGATTGCTAGCGCCTAAGTGACTAAACACGCCAATTTGTACTACTTTTGGTTCCAATTATTCAAATGCAACTCCGTGTGCAGTGGGCATGATTTAGTTGTAATGACATCAGACTTACGAACCAGTTAGAGTCACTGATATGATCTCTATACATGTATAAGAAGGGGAGAGGTTGAGCATACCGCACGTGCCGTGCACATCATAGAAAAAGTCTCGCACATGGAGTAAAATGGTAGAACAAAAATCACCGGTAGTTTGTCAATTTTTCGACTCTGAACCAAAAAAGTATTTATGAATGGGTTAATAGTGTGTTGGAGCAGTTATAAAGATAAGCCTTTGGCTCGGGCCATTATCGGCGGCCATGCCCCAATAGGCTGTAGCACACTCCCGGTTTTTGTGTCAACTTGTGGTACCTGACTGGGAATTGAATATAAGTTTCATTTACCGATAGTTTAAATCACCGAAAATCTAATGATCGCGTTGTCAATACAATCGAATGGAACATGGGGGTGAAATCAGGCTTTGAAATTCCCCTGCGTCATTTAATTGCTTACATCATTACTAACTGTTTCTACTTCCGTGGTTGGCCAGTATGGACAGCTGTCAGAACAATTAAACACCAATCAATTATGACAAGTCTTTTACTCCCCTGTTCTTTACATGTCTGAATGGAATGGGCCCTAAAAGTAAGTCATGTTCCGTTGTGTTCCACTAACATTAATTTTGGATTCAGGCATCAAAATAAGTAGGAACACACGAAGTTCACCTAATTCTCCAACCGGTACTAACGGAACACCTTTTTAGAAGTTTTTTACACTGCCCATTCGAGCAACTTCCACCTTTACTAGTGTCTCGTCTGTTAAAATATGAATGCATTTTCCACATCCCAACTCAACAATTGTTTTGTATTTTGTATATGGTAGTCATGCTAGAAAGCAGTAGCAGTGTGGCATGGCTAGGTTTATACTGACACATGACTGGGTCCAGCAAAGGGTCCTTAGGTTTAGAATGCTTACAAAGGATTAACAGGTGTACGTCCATGGCAACTCACTTTGATGTTGCAATGTGATGCCAACTCAACCTTGCCAAACCTGAACCTAAACCAAACCTTGAGATTTGACTTGCAGCACTCAACATATAAAGTCGACTCCCGTTACTACGAAATCAGGTAAGACAAAATTCCAGTTATAACAAACACATATCTTTGGTCCCGGCAAAATTGTACACGTTTCTTTTGGGAGAAATCTGCTTAAGACAAAATCGGGTAGTACACATTTTCTACAAACAGTGTTGGCGACCCCCTGGCATGTAAAACCATTGTTAGTGACTCATTTATTACGAAAGTTTTTGAAAACCACAAAAGCTTACTAACTTCACAGCTTTTTTTACCTTTCAGACCTTATCTGAAAGTAGCATAATAACGATCAGCAATAAGTTTTATCTATGGATGACGTTTAATCTTGCCGACACTGTGGTACCGGTATGTTCACTAATCGCGCGCTGTGGTGACCAACCAAGCCCTGTTATCAAAGCCTGCTGATGATACCATGATACAATGACAACCAGCAACAACAGAAGAAACCTCCCACTGGGAACAATAACCAAGTAATAATAATAACCAAGTAAGTGACATCATCTGCACCCAAGCTAACGTGGACGGTGTAATCTACGTGGACACGCTGCTAAGACAACTTGTCTGATGCAGCGTATAATCAAGGACTTCTTGATTGAAGCAGTGTTGTAGTCGAGACCTCCATGTCCGAGACCAAGTCCAAGACCAGCTCTTTCGAGACCGAGACCGAGACCGAGACTTTTGAAGGCCGAGACCGAGACAAAGACCGAGACCAAGACTTCTGAGACCGCGACAGAGACTAAACATAAAGGGAAAAAAAAAAGAAATTTTACATTTCTAAATAGAGTATTGGAAGGTTGAAAAAATTAAAAAATATTTTGGATGAGTTTCCTACCGGTACCCTGTTGATTGATTGTTAATGTAAAGGTAACTAACAAAATACCTTGCCCCGAAAAGCAGTGTCTAAAATGTTGTCAGCCAGGCGAATGCATTCCGATTTCAAAATTATAGGCCCTTTAAATTACTGTTCAAATTGCAGCCAACAAGTTCGGTGAAGTCGGTGTACAACTTGCTGCAAACCGTACGATGTGTACCAGGACCGTACGATGTGTACCAGTGAAATACCTGGGCAACATAACTGTACACGGGTACCAAATCAACAAGATGCACTGACTGGTCTTTATTCCAGCTTCATCTCATTCTTCAGCATGAAAACTTACACTTAACAAATTCTTTTATGTTTGGAATAAAGACTAGACTCACATGTAATTCAGCTGCAAATGAATAAAGCCATACATAAATGGTGCATTTTGTTGTGGTCTCAACAGGTCTCGGGGGTAAAACCCGAGACCTTGTCGTCCGAGACCGACACCAGAGCTTTCGAGACCGAGACCAGCCCTCCCGAGACCGAGACTGCAAAAAAGGTCTCGAGACGGTCTCGAGACCAAGACCAGGTTTCTAGACCTACAACACTGGTTTGAAGCTAACCTAATAAATCCAAATGGCTTTTTTTTTCAGTTAAAAAGAGATTGGCGCATTGGCAAATAAAGATAAAGAATGAAACAAAAACCCAACTTTACGGTGCACACCAGATCAACAATTTTCTAGCCACACCACAGAAATACTTCTTGAAATCATAATCTAAACATGACCTTCGCAATATGCACCGATATCGGCCCTTCCCATTCTGTAAATGGCAGTCGCTGGGAAGAAACTGATCGCCTCATCACTGCATTATGCAGACCGTACGCACAGGATTGTGGGTAAAATATGTTGCAAGCCAATAAGATCACGTATCAGGATGTACGATTGTGACATCATTGCTTAGGAAACTGTCTCACAGGGGCGCTTTCTCATCAGCTGGTATTAAGCAAGCAAACAAGTTTGGATTTTGGATCAGCACGTGCAAATTACATGTAGAAACAAACCCAAGTCTGAAGGTCTCTCACACATATTTTTTGCTGGAAAGACTACTCAAATTGAACACTGAAACACAAAAGGTACATGTATAAAAATAAATTAGGAATGTCTCTCCACGACACAATTGGTACGTTGAACAACATGGTTCTTGTTGATTCAGTCGTCACATTGCCGCTGGTCATTTATATGTTCACTTCGTCTTCAAGTCTCAAGGTGTTTTTTTTTTTTTTTTACATATCATAACACGAAATATATGTACAATGTACATGTACATGTACAATGTACCATACCGTATTTTCCAAGTTTTTTAGAATTCGTTTTGTTTGATAGTACAACACAACCAAGATGTTCTTTTTTGTTTTGATTACACAAGTGAACATCATGCACATTCATAGGCCTTACACAATAGTAAACAATGGGTTGGAAACTTTTGCATCGGATAATACGAAATTCGGACTCAACTATTTTGACCAGGTCCCATGGATTTCGTACTAACGGGAGTCAACTGAACAACTTGTAACTAAGGGACTTTGTCTTCGGAATAAGCACAGAATAGAGTGACTTGCATGGTTAGCAGAGCCATAAACTGGGCTCCATCAGTCTAGCATACATACCTTGATAAGGTCAGGAATGGCTCGGCTATCGATGCCTGTCAACATGACATGTGGGATCTTGTCAGGATCCAGCATGAGAGGCGACCCTTCCCATTCATCCTCACCACTCACACTACTCTTCCTGAAAAACCAAAAAACATTCTTCATTTATGTCAAATCTAATGCACCTATCATCTACAGTCAGGTTCCACGAAGGAACTTTAGCTGATCAACAATTTTCCATGACATAACATTTCCTAACCTAGTGCTGAATGTTTTGGCTATGCTTACTCCATAGCATTTGATTAATGGCATCATGAAGAAATCCATTTTCCCTCCATATCAGATTATAAATTATTTCTAACCATAAAACTGTTTAAGAAATCTGTTTCCAACTTCATCATGTAGAGTGTTGCAACGGATGTCAACCGAACTGAACCCTGGACTTTAATACTGGAAATGACTGGAATATGTTTTTGATGGGAATGTTCAATCAAAAGTCATTTCTCAAAAATCTGCAATTACCTTTGTCTCTTGGCAACTGGAAAGCCTTGTTCACATTTCCTCTTCATCAGTTGACCCGCTTTCTGTCCTAGGTTGGACAAGAACTTCTGTAAAGAGTCAGGAAAGCCCACTGTAACCTTCACCTCAGCTTGCATTAAAAAATGTGACTTTCAGCTGATTTCACAAAGAAGTGTGTAATGAACGATATGCATCAATGCAACACAGTTGAAATGCAGCTGCACAATATATTAACAATCAGTTTCATGTAAGTTGGCATAATTGCACAATGATTTAAATAGTTCAAACATCTTGGGTTGCAGATTACAACAGCTGTTTGTGTACATTTTCACATCAGTCACAAAAAAATAACTTAATCTGCAATTTTGAACAATTACGTCTTACTTTCTTTTTTATAATCCGGTTGCCACTCTCAACATTCTGTCCTGGGTAAAACATTGTTTCAGTACTCTTTAAAAAGAGGTATGAAGTTCTTATATCAATCTCAGTGCATTATGCCATGACTGGCCTTACAATAACAATGATTAGTTAGTAAATTCATCTATTGTTTTATTCGTATGTTGTAATTGTAAAGCCACTTGAAATCACTAAGATTCACTGTTGAACATTTCGGAAACAAGTTATCACTTGTTAAGGAACTAATACAATAAAATGTGGTATTAGTAGAATTATGCTATTATAGCTGATTCTCCATCATATGAGGCATATGGAAGGAAGACCAATTAGTATTAGTGGATACACGTGGACAATGAGTGTGATATGAATGTGAGAATCATTGTTAAATAACTGCATTAGTTCTCCAGCACCTTGCAACTTTATGACAGATGACATGTTGTATAGTAAACGGCCTCTTTTCTAAACACTCTGTATCCAATGTTGCCATTTAAAATGTAAATGTACATGTAGGTCTTTGCTCACCAAACAAATAACCACTATGGAGTGTGCACTAGAACCCCTTTGGGAGACAGATATGAAAGACACTTGAATGATGTTGCTGCTGTGTGCCAGGCACCCAGGCAGAGATGCTGGGTTGTTGCACATTCAGATGAATATTAGTTGTGTGTACACCATACCATAAGGCCAAAAAAATATAATAGTTCTGCTTCCGGTTTCCCTACATGTACCTACCCTATTCTGACAGCCCCTACCCTAATTTTTTTTATGAGAAAAAATGAGGGAAAAAACACCCAAAACCATCAATTACTACCTTTTACCCTTCACTTCATGCAGACGCCTCCATATGATCGTACACAAAAAAACTATTTTCAAATGCCATGTAATCAGAAGCAGAACCATTTTTTTTGGGCCTATCTTCAAGAAAACTTAAGTCCTTAATACTGATTGGTCGATCCATGGCAACAACAGTGTGATATTATACCTAATACCATGGTCCGTATCGCGCTATTCCAAGATGTGCACGACATTCCTGCTGCACACTTGTGTGATAGGATACCCGCTAGAAAAGGTTGTGTACAGTGTGCGTGTTCCATCCTTACTGTGCGTCAAGTTTGCTTGAAGATAAATTTGTTATCACACTTGTGCTTGTGGAATGCAGAAAATGAGGCGCGTCTGTGTCTCACATGGTACATGTAGGTGAGTCAATGTCTATGGTCTACAAATGCAATGTCTCACATGGTATGAGACACAGACACATTACATTATTCCGTTTTCCCCTTTGCTCGTGGGACAACTAACATAATACATGTACATGTACACAGTGCATTGCCAGCATGTTGTACGTCCCACACAATGGAGATGGAGGTGGCGCCAGTAGGGCACAATGTGCTGTTTATCGTTTGTGCACAGAACACATACATAGTTTACTAAACACTTGCTACAATGTTTGATATAATGGCGATCTACTAAAATAAAAAAGAAACACCCCTTTATGAAACTGAAAGCATAAAGATTCAGCAGAGAAAGTAATACCTTCTATGTTTAATCTCAGATTGGCTTGCAGTACACCATGTGAACTAATATAATTGAGTTGTCACTGAGTCAATCACAAGTCAAATTACAATTGGACTTCAAATAAAACTGCTGAATAATGATGAACCCTAACCCCTTTGAGTCATGTACTAGGAACCTTCCTCACTATTGCAAAATCAAACTGTGGACTCTGACTATGGAAGTATGCCTTATCCCATGTAAAGCATCAGTTTACTAATGCAGTACTTACTCCAACTGAATCACACTAACATGCAGTTGCATTTTGAAGGGTTGGGGTGGTTATGTGATCTGCCTGGTATGCCGTCTAACATTCATGAAAGGGTTAAAGGTACTTAGGATCATTTGCTCTTTGAGCAGTTTTTTTTTCATGAAAAGAAAACACATAATAGTCTGCAAAAATGAACAAACATGAAGCATACACTCTATGTATATACTTAGTGTACGCCTAGTAAGAACGAGACTTCACCTCACCCGTATGCAGGGGGAGGCAGCTTTGGACAAGTTTGCGCAAGAACTATTGTTATAACCATAGTTCTACTAAGTTAGCCCGAACTCTGTCTAGTCGACAATGGTTGACTACGCTAGTCGACTATTTGGAACCAGCCTACCGCGGCTGGTTGCGCAACGATTTATAGCTGGTTACCAATAGCAATTTCCATAGCATACATGTAGTGCAGAGGGGACCACCAACTATCAACAAAAATGGCGGAAAACAAAACTGTGAGCGCTAAATTTCATTTTCATTGCAGAGTTTTTCCATGTTAGTTTGCGATTATGTCACTTTTGACACCATTGTACAATAATATTGGCGATTATGTAAGATTGTTGTAAACTATACACAATCACTTTTGTGTAAAAAAAGAGAAACAACAAGTGTTGAATAATTGTGCGACCGCCAGTTTTTGACGGTTGTTGACATGACAATAGTTTGACTAGAGTCATTCGCACTTCAACCTCAGTGCGCATGCGCCAGGTACGTCACGAACCAACCACTAGTTAACCACTGGTCTTTGCTCCAACTTGCCCTTTGCCGCCTGTCGCTCATGAACACACACATACACACACAGGTTTGTTTATGGTGTAAATCAAGGATTTTCTATTGTTCCTCATCATCGATCCCTTGTTTATACACTAACTTTTTTTGCAACAGCTCCAATTGGTTTTGTACACGTTTTCTAATTCGAGGTCGTCCTCGATTTGACTCCTGTGCTCAATTACTTGATGATGCTTCACACGTGTGTCCTCGATTTACACCATAAACACATACACACAAACACACATCCTTTCTTGTTTATTAGCATAGCGGTGATGGAACTACAACAACTTTAACAGTACCATATATATCACAATATTAAGGTTACACTAGACATCACGATACATATTAAGAACTAATGACTCATGGCAGTGTATGCATTGACTGTATTCATTCATAGTAATTGTCCAATGCTGTGCAAATGCATTGCGTTTCTCTCTCTTTTTTTTTTTTAATGTTTGTAAACACTGCTACAGCTGCTTTGTACTTAACTTTTAGGTAGGAGGTAATTAATAAAAAAGGTTGATACAGTGTCCACAATAAGATTATTCTGTTAAAAATCCAGACTCCACGTGACTAGAATAGCCTTCTGTCTACATTTATTCTCAATAAAGTATCATATTATTATTGTTTATTGTATTGTGAGCTGTATTGTGGCATTCTCTTATCACGATACATTACTGAATGGTTATACATGTATCCTGCGTTGATAAACACATGCAAATATAAAAAACATAAATAGCAAACAGTGCAGTGCTGCAAATCAAATGCCATCAAGGGTCCGCTCATAAGTCCAACGCCTCATAGGTCCGACGCCACACAGGTCCCACAAAATATCATCCCCAACCAAATAAAGGCCCTTAAGTCCGACGCCTCATAGATTGGACGCCTCATAGATTGATAAATGATTTCTTTGCCCGGGCCTATCCTGTACTTACTTGCAACTAAAGTTCATGGCCACCCTACGAACAACAATGCATTCTGGGAATCCAGTATGGCTCTATTCCATCCAAAGACGCTTCTCTCATAGATTGACATTTTGTGAAATATCTCTTCAAATAATGGGTCATATACAGTTTAGTTTCCGAAGAGCACTTCTCAAACATTGAAATCTTATTTTAAACAACCCAACCTTGCGGGACATTTTCCCCCAAACCCCTCAAATTGCTTAAATGTATATGAAAGCCAACATCAAGAAGAAATTAGTCAGCGCCAAACTCAACACAATGATGGATAAACAATCCCGCACTGATGAGAACTCGTACAACACGCTCGATATACTTGTTTCACTCGTGGTGAACAACTCCCATCCAATCAAGGCTGTACTTGCCAAAATGTTATCAGGTTGATTAAGAGAAAATGTTTTTTTTTTTTAGAGACAACGTATTTTCCCACTGTGAGTTCCAATTAACTCCCAACCCAATACAAATGCAGCGGCTGATGAGTCCACGAATGGACACTATATTTTAAGGTATAACCCCGCCCAACCCACAAGCTCTGGCAAATTGGCACTGGTTACATACATTGATTACAAACCCCATTTCCACCATTTAGCGAGGCCCATTCTGCCTTGACTACTGGAAATTAAACTGTATATGACCCATTATTTGAATAGGATATTTTCACATATTGCATTCAAGTCAATCTATAAGAGAAGTGTCTCTGGATGGGATAGCTGGAGCCACCATTCCTCTCACTCGGCCAGACATTGATTTCCCAGCTTGCATTGTGGTTAGTCGGGTTGCCATGAATTGTAGTCTCAAGTAAGTACATCATGATGGACCTTGGCAAAAAACATTGGATTCTATCCAAAAATGCACATATTCATGGTTGAACACACACAAATGATGAAAAAGTTTTATTATAACTGATAACAAGATATTGACCTCTTTTACCGATCAGCCGAAGTGTTCAGGTGCAATTATAAAAAATTTCATTTTTTTTTTTTTGGGGGGGGAGTTGTAGCCCCGCCCTGAGTACCTGCATCAAAAAGATATTTCACATGAAAGCTACTCATTACAAAAAGCTATGATGTATTTTTTCACTTATAGCGATGTCACAAAGAAATTGACTCCATGAAAGTTTTGCAACGTCTGGTCTGGCCCATGGACTATGAGGACCCCTTACTGTCCACTTCTTTTGTTCCTACTGTTGGTACTTAACTTTTTCTTGACATATCCCATAAGGTTGACTTGGCACGGTCCTCAGTGGTATTGTTATCACAGGAAACCCACTGTCCCACATCCTCAGATGTAAAGGATAACAAGATCTATACTACATGTATAAAGCAGTCCGCAACTATATGTATGTGTGATGTAAACACCGGCAATCGTGGACCTAGGACAAAAGGGTTAGGGCATAAACAATAGGTCCACGATTGACCGATAGTCCACAATTGAAATTCGTGTACAAAACCATGAGAGCTGTTGCTAAAAAATTAGAGTACAAACAAAGGAATGAGGATTAGGGACAATAGGGAGTTCACGATTGCCGGTGTTTACAAAGATGGGTGTGTGTGTGGAAGTAAAAAGAAGGAAAAAGAGAAACTTAGGGAGATTAAGGTGGGTTTAGCAGATCTACATGTAGTTGATCTATTTTGGGTCTGTGAAATGATTAACAGTGATGTAGTAAATCATTTGAATGATTTAGTAAAGAACGTGGAATGATTCATTTGTAGTAAAGCATGATTTGTGTTTGTGTTTTTCAGTTCAGTCTATCATAGACTGCAAACCACACACGTACATGTACATTCAGCAAATGTTATTATTAAAGTCATCTTGAATGTCACCTGCTAAAGATGTACTGTCTGTGCCCGTCAATATATTCCATTTTTTGGTAAATTTTATGTTTCATTCTTAACCAACAAACCCTACATATTTTTCTATTTGGGTGTCTGCAACCTTGCGAAAACAAGGCTTGGGGTTACTTTTGTCCACAAACAGATGTGCTTTGAGAGTAGACTGGTTCCTGCTATTGATTCAGATCTAGGGGAACCAGCCCTGAGAGAACTGAACTATTTCTGGCCAAAAATATTTTGAAATTTTGAAATAATCATTTTATAACTACACATGCGTCAATTGTTTTTTGTCCTCACCGTCTCATTGAAACATGAATAACTTTTGTAAAACTAGAAAAATAGCAATTAAAAAATATATTTAAACTTCAAATGGATTTCAACTTGAAAAGAGCACAGACAATACATCTTTCATTGCTATCATTACATTTAGTCATGCCCTTTTTCCTGTCTGCTTTAAGTGTGATTGTATATAATGCATATAGACTACATTCTTACGAACGACAAATACAATTGATTTAATACTAAATCAGTGAAACATACAAAAATTCACTATACCTTGCCAAGCATTGCCTTGCATAACTGAGAACAAAAATAAAAACAGAGTTAAAAAGAAAACGGCTTCAACCACAATGAAGTTTTTATGCAAATTAAACAAATTATCATTTACAACAATGTAAAATGACCACTTAAACACAAAGCCCTGGGTTGGTTTACACACAAATTCATGACAAAATACCAAACCTCAATTTTGGCTTTATATCATAAATTGTACACTGTACACATGTACGTACATGTAATTCCACATAAAATACACAGCAAAGCATATTCTACATACAGGTACGAAGTATGAGGTACGAAGTGTGAGGTACAAGTATGAACAGTATTTACCCTCCCCACTCACTGGGCATTTTTGTAAATACCCTTCCGCAATTTTCCCCAGAATCAACACAAGCTCCATTGTGTAGAAACCTCTTTGTGTAACTTTCAAGAGCAATTGATTTACATGTACTCTGATTTGTGGACAATCCTATCGCCATGTGGGCAATATCAACCAAAACATCTTGCTTGCCCAAAAAAAACAAGCTTGAAATGATCTCATGTGTCACGTGATTGTGCCATGTAATTTCTGCAAGGAGTAGTGTGTTCAGTACAAACATCAGATTTTTTACCCTAGTTACCCAATTTTCAAGGACTGCAGAAAATTGGTAGGCGATCAGTGGAGATCCATTAAAGTGAACAACAGAGGGCCCAGGCCTGAGGGAGGAGTTACCCGGGCCCAAGGTATGAGGTGATTTATAGCCATGCAAGGCTGTTGCTGACGCTTGTTACTAACTAACCAATGGACCAACTAACGGAGAGACACGACCATTTGTTGAGCTGCTGTCCGCAGCTAAAAATCAGTATTGTCAGTGCTACCCTTAATTATTAAGATGTTTCTCATAACATGCATGGTGCTCATCAGCCCAAAGATGGACAACATAAAATGTAAAACGTCTGCAGGGTCTCCATCGGAACTTGCTGCCAATTGCAATCATATCTACATGTAATTTAAGTATTCCTTGGACTTTAAAGCATTTTGTTTATTTTGCAGCAAGTCATCAATGAAAAGTTGCGTCTCCCTATCAAAAAGGTTGTGTTTGCATCTACAAAGGTTTGGGTAAAAGAAATTAAAAGTAAGTTACCCTAATGGCCACGACACCACATGAGTTATGCAAGTCTTTTCATCTCCACTCACTGGTCTGTTAATGACAATACTTTTTTTAACGCAATGGTTTAAGTCGAAGAATACACTCGCAAGTGTGGATTCTTAATTTACGAATTCACTCGGCGCTTCACGCCTCGCGAATTCTTAAATTACGAATCCACACTTTTTCGTGTATTCTCAAATTAGGTTTTGCCCTTCACCGACGTATAAACACTTTATACTCAGTGTGTTACCTCCCGAGTGAAAGTTGGAAAAATCACTCGGGTGGGACTCGAACCCACGACCTCCTGCTTTCTAGTGCAGATGTCTTACCACTTGACCACCGAGCTAACGGGATCGGTTGGCTGGTTCAAATCTGATGTACATAGCAGCGGGTACCGCATTTACTATTCATAAGATGGAATTTTTTTTCGTGTATTCTCCTCAACATAAAACACCATGTGATGGGGTCGTGGAAGAGAAAATGTGACCAACTTGCCAATCAATTGACAGTACGGTCCTTCAGTCAGCACGTGCTGAGATATAGCTTGCTTGTTAAACCATGTGATGGCTCCACAGTACCGGTACATGTGCGCGCAAGATTTTCCCCTCACTTACGCTTATCTGGGGTTTTGTTCACAACTACATGTCTTTTTAGATATGAAATTCTTTTAAAGCAATGATTTTTCACCTTCTCACATGCATGTGGAGCTTTGCAGTTAATAGTTCCAATATTTAATTCTGGGACTTGTTTTTCGAAAATAGCTGACGATTCATTTCATCGTCACTTGCGGGTTGTTTTTGAACAACGTAAGTGCAGGACTGCCTAGATGCCTAGGACAAAATAAACTGAGACAAATGTTTTAAAAGATGGTTCTGGAAGTTTTGTCAATTCTTTTTAAATGGATTTTCTGAAAACCTTTTCAAATTTTGGGATCTGCATACCATTTCCAATTGCTGTGAACATTTCTACGATGATAGGAAATCTGATTCGCATCAAATGTTACGTCAAAGAAAAAATACCATTTTTGTGAGAGAATTGCATGGCGACAGGCAGGCCATGTGGTAAGAATGCCAGCGCGGTGCTGGTTGCCTTTTTCTTTGTGATATTTAATATGCCGTGGAGCTTTTAAAGGTTTTCATTAGAAAGCTATCAGTTTGTCTTTGACGCACTGCATACTTTGACGCACTGCATACTTTTAAAGGTTCGTTTTGTTAATGAATCGGATGTTCTTTGAAGATGTGTTGGAGTTGGCCGGTCTTCAAAATCGCCACGCGAAGACTGGAATCGACATTCAGGGAACTGGAATTGGCTACATCGGAGAATCTACTCCTCCAAAGAGCGGAATTGCAATTCCGATTCCAAATTATGAAATGATTCTATTGGATTCCGGGTTGGATTAACCCAAGCCTACATGTACACGTATGTGACATTCTCCTAAAGCATTTCAAGCAAAATATCATGCATGTCATGCAGCGAATGTCTCATATCAAATATGACCCATGCATCAAGGACATATCACACTCATTCAACCCAAGTATTGACACCACATTCTGTGCAATTATCATGCTATGATTCTCATCATGTTGCTCTGAAATATTTGATTCTGAATTTTTGTGTTTAAATCTCAGCATTTAATGGATTTGTGGAAAAATCACTTGTTCTTACTACATAGTTGCTTGTTTTTTTGTGTTTGTTTTTTTTCTCCATGAAATTAAAATATTCAATATTCAAATACATTTTTTATCTAGTTTCTGATAATCCAAAACAAGACAGAAAGCATGTCTACACAGCATACATTATGGCATTTGCACATCATATCTGTGGTAAAAGGTCTATTTTGTTATAGGATTTCCTCTATTTAAAGGTAATTAATACTTTTAGTAAACACAAATCTGTTAAATGTTTAGGCAAACAAACACAGGTATCACATACAATCTTTATTTTCTGCCCAGCCTAATCAGTGATCACTGGTTTTATTGCTACATAGCATAATGAGGAATACAACCCACATTTAACTTTTTGAAATTCATCTTTATGCACTATTCACAGATGGCCCTGGGGCGATGCTGGGGTAAAAACACATGATGTTTCACACGTGAGATTACTCTAGCCCTGGGGCAAGCTAAACCCTTCTTGGGACCAGGGTTGAGATTCTCACCATGGTTAAAATTCAACCCCGGGGCAAGTGTGCATACTATGTACAGTTAAAACTTAGAAGATTTTGAAAAGTTTACAAGTTTTGTCGCATATTTCGTATTTTCACATTATCTGAATTTGGCAATGAAAAGCTCAGCTTTTTTCATATTTGCAAATTTTCTACAAGCCACCCCAGATTGTAAGCTTCGCATCTTCCAGTGTGAAATTTACATGCAAAACTCGGGGTCAAATCGAGAGCAACCCTGCGTAGCCCAGGGGCAGCTCCGAGGTACAGTCAGCCCTGAGGATTGATGCTGTAGTGTGAAAAGGCCTTGTTGAAATCAAATACTGACATACAGACATAGTAAATGACTCATGCCTTGTTAAACCATAAGAGTGTGATGTAATTGTAAAACAATAACATAGACTTGCCTTCTTAGCAGCATGTGAGATCTTCAACGGAACGGTCCAAGGATCTAATTACAGAGAAATGGAGAGCAAGTCACATATAAACACTATCATACATGTACCTGCAGATTTGACAGTGTGGGTGCAACATGTACATGTACATGTAGACTAGGTTTGCATCCCACACTTGATTATGCAACTTTTCCTTATAAAGTAAATATAGAGCATGTAAGTCTTGCCTTTCCGCGTTCACTCTCTATGTTAACCAAACACTGACTGGTCTAGTCACAGACTCCCGTGTTTGAATTTACCCACTTTGTTACATGTATCTGTGTGATCAATTGTACTGAAGTTGAGGTCAACAATTTTAATTTCATAATTAGTCATCAATTCGCAACATGTAAATTGTAATGGGCCCAGTCAGGACACAAAAGGTATTCAAAAAATAGGATGTTACACACGCTGTAGATCCTAGACATGGTGCCCGGATGTGCTGTATTCTTGCACAATCTCACAGGTTTTTGAGGTCAACTCACATGCTCTATTGTCTGCTTTTACTAACAGTTTAGTTACAAAAACCTCTCTCAGTGATCCATGTAATGTTCTCTTTTTCCTTGGCTTCACCTCGTGAGAAAAGAACGCTCAATGGATCACCTTAGAAAGCATGTTATACATGTACTCTACCACTACAAGCTGTCAAAATTTGTATAATCAGACTAATGAATTAATCAATGTAATTTGCGAAAATTGCGGCCACTTAAGTGTCAACGGAACAAAATCTGGGCGAACGGGCCCTGTTCCTATAACAGCACCAAAATCCAATCTTAGGTCATTGGACTCAGTCTAACCAAATTAGTTAACAATGTTTAACACCAACAGGAATGGCAGGGTTTTGTTTTTCGATGGAAATTTTAGGTTACATGTAAATGAAGAGGATAAAACACAACACGAATTATAAATATTGCAAACTACATGTAGTTAGCGATGTTTAAAACCAACACAAATATCATGGATAGAGGGCAGGGTTTTGATTTTTTAATGGAAATTTTTGGTAAAATGACGATGAAGATGAAAAAAACACAACACAAATATAAATATGATGATCATTGGCAGCACCATGAATGCACAAAGCAGCATTGATTCACATGCTATCGAATAGAGCATTTTCTACCAAAAGATGTACTGTTCAAAATGATAAGAAATAGGGTCATTAGAATTGAAAGAAGACTGCTTGAGGTTACACAAGTCATTTCGAAATGATAAAAAACACTCTAAGAATTAAAAGGAAAGAGGGGCCTGTAACTACACAATCACGACAATTGCCAAAATTTAGTGACTTACCCATCAGATTTGTACACATATGGCCATACTTGTCAATCTTAAATGGATCAGGCTGGTCATAAACCTGATACCTTGCAGCATTCAGATTGCGGATAGATTCATGGTTACCAAGCACCAGATCATTCAACCACTGCACATTGATGACTGGTATCTGCCACTCCTGGGCCTTCTCATACTTGGCTCCTTCCATTCTGCATCAGTGAGAAAAATCAATAAATGGCAATGACAGAAATCACCATTGTGGTGCATACATCTTCACATTTTGTTCTGACATGCTAAAGTTTAAGTAAGAAATAGGTGGTAAACAATTATAGCGGTCAGGCATTAAATTTATTTAACCAGTTCACGTCATATGACATGTATACATGCAAAGGTTTTGAGGTATTCGAAATGGATGACGGATAAGCACACTGTAACGAGTGAGGCCGGAAATATCTGTCTGCAACCCGCTCGCAGCAAGCAAGGCCGGAAATATCAGCGTGTGCTACCCGCAGATGACGGCCTGAACCCGTCTAGCATTGAGGTTCGTGAAAAACAATCCCGCACCCGGGTCCGGTCAATGTCAAAATAATCCTGGTGCGAAGTAATTAAGCAGTGAAAACAGACGATTATGCGCAAGACTGAGTAAGATCCGGTAATGTAAACGCTGTTGCCTGTCACGTCATGCCGACAGGAAACTGACAGGCAAAGCATCGTTTTAAAGGGAATAAGTATGTGCTTGGCCATTTGTGTGTGACTGTCAGTTTGTGAATTCGTGGCTACATGTAGCAGTCCTTCTGATTTGAAAATCACAGGCGTGTGGAAAAACGCACACTTGGATTTTTCTAGGCCAAATCTGTGGTCCAAGCTACTCCACTACAACCACGTCCTTCCCGCTGTCATGTCGCTGCACTTTGTAGCCAATATCTCCCATACCCACCCACTGCTTAATGTACTCAGTTGTACACCTGAATCGCCCATGACAACAACAATTGATTGAATAACATTTCAAAAAAATAAGCTACCTATAAACTATTAAAAGTAATCCACAACTCTTACGCAATTTTTTTTTAAAGCCAAGACCATGTTTTGTAAGACCACGGCCATGTTCTGTGTTTTGTTGAACGGTGACAATGATTTGACGTGGTTTCAGCCAATGTCGTTTAATACAAGTCTGCTCTCAGCGTGCAATACTGGGTAACCTATAGCCTTGAAACAAGATGTCCGCTTTTTTTACTGCGGACAGTCTGCGTGGGCAGTGTTACACTGCTAGTCTGGTTGTTCATTCATTCTTAGTACGTACAGTACATGTACATACGTACAGTAGAAGTGCGTGTGCTGTGCAGGTGACTGATGACTGCTCAATGCACTTTATTTAGAGCGTATTTCGCTTTGCATGTGCTTTTGATACTTATACTGCATTGAAACGAGGCTACTGTGCTGTCAACATGGCGCACTGGCTGGCAGAAGCCATTCCCCGCTGCCCAACTGTTTTGCTGGGAGAAGTATAAATTATATGTTAGCCTTATTTTTGATTTTTTTCTCTTCACCGACGAAAGTTTATTTCACAAAGTATGAGGTATGATTATGCCAGAAATGTATACCTAGGAGTGCGGTACAGAGGGATTCAGGCATGTGATTATTCACACTTCAGGAGAAGCTTTTAGGCATGCGATGGCATGGGGGTGTGATCACATGCCTCTAATCAGAAGGATTGGTGTAGTGCGTGGCAGCAGCATCACGTGTACATGTACACGTACACAGTGTACATTTTGTAAATGGAGCTAGGTGCCACATATTATGTACAAACAAGTGGTCTAGCCCAGGCACAAGCAGATGACATTTACTGCAACTTTATTCAGCCATAAAAAGTCAAAAAGTTTACAAAGTTCCAACGATTTTGTTTTACCATAATGTGACTTGGAGCGCACTGTCGCATGACTGGTCTTAACCAGTTCGTGCCTGGACAAGAACGGAACAAGGCGTGGGATTACTTTTTACTCGACTTCAAGCCAGGCAGGTTGAAGCCATCACTCTCAGGCAGCAGCGAGTGGGTTGCTGACAGATATTTCCGGCCTCACTCCCTCTTTGTGTTTATCCGTCATCCGTTCCGAATACCGCAAAACATTTGCATGTACATACACGTCATCCGGCCCAAACTAGTTAAACACCACTGACCAGTGTTTCAACAATGGCTTCAAACCACTGTTTCAGGTATCTATGTTACTCTCGGATATCCATGTACCTGACGGATTATTCCAAAAGTCTTGATTTTGATTACAGTACTACCATGTTGGCATATATATGCTTCATTGTAAAGCCAGTAATCTATGTGGGAGTCAGTAGACCGCCTCGCCATTAAGCCTTTAGTACATGTTCCCGGGTCAGTGAGAATTTTTCAAAGCCTAGCATGTGATTCCCCAGCCATCATATGCCCAGTACAGATCTTAAGTGTAGAGACGGTCTTTGTGGACTAGTCCATACGCAGTCAAGTTGAAAAATGCTTTGTTAGGGGCTTGGCAACTCACTTATTGGAACCTTTCTGTATTACTCTCTAGGCTTTTGAAGGAAATTTGCTTAATACAACGTTTTGGTCCAGAATTCCTTTAACTGGTCTTATGAACTGAACAAACAAATGTTTGATCTCTATACCTGTTACAGACAAGTAGTGTGTTGCCCCTGGTGAAGTAGCCTGTGTATTTAGCACCCAGTAATTCAATTAACGTCTTGACATCATTTCGCTCACCCCCTTCGAATCCTGACATGGAAATTACCTGCAACATGAAACATCACATAATGTTACAATTTTAACAAGCTAATATAGACCAATCAAGTCACAAAATCACTGTAAACTCATGGAATCCTAAGGGAAGCATTGTGAAGCTACATGTGAAGAACTTTCTTTTTGCCTCATTACAGCTGCAGTTTTTGCCAATCAGTGACATAATGCACTGCACAAGCAAAAGACACTATTAACACAAAATGAATACTCTTCCTAAAGAGACCCTATAATATATCATTCTGGGCCACCACGGTTGAACATTTTGCAACTCAACACATAAAGGGCTTCATGTTGATTAACAGAAGAAGGGTCAATAGTTCCGAATAACAATCACTTGTATGCACAATGACTTCCACAGGCCTTGAATTTGGGAATTTTTAGGGCAAGGCCACTATGGCCTTGAATGAAACAAAATTATAGAGGGCACCACAGCCAGTAGGGAGGGCACCAAGGCCAAACTAATATCTGCAGAAGGGGCACAGAGGCCGGCAAAAAAAAGGCGAATTTATATCGGCGATCATGTAGTTTAGGGCCCCTCTTTAGTTTCGATCAAATTTGAGTCAAAGGTGTTGTTATCATTCAAAAAATTACTTTTCAACCTAAAGCAGACTTCTTTTCAGCTTAATGACACCTATTTTGTAATTGTGAACAATTTTGGGGATAGAAATTACGTTTTTTGTAAGCGGTTTTATGGTTGGTGATGTGCGATCGCCATCTCTATAGTATTTTCGTGTTGCGTTTTGTCGTTGTCATCGTCATTTTACCCCCAAATTCCCCTCAAAAATTCGAAACCCTTCCCTTTATCTACCACCTACCTGCATATTCTTAATGTGGATTAAAAGTTGATTTTGTTCTCTTAGGGAATCAGGCCCATAATTAATACACGATCGCCATTTCCCCTTTTGACAATCGAAACGCCATGTGCACGCGTGTTTTGACTGTACGCGCTGGCCCCGAGCTCGTTTGCCTCGTACACGAACATCAATGCGTTCTGTACCGCGCATGCAAGCACTGAGAAAAAGAAAGTCGATTGACTGCATGTAAGATCAGTTGTCAGGCATTATCGTCTTTCTCTTCCAACAAATGCCAGTGAAATGTTTCGCTAATGCTCTCTTCGCTATCCTCGAGATAATCATCGTGATTTTTAAAGCATTGCATTTTGTACAACTAAATCTGAAACCTCCAAAAATTGCACAACATAATGATTTTATCCACTGGATCGTTCACGAGGCTACCCGTTCCCGACTGACTATGTGCTATGCGCTAGCGGACGGTGCGGATATGCTGGTACCATTGCATACATCTTTGTACATATGCACGCACGTGCGACACAGTGATTTTTCCATGTCACCTGTCAATGTTTAACCTTTTGTCCAGCCGGAATAGGCTCCGATCAGTGTTATGGCCTGTGTTTCTACCGTTGAAACACTTCAATAATGACTGGTGAAAGAGATTAAAACTACGTTTGCGATGATTTTAACAATAGGCTCCGAATAGGCTCCGATCAGTGTTATGGCCTGTGTTTCTACCGTTGAAACACTTCAATAATGACTGGTGAAAGAGATTAAAACTACGTTTGCGATGATTTTAACATCGACTTTTCATCGAAATTATGATTGAAATAAAATGACATTTTGTGAAAACAATCGTTAAAAAATCAAATTTTGTGGGACACATTGTAAGAAAATCGGAAATTTCGTTGGAAAATTCAAAAAGTCAGATTTCCGATTAAAATCGGAAAAGTTTCATCTCTGATTTTTGTCAAAAACTGTTTTTTGGGGGGGCTGAAATTATGGATTTTAGGTAATCATTTTGGCATCCTAACATCTATGCAAAATGCAAGTATTTTTGTGTGAATTTGTATGTTAGGCCGAAAGAAAGGTTCATATTGATGCGAAGAGTTTTTTTGTTTAATTAATAGTTTCTTGTAAGAACCTATACCAAAGATGGGCGGACAAACTATAAAGTGAGTTCAATACCGTAACGTGAGTTACCAAAGTATACAACCTGTATCCCTCTAGAGATTTTATGATCGTTTATTTTCTAATAATTGAAATGGTAGCATATGACTTACACCTTAAAGATGTAAGGGCACAACAAATATTTATTTTTCATCAGTGCACAGTATGTAGGTTTTTTAAATGTTTGCAATGTACTTTTCTTGTAACGTGAGTTACCAATAAAAATCTAACTGCAAACCAAGAGAACATTATTTTGTTGGCCTTTTTTGTAATTTAGTCACTTAATTTCAAGGGATCTTCTGTGAGAAAATCCACCCTAAAAATGCTTTTACTTTTTATAACAGCAAAAAATTGACAGAAGACCCTCTCTGAATGTAACACGAGTCTAAGCACCGTTGATATATCGATATAACTTGATTATTCTATATTATTTTGATTTCGATATCCCCGATAGCAATTTATAATTATATCGAAATATCAAAATTTTTGATATTGAGGAATCATGTGGAATTTATCAAAAAAAATATCGAAAATGTGTCAGATTATTTTCAAAATATATCTCGCTTTTGTGCTTTTATTTTGTGTTTATCGTTTGCTGTATAATGAAATAAAATGCGGCAACTTGTGCTCGTCACTCAAAATAAAATATTGCGAAATGCCAAGTGGCGTTGCTTTGTGCTCTGCGTTCGCTGGAATTTGCAATCTCCCCCAATGTACAACTGGAGAAACTCTCAGTGCCGAGATTTGTTTTAAAAATTTGAGCAATATGCTCCAGAGAAAGCCGTGGAAAATTGGGACTGTTTGTTTGTGTTTTTTTAATCAAAGTGTCATCTTTACGGTCTTTTACTTTTACTCGGGATAATGTACATGATAAGGTGATGAAAGAAAAACCCACTGGGAACACAGCTATTGAAAAATGCACACATGCAAGTAGGTTTGCGGTAAACTTCATTTTTCATTAAACTAGCATTCTTTCCAAAGTGCAACCAACGGAAAATACGAGTGACAATGTATAATTTGCCAAAAGTGGATTGACTAGGGTCATTCATACAGACTGTAAACTGCAAATCCATGTTGGCAAGGAGAAATCAACTGGTAGTGAACTCCTGCTCACTCTTCAACTTTCTTTATACTGACCTGGTCTTTGCATGGTGGCGGTTGTAGTGGATAGTTGATGACAGGGAAGTGCAGGGCTCGCCAAGCTGGTTTCATCTGTTTGATTTTCAAACAGTCATTCAACCAGTTGGCCGTTACACATCGCTTACCATCTTTTATTGCCTGTCAAAATCAAACAGGTTTCTTTGTTACCTTCAAGCAGAACATTTTAACGGTTTCTTGTTTTAATCCAAAAAATAATTTCCTTTTTTCTCTTCTTATTTTGACTACGAAAAGAAATCAAAAGTATAAAATGAAATACAATGGGAACCTGGCTATGTGTATTTATAATAATAATAAGGCTGAGCAAGGAAATGGACTGGAGCATGAACTGAACCTTCAGTCTGTGGCACATGGACTGCTGCATCACTGCTCCACCACCAGTGCTGTCCAGCATACATCATGCATGTGTACACTGGCAGTCTCCTAAATACTGCTCTACCATTTCACTCCTATTACATCTTGCTTGATTGTTTTTTTTTTTTTACAGAATTTGCCATTTTCTTTCCCACCCCCAGTTGTCTGTATGTCCAGGAAATTGCTATCGCCAGAAAGCCACTCAAAGTGGTGACAATAAGACGCATCAGTCACTAAAGAAAGAAAGACGCATCCTCATTCGACAATACTAAAGTATTGTCGAATGACAATATTTATTTGGCTCATTCATTTTGTCTTGATGGTTTTATGCAGAATTTCACTCTTGACACAAGCATTATGGCCTTCCACTGCTGTAACCTGGGTTCGAATCCCATCTGAGCCAACACATGTATGTGGATTGGGTTTTCAGTCCCTACTTGATTCCGTGTGTTTCCCAAGAAACACCCACCTCTAAAACTGTAATTTCTTCTCATTGTCTCCTCTCTACAGGTTTCTTCAGGTTTGCAAGCTATAGTGCCAATGGTGCTTTTGAGGAAAACCTTGGTTTCGTTACCAGAAATAAATAATAATAATAGTAATACTAATATAGTGAGTGGGAGTTAAAGCCAGAGTCCATCATTTGCAGCTATCCAAAAAGTAACTGGCGTAAGTATTGTTGAAAACCATTCTTGTTTGAAAGATAGTAAGGGGACTAAACTCCCTGTGAAATTATTCTTTCTGGGAAGCTGTCATTTTGAAGAAATCAACGAAAGAAGGCCTTTACAACGGTGCATCTGTTGGAAATTTCCAATAGTAGTTCGTTTTTTTTATTCGGTGAAACGCGCGCAAGCGTTGACACGACGCACACGCGTACGCGGTTGCTATAATTCGTCAGGTCGGTGCGCGACATCGCGTAGCTGTAATCGGCTCAGTGAGAACGTGTCTCGGACGCTGAATTCAGGCCCAATTCAAAACATGATTCAACAATTTTTGATTTGAAATCGAGATCCTACAATGTTGTTTTTCTCGAAATATACAGCTGAAGCTGAGCTGAAAGTTCATCAGGCTAGTTGTTCAGAACCCTTCTTTAGATTTTGAGCACTTTTGTTGCTTCAAACGAACAAAATGCACAAATTACAAATGATGGACTATACCTTTAAATGTATTGCTTTACTCACCAGACTAAATACTTCAGTCCTCTGAGTGTCACAAAGCACATGAGTAATGCGATCTGAGTAGCAATCATCCACAATACCTCCATGCTCACTTATAACCTGTCAGAACACAAAAACGAATATTTCTAGCACTCATCTGTTTCACGATTAGGCAAAAAAACAAAAATGTTTGTTTTGCCTGCACATGAAAAATATCAGGAGAGTCGGTCAAATGGGGATTTTTATTTGGGGGGGGGGGGAGGGAGGGTATACATAGAACACATTTAGGCCTACCCTTTCTTCTAATTGACAAATAAATGGAAAGAATGGCCACTTGTCTTAAATATTGCCATAGTTCATACATTTTGTTTTCAGATGAGTGGGCAATTAATGTTTTTAATTTTCGTTGGTGATTGAGTCATGTTGTTTCAAAAACAGAATTTGTCTATTTTTCCAGTCAAAATGTCCTATTTTCTTGAAGCTCACATGGTAATTTTGACCAATATTCTGTCAAGGATTCCATTCGGTTACCAGTTGCCCCCTACCAACATACATAAAAGCATTGGGCTATATGTACTGCATGCGCCAACTATACTGTATATACATGTACACGTGAACATGATGTATGCAGTACATCACGCAACATGCCCCAGGCCTCGGTCTCAGTTGGTTACAAGTACAAAATACCGGTACGGTGAATTGGAACTGTTCTATCATTACTTTTGTAACAAAATGCAAAATTATGGCATTACAAAGAAACAGTTAACGGCAAGGTTAAAGTTTATTTAATATTTTTCAAATCAAATCCAAAAAAAACCCCACACACACCGGAGATTTCCAGATTTTTGGGTTGGTTAGGTGAGGGCAACAACAAATTTTTGTTTGGCCTTATGACATGTATGAAGTAACTTCATGCCTACAATCTTACAGTACACTATTGTGTTTTAGTACAAATTAAATTGTTATCATGTCTCCGATGGTGTCATTTCATTGGCCTGGAGTGGTCACATGTCACATATTAAAAGCAATGTGACGTCAATTATCTTGATAAGATAGCATCTAACCAATTATATCATTATTAACGTCTGTTGACTGTCATTGGAATGCATTAAACTTCTGTAATGTACTGATTTTACGTGCCTGTCTAACTTCGTAAAATGATATATGTGGAATTATTCCTAGCTCCTTATTCACAGGCAACACTTTGTGTTTTGTGCTAGCCTTCTGCAAAGAGTCATTTAATCGATAAAGAGCAGTTCTGTAAACAAAACAAAACGAAATTTACCTTTCTCCAGGTTGCTATGTAATGAGGTCCTAGAAGTTGTGGATACTCGATAATAAGGAAGATACATCCAAGAAGACAATTTTCACCGGCCACTGTCAGTAAGAAAATGCAAACGGATTGACAAATCTTATTTGTGTAAGAGTATAGTATTGCGGACAGCATTTTGGTTGGCATTTGATAGCATTTTTGTGTCATGGACATGCAATTTTATGGTTTGGCTTTTGCCCTCAACTATCTACTTTGTAACTACTCTTTACTTGCATTTAAAAAGCTTACCCACTTGTGTACACCCATACTTGTTCCCTTGTTGTGGGGACTACACACGAGTTATCCCATGGTACTATGGGGACCGAAGACACTGTGGAGACAGCAGAGAGCCCCCATAACTCGGTCCTAATATGCTTAAGAATTTCCCCGTAACGCGGTGATGGCCCACCCAATGGACCCGGCCAACCAACCCCAGCCAGCTAAGTGGGCAAGTGGTCAAATGTCACCCAAGGAAGTTCTCTGACAGCAGTGATGATACTAAAGAAGCACCTCTGTGTCCCATTTAACCCTTTTTTAAATTTTCATTTTGTCATTTTCAAGGGTATTTTGGCGTTTTTTTTCTTTTTATGCTAATCCAAATTTACATATTCATGAACAAAACTGTGATGTCGTTTCAGGCAGAAAGCTCAATGTTAAAGCTATTGCACTACCAAAAGTTGCCAGAATTTTGGATATAAATTTCTCTGCCGTAAATTTTCTTTTCTTTGGTGATTTGTTGTTGTGTCCATACATAGCAGTAAGCCAATGAGCAAACTTTTCTCACAAATATTTCAATAAGCAATTGTTTGCGTTCACATTTTGAACTGAAAAGCCCTAAATGAACAGTGTCTTCCTGAAATGACATCACAGTAACAGCGCCCTCTGTTGTCTGGAAAACGATGGAACTTAATAAAAAATGTTTAAAAGGAAAATGCAACATTTGCAAACATCACTAAATGAAATGATCAAATTATCACGAAATACCTTACTGGATTGTTAGGGAATGACAGTCTCAAGCATCCTGTAAAATCGTGGCTCCTGGTGTGCGGTCATTTCCAAGAAAAATGGTATTTTTTCAACGCTGGTTGGCCGACCAACGTTGGAGAAAACTGGCCTTTTTTCAAAAACTGCTCCTAATTAGTTATTCCGCATTTTCTTTGCAATGGATTACACAACTGTGAAGGGGTACAAGTCTGCTTGACTGATTCTCTGACCTTACACTTCCCCATAGTCTATAAATTGCTTTGTTTCATCTTAAGTGGGGTCAGGGAACCAGATTACAAGAACATGATTTGTTTTCTTAGTTTTTCCAGCATCTACAAGCCCAAAACGTGAAATAAGTAACAATATTTGTTATTACATACTAATCCTCCAAATCCATTTAATTCTGAAAATTGCAGCAAAGCAACCGTTGTACATTCCCTTTAAGAAAGTACACTTTTCAACAAAATCAACCAAAACAGGATGTCAAATATTTGTTATAAATTGAAAAGTAGAAAGTTGCACAAAATATGTTCCTAAAAAAACTTCACTTCTTAGCCCCTTCAATCATACCATCTGACTCCACATAATGTGGTGCTGTCCATGGTTGAATTAAAATGGTGCTCTTCATTTATTTATACATACAAACTGTTATACGACTTACATGTGTATGTGGGATCATGTCCATAGTATTTTTTCTGCTCTGCCAATGGCATGTTTGCATGCATCATCTCGTTACGTGTCTGCTGCTGCGACGCCATTCCAGCGATCGCGCTCAGGACCTGCGACATTTGTCGCTTCTCCTGAGGCACCGCTGGCATGAACGCATCAACCCCATTAGTGATGTTTCGCAGTGTTCTTGGCAAGGAATGGGACATTGGGCTGTTGCTACTCGGTTCAGTGATAGTGCTACTACTGCTTGGGCTTGCCGTGCCTGTGTGTCGCTCGTGGGAATGCTTGTCTTTCTTTTTGTCTTTACGACTTTTATCCTTGTCTTTGTTCTTTTTCTTCTTTTTCTTCTTTTCCTTCTTGTGTTTATGGTGTGACACTGTAGGCTGAACATTGTCAATCAAGGGAGGAAGTTCAGGCATTGGAGGTAGTTCTTGTTGCCATGGGGCTTTCATCTTGAAGACAGCCTTCATGGCTTGCTTCTGTGGAGTACCATAAACCAGCAGTTGCCCCGGTGCATCTTGGGTCGTCTTTACTTTGTCCTGGGACATTTCCTGTGATTGGTTGCCTTCATCTCCAAGTGTCGTTGAGTCTGTTTCCATGGGAACCTCAGAGTCTGTTTCTAGTAGTTTTGGTAGGAGCAAACTGGGGTGGTATGGTTTAGTGTGTGGTACTTTCTTGGCATTGATTGCATCAATGATCCAGTCAGGTGTGACTACTTGAATGATGTCGGAATGTTGAAGGGCACACTCATACTTGGCCTGAAGGGAAATATCAAAGACTCAAAGTTTGCAGCATGACACAGACCCAATCCTTAGGTCTTTTTCATGCTGCAAACCTAGGGTATACATTACATTAGCCCTGGGATACTGATTTGTGTTTTCTTTTTTTGGAGGCGATAATATTCCCCCATGATATCGCCTGTAGTGATACATATGGATTTGTCAACAAATCAGAGCATGCATGTTCACATTATGCACAAGCATAAACTTAGGCTCACTGGGATCTAGCACCAACACTTTGCATTTTTCCCCCCATTTGATAAAACAAATCATGCAGATAACTTCTAAGAGTGTTTTCAATTTTCTTGCAAATCAGTATCCATATGATCGCAGCATGCACTGGGTACCATGTGCAAACAGTCCGTTCACCTTGTCTGGTTCCCTGACCAGACATCTATTGATAAAATCATAGGTCAGGTAACTGTAACATACAAAAACAGAACATGATACAGCAAGCCCTGCCCTCATATGAGTACATGTACCTGACCCAATATTTATCAGAAAAGTCATTCATCCGCACACTGGCTCACAGCTTACACAACATGTGAATATAGAGGTTGAGTTAAAAAAAAAACGTAACCCAATCCCCTAACATTATATTTCATGTTAAAAAATATGTGGCACCAAGAATACTGACTGGAAACCAATTTCATAAGGTACTTTTGGATGAACAAAATTACTGAAATTGCTCAATCTGTTCAAAGAACTTTGCCATTTATAACACAATAACCCTAAATTAAAATTGGACTTCCAGTCATTATTTTTGGTGCAACATATTTTTAAAATATGAAATATACTTTTGGGGGTTTTGGTTCCGCTTTTTTTTAACCCACCCTGTATATTCACATGTTGCATATACATGTACTTATCTCACATTACCTCAAGTCAAGCATACATCATCTAGTAGCAAGTCAAGTACCGGTACAAGATCTGTTTTCAAATGATCTGTGATAACGACATTGCTTTATCACTGATCATCCCCTGCTACATGTATCTGCATTGTGACTTAACTTGCGATTATTGTGTTGGACTTTGTTCAAATACAGGTAATCACACTATATTTTTGTGTGATTTACTGGAAAAAATGTTTTCTTACCCCCTCTGAGTTAGGAGTGATAAGATGGGTGCAGCATTTGTTGAGATTCAGTTGGCAGGATCCACCATAAAACGTCACCATGGCCCACAATGCCTCACGATCCAACTCACACATCTGAAATACGACAACAATGTAGTCCGTAACTCCCAGCATGTACAGCGATCCAATATATGGGCTCAAAATGATGCTTGTCAAGACACATGTAACGCAAGACATCGGATGTCATGACCTGACTAATAAACAGGGCAAAGGTCATGACATCCAAGCCCACAGTGTGGCGGCACTGTTCCATTGTAATTACTGGTTCAACAAACTGGCTCAATGTCATAGTAGTAGGACAATTCATTCCTTTGTCAAATCATAGATGGTTATACGTGTACCTACCTATGTTTAATCAGTTTATCAAAATCATAATATTTTTATCTTTACTTTGTCTTTGTTTTCAAATTTACAAATTAACATACATGCACATGTAAGGTGTGGGAATTTAAAATTAAGAAATGTAGCAAAACATAAAGATAACTTTGCAAAATGCTAGTACCACATGAACAAAGAAGTTGTCAAGAGTAAAGACAATACTAACAAAAAATATACAAGGACATAAATGTGAAATGTTTTGCCCTCAACTCATTTGCCCAAATTATTAAGCAAGCTATAATGTACCTAACCACCAATATTTGGATCCCACAATCACATAACAAAGTACTCTAATGCAGGTCTGTCATGTTGACTGCATATATTTAGTAACACGAAAAATATTAATAGGTCAGAAGATATTGAACAAAACTTGTCAAATGTTGTACATGTACTTTAACTGCATTCTGAGTTTGTACTGGATACTCTGCATGTGATTAACTCAAATTTGAGTGCAGTATATAACATGGTATAGGGTGAACATTTATCTACCGGTAGTTCTTTGGGCAAAGCCAATTGTTATCTTCCAATATAAGGGGGCTAATATCGATTATAACACCTCACCCACAGATTCTGTGTCTTGATTTTGGAAGAGAGAAATACACTTTCCACCAATTTTGTATTGAAATTGGTGTTTATTTCAACTGTGTTCAGATATAAATAATTTAAAATATTAAAACCACTTGAGCAGAATCTGTGGGTGAAGTGTTATAAAACAAATATTGAATGCTTTATCTCGTGGTGAAGTAAAACTAGCCACCCTTGGTGATCCATGGAGCATTCTATTTTCCCTCGGCTTCGCCTCAGGAAAAATAGAATGTCCATGTATCACCTCAGGAGGCTAGTTTTACTACACCACTCGAAGCATTCAATATTTGTATACGGTCCACCATATTTGTTTCACTGTACCTCATACATGGACATATTTTCAATTGGAACATCTTTTTTTTACCCTACCACTCAGAAATATGTTCCCGAGCCGCATAAGCATTCCTTACACATCCCGTTTCTAGTGGTCCATATGTTCACGCATGTGAATGCTATGCAACAGTTTCCCCAAGGTGTGTACATGTAAATGACAATAAGCTGTTTTTTTCCATTAGCCTTTGACCTCAGGTAAGAAGATTCTCTTGTGGTGACTTAGTCCCCCTGCATTCATAGACTTGACCTAATTGCCAGTCTTACCTGTGAGAAGCATGCTACCACATTGGTGAAAAGTTGAGACCTCTCTGGTTGGAAAGCCTTAGTTGGAAGAAGGACCCTACATCGCACAGACATCTCAACCCATAGTGGCTACATCAACAAAAAATACACGCATAGAAAAATACAATATTGGGTTTGAGCCAAAACAAAGATTTAAAAAAACCTGACTAATTTAATACATTTCTTCTTCAAAAAAATTGCCTAGATAATGATTCAAAGTCAAGTGAGAAATATAATATTTTATTACTTGACGATCGGTCTTGTCAATGTGGGTATCAAACTCCGAGTCTCTTTGGACAATAATGCACTTGAGTTGCACTGACATCTTGCGGAATTGATGTCAAAAGTTGTTTGAAAATACGTAAGAAAATTAGCAGCAACGCAGAATGCATGATGCAATTGGGACTTTTAATACAATTGGGACTTTTAATAATTGGGAATTTTAATACACCTTTTGATGGTTCATTTAAGCATACACCAGCACAGTTGATTCACAATATTACTGTGAACAGATTAAGGAATGATTAAAGCAAACGTGAGTGTGCTCTTTTTAAATTAAAAACTTTGAAGAAAAACTTTAAACTCAGATCTTGACTTAATCAAAACAACGATTTTGTGTAATTATGCAAAACCTAAATTGAGTCGATGGCAATGAAATAGGGGTGTTTGAATGTGTTTACAACATCTTACACTTTGTAATTAAGTGGAATCAGTTGATTTAAATTATTAAAATGACCCTCCATCAATTGATTTTGCCAAAAATATGATTTTTACAAAAAATGATTTAAATCAGTGATTCTTATTAAAAGAATCATTTGATTTAAATCGCAATTTAAATCAGTGATTTAAATCAACGTGATTTAAATCAGCCAACCCTGATTACATCTAACAACCAACTGAACGGGTGGCTCAATGGTTACAAGCGTTAGAACTAAAGCCCATTGACCAGGTTCAAGATGCGGCCATGCATAGCCTGAATATTTTAATCTCTCCCCCCCCCCCATTTTCTAATTATACAAATTTTCTACCTTAAATCTGTTTAAAATTAAAACCTGCGCGTACATTTCATTGCAGAAAATGTTGTCTCCTTTTTCTGAGTCGTTGCTCTTTTATACGAAGTCACAACCACAATGTAAGTGAGGCATCAGACTAGGTCCACAAGTATTACTCGGTTACTCAATAAATCAGTTGCAGTGTCAATTATTCGGTTACATTTTTCTCTTGCACTAATCGAAAACCACTTTGTGGCGTAAGAGATCAGCTAAAAACATCCTAAACCAAAAATCTCTAATATATTACATGTAGCACTGAATCTATTATATTTAGGTGATAAAATATGGCAATGAATATACAGCCCAAGTTAAAAAAATATTTAAGATGTACATTGTAGGCGATATCGTTTTTAGATCATCGCTCTTTTCTTTCAACCCGCATTTTCCGAAAAAAAATTGGCAGTTCCATTAATCAAAATTGTAATAAAAAAGGAACGATTAATCATTCAAAATAATAATCATAAGCTTGCATACCTACACCAGACGAAGACACGGAACGGTAAAAAAAGTCCGAAAATGTCCACTGCTAATGTTTGCTGCTAATGTTTCAGTGCAATGCACCTTTATCAGGGGAATTATGGCTTCTTGTGTTGTACTGCCGGTGGAACAAATGTGGTTAACGCCCCGATCATCCCATCAAGGTAGGGCGTGCAGCTAAGATCGGGGCTGTATGTCCGATGATGCCGTGGTGACAACGCACAACGTCCCTGTTGGAGTGCAATGGCGCAAAGTGTTGGGCGACAGCTACATGTAGGCCAGGTTGTTTCATCTGAACACTTTGTAGATGCTCCGTAAAACAGTCGGCCAGTCAGCGCTTGGTTTCGCCAACAAAGAGCAAACCACAGCATGTACACGTGATGCAGTAGACAAGATTGGCAGTGGTGCATTTGAAGTGGATGTGGATGTTGAAGTTGCTATGGTGACCAATGATGGAAGATGTCCAATGAACATGTGCGTAAGTTCTTCATCTTGGGCGCCTGCAAAATCGATAGTGATGCAAGCATCAAATTTGTTGAGGACTTCAAATACTTTGGGTCCAGGATGCAGATCATGGAGAAGAATGTGAAGACTAAAAAACCCGCGTTTGGAGCCCTGAATGACATGAGCAAGATACCGAGGTCTGGCCTGTCAAGGAAGCTCAAGCTGAAGTTCTTCTATGCCACTATTGAATCCTTTCTCCTTTATGGGTGTGAGGCATGAACCCTCATCAAGCCCTCAGATGAATGCTACACAAGGATGCTCCGGGCAGTCCTCCATGTCAGCTGGAGGGCACACACAACCTATGAGGAGATATATGGTAATCTCCCCCAGGGTGTCTTCCAAGATCCAGGAGCAGAAAATGCGCCTCGCTGGTCACTTCTACTGGCATCCCGAGCTGCCAGCAATCAAGGTCATCCTTACCTGAATGATACCTGAACATATTCCTTAGGACCAGATATGGCAACAATGATGTCATTCATGTACCGTATGTACAGCAATGGTTTGGGCAAGGGAAAATCGGACATCATCTCCTCAAGATAGCCAACAAACAGACAAGTGCATAACTTGGACCCATACATGTGCCATTAGCAATGCCAGTGGTCTACAGGTACATTGTAGTGCTTCTCATTAAAGGTGAAGTTTTTGACGGTGAGAAGAAGTTCAGCAAGCCAGGAGGATATTGTTGGGAGGGTCATGGTCTGGACGTTGGTCGAGAAAATGACATAGTGCTACTAAGCCGTTTGCATGTGGGATGCGTGTACAGAGACTCATCATCCATTTTGAACAGGTACGGGTAGGTGGAGGAGCCTGTGAATTTAAAGTTGGCGAAAGTACCGGTATGCATGAAGAAGCATGGAGTGCTTCATTAGTGGCCTTCACATAGGAGGGCAGTTTGTTGACCATTGGAGAAAACACAGCGCCTACATACGTGTACATAGAAATCAACCCAGTTGGGAAATCTTAAGCAGAAACAATGCGACAGCCCGGACTTCTGAATTTTGGGAAGCATATAGAAAACGGAGGTTTTGGGAACCAGGTACGGTAGCTCACCTGCATCAAAAAAGGCCTTGATGGTGTCAGAAACGATGCCCTGGTGCGTAGGGTTGAGGTCATGGTTGATCACTTGATAGAATGAGGTGTCAGAAAGTTGGCATTCAGCTTCTAACAGAATCTTTATGTCAAACCACAGTAGCACCCCCTTTATCAGCTCTTATGATGACAAAGTTCACAACAGCCACTTGTATTGTTTGTATTGTTTTGTTTATTTTCCATTTGTCACAAATTAATATAACATCAACATCCACGGCCACTTCAAATGCACCACTAGTTATCTTGTCTACTGCATCACATGCACACACTGTGGCTTTCTCTACATTGGCGAAACCAAGCAGCGACTGGCCGACCGTTTTACGGAGCATCTCCAAAACATTCAGTTGAAACAACCCGGCCTAGTTGTGGCCCAACACTTCAGCGCGTCATCACACTCCATCAAGGACATGAGTGTCTGCGTTGTCACTGATATGCAACACTGATCTTTGGAACAGCGTGTGATGTTCCAACTGGGCACACTCTACACTGATGGGATGAATGTGGAGATTACCACATTTGCTCCACCAGCGGTACATCACAACAAGCCATAATTCCCCTGACGAAGGTGGATGACACCGAAAGCTCAGGTACAACTATCCAGTGAGCACTGTTTTACTTTTGCTATTCACATTTTTTATGTATACAGTGCGTAGCAAAAAAAAAAAGAAGGAACCCAAATAGAAAAGCAAATTATAAAAAAAATGTAAAAAATATTTTCAAATACGTTAAAGATCATGTAAAACACCAATGTGTCTTATTTCCAATGATACGTTGATTGTGTGTCTGTGGCCACGGATGACTGGGCATTTATTGTTACTCTGTCAAGGGTCAAAACCTGCACTGGGCCAAGTTTTACCTGGCTAAGATTGCCGGCTGGTTTGTTTAATATGCAAAGGTTGAAATGGACTAATTGTTAAGTCATCAATGAGTTTCAGAGCACTGTGTGGAAAGAGGTGGTGGCCACATTGAAGGCATTGGACCATGAGGGGTAAACTTCAACAATGAGAGTGGTTAAATCACTGTGTCAAAATTGAATAAATTGTGTAAAAGAAAGGATGTCTTCTTTCTTTAAATTAAGCCGTTTCACATGTCCAGAATACCAGTTATCCTTTTGCACAAACTTGGCCCAGTACAGGCTTTGACCCTTGACAGAATAACAATGAGTGCTCAGTCATCCGTGGCCACAGACACAATCAAGGTATCATTGGAAAGAGGACACATTGGTGTGTGATGTATTTGGAAATATTGTGACGTTTTTCCTCCCACAAAATGTTTTATTGAGTTGTGCGCGGGAGCGGCTCCGCACGCGGTGGGGATTCTACATTCGGAAACATTTGGATTCTACATTTGGATTGACAATTGGAAACAAAATGTAACTTGTACTACTCAATGCATCATTTAATTTGCACCTCCAAGCACTGTTACCTCCAGTTACCTACGGAGGTGATAGGACCTCCAAATGGTGTCCAAATAAATTATTCACAGGATTTCTGGCTTATTTTCTCTCCTAAATTTTCCCTTAAAATATGCAGACTTTGGATAACTGTGTGCTAAATTACCCCAAGCTAGACTTGCCCTAAATTAAATAGCTGGGGAAAAGTGTCACGATATAAATAACACTATTTTCTACTCACAATCTTAGTTGTAGAGATCAGCGCAGGTCCGCTCAAAGTGACAGCAAAATTGCAAGTGAAGTGCACCAGCTTGTGACGTACGCGTAACCAAGCTCCTTAGCAACTTTAAAATACGCGCTATAAATTTGGCTTCAGTAAGCGCCCAACTATGCGGTTTGTGCATGCAGTGCAATGCCAATGCGTCCAATTCCGCGCCGCAAACTAAAAGAGCCCAACGCGCTTTCGCTGGTACCTTGTACCGCCAAGCACTCACGCTTGTGCGCTCTGTACATTTACATGTATGTGTGCAGCTAAAAACGCCCAATTGCTAGTTTCTATCGCCCAATGAAGACCAGCTGCCAGAATTAGAGAGAATCACAGTGCGAGAAGTCATGAAAATGTTTACCAATTTGCACTACAATATTTATCTGATTTTTTTTTATAATTTACATTTACATTTGGGTTTCCCTTTTTTTATAAAACCTATATATACAAGCCAAAATTCCCCTGATGAAGATGCATCGCACCGAAAGCGCAGGTACTACTATCTGGTGAGCACTCTTGCATGTTGTATGTTCTACAGTGCTACGCAGCATCCCTACATGTAAATGTACATGTAAGTGTACTTGTAAGTGGGTTTTTTTGGGGGTTGTTGTTCTAAATAGTTTCCTTTTATAATCATTAGCAGGGAAAATCCATTAAAAAAATATTTGTCAACAGTTGTGCTTGGCTGCGTATCTGCAGGAAGGCCCATTGCAAGATGAAGAAAAAGTATTCACCGATATTACAGGCAGATCAAATAGATCCCTTGCTTCACTAATCTCCGGGGGGTCATCTTCCTCTGCTATCACATGTGTTACCCTGTCTGTCAAGTAGGATTCCTGACTCCCACCACCAGCCTGTAGCAACTCTTCAATCTAAAGTATATAAAGAAAATATGGTACGATACATGTAAAGCGTGAAATAATTGCACTTTTGACCTTTTCAAAGAAAAGTAAATTGAAATCCATTTAGGGGCAGAGAGTAAACAAAATGTGCAAACAATTAATCAATCCTTTTTTTTCAGTTTCAATAAGTACACTTTCTTTTGGTTAAGGGGATGCTAATTTTTAAGAAAATCATGACCACATATCAAAATATTATATTTGCCAAAGTGGCTATTTTGGCAGCCATAACACATTTGTAAACAATGGTAAAAGGCCACAGCTACAGAGTTGCAGCACAACACTGTATGCAAGTGTAAGAATGTACAGGAACCAAAATTCTAGTGATCTCAGCGGCCAATTTACCAAGCATGGTGAACGTTTATTACATGTATTTTGTTTGGTGACCAGTTGTGAAAAAAAGCTTATACTGCAAGGGTGTCAACATGACAGCTCAGGAGACCTTGTCTCGAAGTTCTTGTCATGAAACTGCCTGGCAGAGCCTGCCAACTAATCATTATGCATTGGTACTGCCAAGTGGATTGACAACTCCTGCCCAAATGTTCTTCATGTTTCTTATCGGTCCTGGTCAACATTACACAAAACCAAAAAAGAGTACATGTACAATCATTCCATTATGTTTTGCATCACAAAAAAGCTTTTTTTATTGGTTATGAACTGGTATCCTCATTTCACAAGGAATCACCCCCTGGCGGCAGATAATTTATGCAAATAATGGGCATAGTGCAGTTTAGAGACCAGCATACAAATGCCCCTTGACACATGCTAGTGAGTGATTCCTTGTTCACACAGGGGACGCAGTACACATGTAAGCCGTGAACCCCAAAACACGGCACGGGGCACAAACCAATTGATGTGACTCTCTGGCCCAATGCCTCATGATGTCTACAAAGCACTGCACTTTTTCTTCTCACAGTATTCAAGAGAAAATGTTTGGTTTTTTGGGTCACCAAAATTGTTAAATTTTGTGACCAAGATATTTACAACTGGTTTTACATCATTGGATTCTCAATAGCTATTTTCCTACAACCATGAACTCTGGAAATGATTCCTTTGACATTTATAATTATGGTTTTTGAAGTATTTATGGATATATAAATTTACGCAAATATTGGTTGCAATTAGCAGACTGAATAATCTTTTTATGATGAATTCAATTTATAGGAGCCAGCTCCACCAATTTGTGTTATTACTTGATTTTTTTTATTGAAATTTTTTTGAAGTGCAGGAACGTTCGAAAGTAACTTGCTTTGCAGTTTTTGCTTGGGAATTCCTTGTATTTAAAAAGTAGGTGCTTGTTATTTGTTCAGAAAAATAAAAATCAGATTTGGGGAAAATGTCGCAACCTGACGCCACATTTTTCTTCATTATCATCTCAATGAAGGTCATTCATTGCAAAAATGATGATAAGACATGAATTTGGGACTGAGAATCATTTCCAATTTTGTTAGGAAATAACTTAGACAATTTTCTTGACTCTCCATAGACTTTGTACACAATTGCAGAAGTGGCGTCAGGTTGCAACATTTGTTCATCAGGTTTCCTCTTTCAGCCTCGCAAAATAAAGTTTGGGTCGCGGCGAACGGTAGGCACGCAAGGTGCGGTGAGAGGATAGGACTGGAAACTAGTCTAAAAGGATGTCTATTTTAGCTGCGACAAAAAACAGCCATCGAATCATGCATCAGTTGGGGAAAATGTAGCCAAAATGGTCCCCTCCAATTTGCATGTAAAGGGCACAGGGTACGGAGTCCAGTCAGTCAGCAGGAGTCTGCAGGACGTTGTGATCAAAGGCCAGATTTTCCTCAAATTTCATTCAAATGCAAGGTTTTTCATGTAAAGAGCTCACACCCTGTGGCGAGCTCCACAGATTTGTGAATGACAGCTTGACAGGCAACAGCCGGGGTGCACTTTGCCAAAGTTGACGCACGCTCAGTGGATGATTAAAGCTCTAGTCTGGTTCCCTGACCCCATTGGCCTTGTGCCTATTTTAGGGGGTCTGGGAAACAGTCTGGTAAATATCAGAGATGCCATGCTTTTTGAAAACCGTCAGAATTTGTCGCTGATTTACCATGATTACTGGATGCAATAATCTACCAACTACATGTACATGTAGTCCCATAAATGAGGCCAATTTACTGGACTACCGGTCCCTTCGCAAATAAAGGCCACACTTGGAACATGTACACGAAAATGTAGAACTTTGTCAACTTTTTATTTTCACATTTAGACTTTGTTTGTAGTTTAGTTATGCTTTAAAGTACACTCACCCTCTTTAAAGCGATACAAAATGGTCCCCCCACCCAGTAATTTCAAGGTTCGTTTGCACATGTTTGGGTATCTAAATTCTAACACGAAATTGCACGAAAAGTAGATGTCTGAAAAAGGGGGGACTAATTTTCTTTTGCTATAAAGAGGGTGAGTATAATTCTAAAGCACCTTGAGTAACGCCAGCCCCAATACTTATCGCATTTAGAGCTGGAGGCACAACTACGTTAAAAAAACTAGATCGTAAGAGGCCCGAAATCCGGGACCATATATCCCAAGTGTATTACAAAAATGGTCCATTTTTCCTCTATTATCCCAACCCAGATTTCATAATCCACACCGGTACCTCATACCATGCAACAGTCATTCATGAAGCTAATAATCGACTTCAAACACAACAAGACTAAAATATTAAATTTGTGGATGATTTTGGTGGCGATTCTCCAGAAAAATCCATTGCCAAGGCTGTCGTGCATGCCTACTGTACGTACAGTGCTCACCGGATTAGTAGTTGTACCCAAGCTTTCAGACATCCGTCCTTCTTCATGGGGTAAGTTCCAGGTGTGGCCTTTATTTCAGGCCTCTTACGATCTAGTTTTTTAATGTAGTTGTGCCTCCAGCTCTAAATGCGATAAGCATTGGAGCAGGAGTTACTCAAGCTACTTCTAAAGCATAAATAAACTACAAATAAAGTCTAAATGTGAAAATCCAAATTTGACAAAGTTTTAGCCGCCTACATTTTCGGGTACATGTTCTAAGTGTGGCCTTTATTTATGGAGGTACCAATACCGTAGTCCAGTAAATTCAGGCGATTCAGAATGCAGTGCGCCACCAAGCGTTTGCCATGGAGAGTTCATTTTTCCCAGTGCATTTTGGGAGATGGTCGACAAATTTGCAGCGCGGGACATTTGAAATCGTTAGTTTTTCCGGTCTGTGGTTTCGTAAGCGTATGATTCGAGGATTTGTTTGCCCATTTCTTTTCTTGTTATCAATATGGTGTTTTTTGTAAGGCGGCAGAACGCTATGCCCCAATCTATGACATATTGGGCCATGTTTTGTTGACCGTAAACTTGAAAAATGAACTCTCCGTGGAAAATTTTTTGGTGGCGCACTGCATTGTGAATCGCCCGAATTGGCCACATAATGAGGCTAAATTTCAACACGAAATTACACAAAAAGTAGACGTCTGAAAAATGCCTAACTTTTCCTATCATTATTAAGAGGTAGCTTGAGTTACTCCAGCTGACATGGTCACCATGAATAAGTCCCATAAATGTGACTGAAATATTGGACTACATTTTGTACCTCCGTATTACAGTCACACATCCCACATATGGTCTGTGCACGGACAGTTCGTTGCTAGGGGAGCCAAAAATCAATTTGAAATCGCAATTATAATTATTTTGTCACTTTACACTCACACAATGCCGTCTACAACTGCTTCATAGCAAAAAACGTGAAATTCTGCACCTTCAGAGGTCAGGGGTGTGAGTGACCACTAAAAAAAATTGCTGAAAATAGCTGAAAAAGGTACCAAAAAGCTGAACTTTGGAAATGTCCTATACTTTTGTACACAGGAAGTGAGGGAAAAAAGCTGAAATCCAAAACAAATAAAAATAACAGCGTTGCTGTTGAAACCCCTCAGCCAGAGTCAAGTTATCATCTGGAAACCATTAACCTTTAACTCAACATGGTGACCTTGACCTTTGACCCCAGAACCAGTTCAAACATGCCTGTACCGATGGAAAACCCCCTACCGAATTAGACACCAAAATTTCATTTCTAACTCAAGTTATCATTCGGAACCATTTACATTTAACTCACCACGGTGACCTTGACCTTTGACCCCAAAACCAATCCCAGCTTGCCTGTACCCAAGGGCAACCCCCTACCTAAGTCAGACACCAAAATCTCATTTCTTACTCAAGTTATCATCCGGAAACCATTTACATTTAACTCACCAAGGTGACCTTGACCTTTGACCTTTTGACCCCCAAACCAATCCAAACTTGCCTACTCCCAAGGGCAACCCACTACCAAAGTTAGACACCAAAATCTCATTTCTAACTCAAGTTATCATCCGGAAACCATTTACATTTAACTCACCATGGTGACCTTGACCTTTGACCTTTTGACCCCAAAACCAATCCCAACTTGCCTGTACCCAAGGGCGACCCCCTACCTAAGTCAGACACCAAAATCTCATTTCTTACTCAAGTTATCATCCGGAAACCATTTACATTTAACTCACCAAGGTGACCTTGACCTTTGACCTTTTGACCCCCAAACCAATCCAAACTTGCCTACTCCCAAGGGCAACCCACTACCAAAGTTAGACACCAAAATCTCATTTCTAACTCAAGTTATCATCCGGAAACCATTTACATTTAACTCACCACGGTGACCTTGACCTTTGACCTTCTGACCCCAAAACCAATCCCAACTTGCCTACTCCCAAGGGCAACCCTCTACCAAAGCAAACCCTCACGAAAGCGTCGTGTTGCATCACCTGCATGAGGTCATGGGTTGTGATAATCGTGCCCTCACTAGCTTGTATCAAATTTTGACAATGTGCATTGGTACGGCTGTTGCCTGTCATTCAGCTTCGGTAAAAAATGCACGTATGCGGGCACACTTTAGAAGCATACCCATCCTCTTTATAGCGGCAGAAATTTATCTCCCCTTTTTCAGACATCTACTTTTCGTGC